TAGTTTTTGATTGAACTAGCCGATGTGAATGTTTCCTGTTGTCATCAATTATTTAAGACAATGACCAAGTCAAGTCAGCCCACTTCAGGTCAGACTTACAGGTGTGTGCATCGGGATCAGCAGCTGGTAATTTGGCAATCGTTCTGAAACAATTTGCATCACTTGGAATTCCGTCCTGGCTTGAATTGGCGAACAAGTTCAAGACACTTGGTCTTATAACTTAAATCCCGGAAGCAATCACAATTCAGATTCAATCGACCAAGTATGCCAGCCACATTGTTTGACACACGAATGGAACAATGGTTCAATGGCCAGATTCAGCATGGCCATAGCATCATTAGCCATTAGCATCCTGAATTGTTTTACTGTATCGTGTCACACCAGGAACGATGAATTGCCGTGGAACTACTGCCACGCATATATCAACACTGGGGACTGCGGAACGGACCAGGCTGCCTTCAGAGGATACCTTCGGACAGAGTTGAACAAGCCTGGTTATGATCGGATCACAGTTTTTTGTTGTCCTTGCATGAAGCACCAATACCACCTCATCGCTCAAGGACAGCTGGCGCTACTGGATAGAATTCTGAAAGTGATATCATCCAGGCATAATCCATCGTCCAAACCAATCAAATACTTTTCAGGCTTGGCAACATTGGGACATTCATGGCGCTCACACCTTTCGAAGATCAGAAAAACAGCAGTGAACATTGGCATGTTGAACAAGCTAATCCTGTTTCGGATTCCTCCACTGGCCATCGCAGGGCGATGGGGCTCTATTGACAGTCACATGACCAATACTTTGATGCAGTTTTAATTTGACTTTTGGTATCATGATGACTGTTTCTATACAACAATGTGACGATATAATGCGTCATGACCTGCTCTTGTTTGAGAGCTCAGCTCAACCGCAAATGGTCTAGAGTCTCAACATATATTAATATTTTAGTGTCTTGACTTTTAAACCGACTCAAAATTGCATACATTGTTTGATATCCTTGCCCCAGCACGGTTGATCAATACGTAGCTACGTGCCGGGTATGTGTTTCCCTCACTGCGCGCTCATCAAACCTAGGCGCGGAATGCTTCTACATTGAGTGCACTGCAAAAGATGTGGCTCATGTTTTCCAAGAAGTTTTTGGGAATACGTCTCTTGGAACCAAGGGTGCCATATGCGATGGTGATGGTGAGTCTGCAGTGAAACAGCCCGGTGGTACTGGTGACAGCGATGTGCTTGACGAACTCAGCCTCAACGAATCCCAACATTACAAGATGAAAGTGTCAAAGTATTTGACAACCACATTGCGGTGTATCAATGACAAAATTTTTTGGTTCTACATGTACTGTACCAACACATTGCGTAACCCTCTTCTACATTTCTACGCGCACTTGTCCACACCAACATCAAGGTCTGATTTCCTGGTTGTAAACACGATCACCTACAAATTGACGGAATTGGCAGATGAGTTCAACACATTATTCAACAGGTTCATAGAGGAAATCATCGATGCAATGAAATTTGCTGCAACCATTGGGGGTGCAGGTGCGGGAGAGGCATGGCAGGATTGGATAAGTGGTTCTCTGGCAATCCTTTTGCACAATGCTGGTGCATTCAATCGCAGAGTGGTCACCTACTTCAACAGGCTGTATTTCACAAAACACGTCACTAGTAGAATCCATATCTTTGATTTCAGACATGTTTCAAATATCACATATACACATGCACATAAGTTTACAAGAATCAAAAGTGTTATATATATTATATATGTCGATCTTGATTCGGCGCTGTTCGGTATGATAATAGCGAGTTATCAATGACAGTATGATTGCTAAGTGTCGACACATTGAACCATCAATTCATTTTGTTCCCGTTCGTTCCCTCTTCTTTTGTCGTTGGCTAATGCTGGTTACACTTTAGGACTTTGGGATTTTTAGTTCACGTCCATTGTCCTGCCAGGTGGCCATGGCCAATGTTCAAGATTCTCAGTGCGCCTGCAAACGTGGCTTCGCAGATCATACGTACTGTTGCTGGTGATTTGTTGGAAACCAGAGATAACCTACTTGAAAGTACAACTCGCAAAGTCAAGAAGCTATATATGGAAGACTGGATTCATTGTCGTGATACAGGGGTGCTTCGACTGGGATGTGGACTTCATGGATTTTTATCCATTGTTGCGATGAACTTGAAATTGGACAGTGGTGCTCTTGAATCTTTAAATTCAATGATCCGACAGCAAACAAACATTAGTAACAACACCAATATCAGTCTGGAGCTTCTTTCATCGAGAGTGAACATGAGGAAGACAATCACTACAGAGACCGGTGGTTCAAACAAACTACGGGATGTCAAACCAGTGGCAACAAAGTTGGCAACTTCTTGTGTGCTGTATCACGATCGAGTGACAAGTGTGTTGGACGATCTGCATCGATGGGCCCCGCCACAGCCTGCCACAGGTCAATACACGAATGGGAATCCCAATGAATATGACCCTGGGGTTGCACTGACCAAAAACCAGAATTGGGCTTTCAAATTTCATCGTGCACTGATGAAGTCTTTGATCACACATTCCAAAACCAATGTACTGGTGGGATTTACGCTGTCTCAAGAAGGCAACACTCCTGACTTTTCAGCAACATATGTCGTGGCTGAAATGACAAAGAGGATGTGTCAAGTTGTGGAATTGACACACATTGAGGATGATAAGTTTGTCATCAAATCTCCGTTGGAATTTGTGAGCTCACTGGATGTTTTGGCAAATACCTACAATTTTGTGAAGGAACATAAGTCAGGGATTTTATGGGAAACAACTCAGTACGACTATGCTGACCGCATTCCTGATTGGTCATCGAGTGACCAGGTACTTCAGCCTTTTCAGGCCAATCAATTGCAAGTTGTGGTAACTGGTACGGGTGAGGTCCATCCCATCAAGTTTCGAAAAGAATACACCAGAAAAACTGTGGCTCCGACGACCACTGAAGATGGGAACATGGGTGCGCTACTAGATGGTGATGATTCAGCAAGTGACATGAGTATAGATTCCATACAAGCAAATGAGGAAATGGTACACCTCGCACATGAACTTCGTGGGGAGTATTCTGATGATGACGCTGATGACAATGCTGGTGATGTTGAACAGTCCACTGACAAACTGGAAACACCCATGGAGTCCATGGAGTCTATGAATGAGAATAGGGGCGACGGCTTACTAACTACTGATGAAACGGTAGACTTCCATGACATGCAGGATACAAATGACAGGTTGTTGGCTGCAGCTGCAAACCTACAAGAGCAATCAGCTTTTTGTGAGTTTGAATCGATTGATGTTCCTGATGGTGTTCGTCCCTATGAAGATGAAATTGGAGAAGCATTATTTTCTGAATACATCAACACCAAAGACAAATATCAGAACCCAGATACAGCGACTGTGTATGGGAAACGAGCCCCAAGAACCCGTATCCATACCTTGCCTCCAGCTACGTTGCAGACGTTGTTCGAGAAATGGAACTCAGCCGTGCAGCAGTCAGCCAGGGTTTGCCAGGAAATCTCTTCGCGATGTGATGAGTTCGATGTTACATACGTTCAATCTTGTTTGGGACATCAGCTTTCTTTGGTCTTGCATGGGGGGAATGACGATACAGCTCTTGCTAGCCTCGTTACATGGGCCACTCCGTACAACAAGCTTTCGGGTAGATCTGTGAAACTGGACAATGACAATTGTGTGATTTACCCCAGCCACTTTGTGGAGAAAACATCTTTTAGTCCATGCATCATGATTTGGCCAATGACTGGTGCCAGAGTGAGGAAACAATCAAGGGAACAGGTTCCTAGTGATGTTCTACGTGCACGTGAAATGGTTGAGACAGCAGCTGATGGTCTTGTCGGGACTTGCTTGGAGTTGGATCAGGGTTGACTTGTATTGGGTGTCGACAGTCAGAAGGTGATAGTGGTAGTGGCGGCCTAGCTTCACACTCTCTCCGTAAGTGTGCATTTTGCTTACTTCACTGGCATGATGACTGTGCTGATCAACTGGCAAAACGTTTGCCTGGCCTCCTACAAACACATGGAGTCCGACACTTGCATCATTTGGATCTTACGCCATCAACAATGCCTTTTATGTTTTGGTGGCTTGGTGATGAATATCAATGCTGTATACTTACATATAATGCTTCTATAGTCTATATGATATTGATACTTTGTTCTTCATCATACTACCGTAATGAAACACAGTTGCAATATATGCACAAATTCAATGATTTGATGCATAGGATGTGCAATGTTACATATGCAAAATTTGTTTGTTTAAGTATGCGACCCGGAGTCGATCCTGCTGGTTGCGTTCCCACAATAATCCCATACATGTGCCAAAATACCAGGTGGCACGGAGAGGATGACATTGAGCTGGCAAAGGGAGGAAGCTCTTCTGGTGGATCATCATCGTCTGGAGCCTGCCGGATCAGAACGGTTCTGGCCAATTCATTTTACACAGAGACACTGGGTGGTTAATCATCAGTTAGCTGATTAGATGATGGTTTCTTTTCCAGGATATCATAATCATAATGATCTAAATCATTCCATACGACTGCAATATCCTGACAATTTACTGATTGCAAAGTCTGCTGAGCTCGTCTAAGTCAGTTTTGCACAGACTAAATCAGGAACCATGTTGAGACATCAGATAGGTCCAGGATCAACCAATTGAAAACACAACAGAAGTACTGCTTTGTTTTGGCAAATGCCATGACTTTTGATTGTTGTGTTATATGTTGTACATGATAACGATGATACATGTATGAACGAACAATCTGATCTCTGTTTCGCTTTGAAACATTCACCACTCCATACCAAAGTTACCACCAAAGACAGAAGCAGAATCAGGAATCAATCACTAAGAGTCAGCATTATTTGAATATAATCAACCGTTGCAGATATGATCAGATATGTTAGCGTCATCACAAACATCGGGCCCAGGTTTTATTTCCTGCGTGTCATCACTGATTGCCTAGGACACTTCTGCGTCAGCGAATGCGTGACCAGATGATGTCACCATCGCTGTGCGCCTGCTGCGCATTGTTTTTCCGCACCTCGTTCGAGACGAGTGGTGGACAGGCAAGTGGGTCTAATGGGAAATTGAATGTTGGTCACTCACTCATAATGAATGTTGCAGGTCCTAGGTTGTCTAGCCAGCTGACAAACGGATTGAAAGTATACATACATCAATCAATACATCATCATTGGCTATCAGAATCATCATCATCATCATCACATCATCAGTTTCAATAGAACCACAACGTCAACATCACCACCACCACCCCCATCATAATCAATCACAGATGGGAGACTTGGGATTCTACACGCATGGAAAATTTGGGTTCAAACTACAACAAGTTTGAGCTTTGCCAAGTAGCGTGCCGCGGGCTGATCTTTGTGCTTTGGCAATGGCGATTGTGCCAGCTGATTGGAACACCTGGCAGGTTCAACATAATATGATCATGGATACGTTCAAGTTCACCTGGTGGCAAAAACGTGGAACTGTACACTGGAGTAAGGACATTGCAACTATCCACATGGTGGAAGAAGACGATGTTGACGTCTCGGCAAGGGGCAGATTTGAAGAGCCATCTTCAGATTTCATTCTACTCTACGGAATGAGTGCTACCCGTGTTGCTTGGGTAAACTACTATAGGACCACATTGTTGAACCAGTTGGATGTCCTATCACATGCGCCTCATGACACAGAGCTGCTGGCAAGGTTCATGCAAGACAAGATATGCACATGGAACATGTTGCCATACTTCAAGCGTATGGCATATATCAATCATCGTCGTCGCCCCTCACGTTTCCAACGATCTGTGTCTAAATGGTCTATCCACTATCAGTACTCACATATTGGGAGGAAATGGATGGTGTCGCTAGAAGATCTGATGGGTGATGGCACAATTCCGCCTGTTTACGTCGCGAATGTTTTTGAACATGAAGCCCAGCAGTTTTACGACTATGACGATGACGAAGACACCAGCATCCCAATGTTGGTTGACGCAGTGCATCAGTGAGCCAAGGAGACTTAGATCCTATGCCACGACAGTCTTGCAACTATGCAACGTTGATATCCTAAGGATACATGTTGACTTTAACTCCTCTGATCTGGATGCTGAAAGATTCATCCAGCATGGAATCGAATTGTTGCGAATGGTGCAACTTATTTTGACAATGTAGCCGAATTGGACCAAAGCTCTCACGCACTGTGTAGTTATGTTCATACATTGAAATCAAATTCAAACCGGTCCTGATTCACAAACTTGAAAATATTTAAGTCGTTGTCATCCATCCTCCGAACATGACTTTGACTGTTGATCATGTGAGAATATGTGAGCTGACTTTGGTCCGAAGTAATACTGTAGGTGGTGGACTGTGGTGGATATGTGAGTCTTGACACTGGTTGAACGTCTAGATCATTACCATAAGTGCCATACAAGTTTAGTGAAGAACTCCATATGAATTGAACTGATTGTTTAATCTGATCACTGGTCATGTTCAGCCAACTGATACACCAACCCACAAACCACAGCCCTTGTACTGGACGGTCATTGGTAGCGTGACAGAACCGATATGTCACACACAGGTTACACCAGACATGACGCGGCCAACAAAAAAAGGGTTGATGAGTATGGTGATGTTATCAATGTTGAATCTTGAACCATCAATTGACTAATTGACCATCAATTTACCATTTGTATGTTCAAGTTGGCTCCAACACCTTCATACATACGTATATATCAATATACTATTTATCATTTATACTCATATAATATATTATGCACATAATGCTATTGGCTATCGTTCTGACAGCCACGGTCTGTGTTGGGACTATATCTCGCTGGGGTTGCGTACAGTGATCCAGTGATTGGTTGCATGACTGCCTGTTCCCTCACGCAAGCCACGTGCAGGCCTCATCATCGACGTGATTCTCACCTTCGATCTCAAGCCATTCAACGCCTTCAGGACAGCAGTGCTTCTGGCAGTGGGGGTGATGGTAAGAGACTCAGTCAAACAGAATATAAACTTAGACCACACCGGAAATATGATTGTCGTAATGCATATCGGTATGTCGTTTACGAAGTAATGATTATGAATATGGAGGCTTGCTTGTTCACATCCTGATGCTTTGTTACAGCTACAATGTTTGTTTTTCTTTATGGTCATTTGGCGTTGAACTCAAAGTCCCAAGATGGTATTGTTTGAAATTGATTAAGCCTGACAAAATGGACCATGACCATGGGGATATATGTCATATCATAATTCTCTAGTTCATTGCAGGACTGGGCATGGTCTTCATCTTTGTGGTGCCCACAATCTTTCCATGAGAGGCTGGGAGAGAGCAACCAGTCTTGCACGTGGTACTCTTGCACACATTGCGCTACTCATTTTGATTCAGCACATTGTGTATATATGTGAATACTGACACTGGTGCCAACATGTATGTCAATGTATGTTAGTAACATTAACAACCACAAGTGATGCACACATGATTTGTCATAACTCAACCGAATCATGATTTGATACGACAGTAGGTCATTGAATCTCCCTCAAGTTCATTGCACATTCCAGTGATATGATATTCCCATTTGTCACTGCAGCATCTGGCCTTTGACAGGATGGATGAACGGATGCACCGCCATACTCGCCAGTGTGTCGTCGGGATCCTGGTTTGATGCTGGCTGATGACAAACTTGTCACCTAATGAATATGAAGTCAACATATGCTATGATGTTTGTGTATGAACCAGTAAGTAAAGCAGCCTGTTGATGGGAATCTGACTCTGATACCAGTAGAAACATCAACATGTATGTTATACATATGTTTTGTGTTGTATATATATATATATTACTAATTATATATTGTAAAGAATATATATATAATATAATATGTGTGTATATATATGTAACCATCAAAGCAATAACAATAATTATTATCAAAGTGATAATAGTGAGAATTGAGAATGATAATAAGATAATAAAATGATAGTAACAATAATATATATATATATATGTATTTATTTAATTTGTTTTTTACAAATGATAGACAGCCTGAAGTTGTATGACGTATGACAAATGCATCTACCTAATTCCAAACATCGATATGGAAACACATATTCAAATGCGTTTGCATCCTCAAGTTGAAAGGGGTCCGCGGGGAACCCTTTCAACTTGAGGACCCCTTTCAAGGGAAATCTAGTTAGCTGAAGCATCAAAAACCCGTGCAAAACAAATCATTTTAATACGGTTTTTCCAGGTGGCATCTAGAGCCTAGGACACCCCGTAGGAGGGCCTAGGACACCCCGTCCTAGGAGGTAGGAGGGCCTAGGACAGCCCGTCCTAGGGGGTAGGAGGGCCTAGGGAAGTAGGAAGGCCTAGGACAGCCCGTCCTAGGGGGTAGGAGTGCCTAGGGCAGCCCGTCCTAGGGGGGAGGAGGGCCTAGGACAGCCCGTCCTAGGGGGTAGGAGGGCCTAGGGCAGCCCGTCCTAGGGGGGTAGGAAGGCCTAGGACAGCCCGTCCTAGGGAGGTAGGAGGGCCTAGGACAGCCCGTCCTAGGGGGTAGGAGGGCCTAGGACAGCCCGTCCTAGGGGGTAGGAGGGCCTAGGACAGCCCGTCCTAGGGGGTAGGAGGGCCTAGGACAGCCCGTCCTAGGGGTAGGAGAGCCTAGGGCAGCCCGTCCTAGGGGGTAGGAGGGCCTAGGACACCCCGTCCTAGGGTGGTAGGAGGGCCTAGGACAGCCCGTCCTAGGGGGCAGGAAGGCCTAGGACAGCCCGTCCTAGGGGGTAGGATGGCCTAGGACAGCCCGTCCTAGGGGGTAGGAGGGCCTAGGACAGCCCGTCCTAGGGGGTAGGAGTGCCTAGGACAGCCCGTCCTAGGGGGTAGGGAGGCCTAGGACAGCCCGTCCTAGGGGGTAGGAGGGCCTAGGACACCCCGTCCTAGGGGTAAGTAAAGCTACATCTAGAGCCTAGGGCATCCCGTCCTAGGCCAAGTAGAGCCTAGGACACCATGTAAGCCTAGCTTCCTAGGTCATCATCATTCCAGACCGGTCCAGCTAAGATATTTTAACATTGACTCACCATGTAATACTTTATCAAACCCACATGCACTATATCTAATTTGGGCTTTGGTGGAATGGTATGTGTTTATTTATTTCTGTTGGTTCAGGACTAAGCGTAGGACATTATCACAAAAAAATCTAACGATATTATAGCCAGACACACACACACATATATATATATATATAAACTATTGGCTTACATGGGCAAATGTCCAAGTACAAGTTTGTTGTTGATGAGTTGTTGAATATGTTATCACATTTGCACCCATCTTATACCCATCTTACCTATCCGTTTGAAGAATGTACAATAAATAATTGTATCTATTTTTTTATCTCATTATTATACTTGGGTTTGTGTTGTTGCAGTTGTTGCAGTAACAGTGAACCTGCTATCCGTACCTGAGGTTGTAAACACAACGGCTCCGTGATGTGTCTGCTCGAACCCCCAGTCTGATGGGTGACGGTGATGGAATGGACCGAATCTTTCAATAAATACAATACCGTTATTATATGGGTTTGTGTTCATCAACTACACATCTCATTGTGATCCAATTTGATTGCATACCGATATATTATCACTATGTTATTGTTTGTATGTCTGTACGTATGGCTCAAAAGACAGCACATGAACTGTGCAGACATTATGAAGTCTGCATGGTGTGGTCAAAAGCCTGAAGAGGTTGGGGCTATACTACATCAACCCCATGATGATATCCCTCGAACGCCAGCTCGGGCCGTTGTTCTTTACAGAACACAAAAACCCGCAGCCTCGTTTGGAGCGACAGCAGAGGCAGCCTTTGTGACAGTTCTATCCAAGCAGGACAAGTCACACTTGGTTCTGGGCTTTGCAAGGAATGTTTCAGTGTTGGCAATTCATGATGGATCATCTGATCATTTCCAGTCGATGCCACCGCACGTCAAGAAGAATTTCAAATCTTTACAAGATCTTAAACGAATGATGAAAGTTGATGGTAGCTGCAAACTCTATGCCATTGTTCTCGAAGAGTTTGAACCAAAGGGGACCCACACTTATGAAGTGTCTGGTATCAAACTACGGACTGGCTTTGGCAAAACACAAATTGAGTTGATACCTCCTAGCTCTGGATCACTCGCAGATAAGAAAGCTTTCTTTGGTGTTGGACAGTCTGAATCGTCCGTTGGACCCCGAGAATCAATTGAACCGGATTCATCACATGGGAAAGCTGTGGAGCACGTTGATGCCACTGATGCAGTTGATCCCACAAAGACCACTGACAACGTTGAGACTGGTGTGGCACATGGGTCAGTGAGTTTGGATGGTGATGCAGTTTCAGTGAAATCTGCGCATGATGATGATCAACATGCCAACACTCCCAATAGCACTGACCATTGTTCTCGTGATGACATCGGTCAATCTGCTGACGATGTTGATGGTACCATGATACTCGCTATATTTATTTTATGTTATTCTATGTCTTAGATGTTTTTGAAGCTGTACTTTGTTATGTGGATGTTGTCAAGTTATGTTATCTATCAGTCCCGTTCCAAGCCCAGGAATTTGCCGCCTCATTCAATAGCTCCGAGCCCGATTCCAGATGAGCCATTGAATTCAACTCCTCAAGACAGTGACGGTGGTGACATGGGTGCACCTGCGGACAATGTAGCCAACAAAGACATACTGTCCACATTGCATCGTCTTTCGATCACGTATACTTGTTTTGTTTTGATTTCTTTGATGGGGATGATTGATGACGGAACCCAACCCTCATTGTAGCAAATGTAGCATATCGGGTTTCCCATCACGTTTGTGAACAATTACCTTACCTTTGCCTCAGGATGGCCTGAACGGTTCTTGGAAACATACAGATCACTGGACACCAAGTACCACGATGACTCTATGAATGATGTGGCACTCGATGGCAAGTGGAGTCATGTGGAACCTACCAGTGATTTGTTGACACTTCACCGGTTATGCCAAAGAATGGAGCTGACCAGTTATTCATCAGCATTTTCTGGCATTGATTCTCCGGGCACATCGTTCGCCCAGCTTCGGTTAGCAGCATCCAAAATTACTGGAGTGGAGATTGATCACCCATCTCATTTGTATGGGATCGTTTCTGGGTCAAGCCAAGCTAAGAATTTTGTTTTTGGAGCAATGTATGGCAGTGTATCTTCATTAGTTCACAAGTCATCACTGTTCACAATTCAGTGACCAAACCAATCCAATCAAGGAATGGGATTCACAGGCTCAAAACGAGCTTCAAGCACATCCGTTCAAACCCAAATGTTTGTTTGGGAACATAGCTGACTTTTTGACACCTGCTCTTGCAAACGACTTGCAGAAGATGAAAGATACAAACACCATCAACAAACTCAAGGACAGCGTGGTGCAATCACGAGCCCTGAAAGCAAACATGAAGGCACATTGCATCATACACAGGAAACAATGTCAGCCTGAAGTGGGTGCTTTGTGTCATCTAGCCGGCACTCCATGCACAGCCGATTCACAAATGGGGCTTCAGGAGGGCAAGCAGTCCTTGCCCTTTTGTTACTTTTTGACTTGGTGCGCAATGCGACTAGCCCTACAGGAACCCATAGTAGTTCAGGAATGCGTGGATGCATTTGACCGATCCAATTTCACCGAATTGCTCATGATGTACGATTGGACATTCGTATGTCTATCACCCATTCAGTTTGGCTGGCCAATATCACGGACCAGACAGTGGGCAGTGTGTCCAGCCTGCAACAAACAACAACTTATAACAATATCTTTAATCTTTCTTTATTCCCTTTCTTTAGCCTATATTAAACACAGTTGTAATACTATTTTAATACTTGTTTATTTGTTTATTTATTAGATTCAACATGTCCATGGCTCCCCAGTCATTCACAACGAAAAACTAGCCATTGCCACTGCAGGGGACGACACAAAGCGAAAACCTTGGGATTCAGAAGCATCTTCAACATCTTCAGCCAGATGTTCTTCCAGGATGTGATGGGTGATTGGCAGATCTATTGGTGGCAGGACGAGGAAAACAAGACACACCCTCAGTTATGGGCATGATACAATGATAGTATGGTGAACGGTGAACGGGGCAACAGACAACTTGAACATCATCATCATCATCGTCGTCGTAGTCATCATCATCATCATCATCATCATCAGTATACTGCTAGTTATCAGTTATGAATTGCAAATTGCACATGAAGCCTGATTCTTTCCAAAGTCATACAATCAAATGAACTGTATACATTCATTCATGGTAAAGAAGTAAGATTTCGACATCATCAAACCATATTACTATGCATGTGCTTGGCTACTGTAGTGACTGTCAGTGACTGTAGTAAATAAGTCCCTGGTCCGGTTCCTTCTCGTGCTGCTCAGGAAGGATGCCGAAGACCTTCAAGCAGAATTGGAATGGGGGTCCTCACGGCCAGAGTCACGGTGGAAGCTCAATGCTTCTTCACGGTCTGATCCACGCTTGGGGGATGTGGTGGATGGCAACACTGTTTGGGAGGAATGTCTTACTTCGTGTGAAAACAAGTTCTACTTGAAATACATGGATAAATTTCCGGACAGCTGCTACAGTCTGAATCAAGATCCAGACCACACTCCTATGTATGCCCGGGGAAAGGCCCAGGGGTATGGGACATGACATGTTGGACATGGGACCTGGGACATGTATGACCTTCATACAACTTCTGAAGACTTCAGACTTATCTACTTATCGTTATCTTTTTCCAATGAGGTGATATGGAAGAATGATTTCCATTTGTTTGTACATAGCGAGTCGAATTGGAGATAGTTTCAAAAAACATCAAGATTGACTACTGAAGGACTGAGTGAACATCTTCGCTCCTGAATTTAGAAAAAATGACACCACGCATTGCAGATTGATTGTGCTGTCCACAATGTGTGTGTATTGTGTGCATCACAACATCACTGCATCAAAACACAGTATTTATACACATAATGACACAATGCACGCAGTGCATTGCATGCAACACAACCGCAACCACAACCATATGCACATAGACCTACACACCTACGTATCTACACAAACACAAGGGTATGTAACAACATCGGAATTAATGGGACTTTTATAATAATTTGTCTTGGAACCAGAAAGGCCCCTTAATTCGTGAGAATACATACATATACATTTTTCTATTGACACATGACACAACACAAATCATTTGCAGTATCACGAATGCAGACATTTACCATTTCTTACCATGACCAAGACAGCGGCTGGCTCAGGCAATGATGACACTCATCGCTTCAGTGAATTTGGTCATGAGCCACCGTGATCGGAGATGGCTTACACCGCTGGAGCTGTTGTCAACACAAGGCTTCACGATTGATGTGAAGCACAGCTATGGCAAAGCTGTGAACAGTTTTTCCTTGCGTAGGCTTCATGAAGAACGAGGATTTGCCATGTCCATCCCAAAATCCTCTCGACGTGCCATGTGCCACCAAGCAGGAAATTCGATGCACGTGACTATCAGTGGTATGGCCTTCATGTACATCCTCACACAGATCATGATGGACCCACATGTCATGAGTTTACAGGCGTTTGCACGTCGGCGAGATGTGTCACTGACGCCCACCTCGAAACCCATGAGTCCAAAGGCTGATAAGAAACGCAAGCGTCAAGAGGACGAGCAGCCAACATGATCAAGTGTTCACAATCATCAGTGAACTGAACCAACAATTGTGCACAGTGTCACGGTCACATGTTTTCACCTTGATTCTGTAGTCATCGCCGACTCAGACTCATCGCCAAAACAAGAGAGATGGCCGCAATGAATGTATCGTCGAGTCTATGTCAGTTTATGTCAAAATTAGATTCAGAAAATCAAGAGTTATGATAACAGGAATTGTGCAGTGAGTTGACACCACAGACCACAGACTACAGTAGTAGATACCAACATGAACGCCAATGTATGTTTGATGAATCCTTGAATGATATCATATCATATTTTGCATTTATTTATGTATCTTATTTTAATTCGTTAGCTAGTCCCTCATCCAACCCACCATGAATAGCAACGTCGATCTTCTCGGCTTGCCCAAGGCCGTGACCATGGCAAGTTTCACAAGTCCGGAAACCCAAATGCCATCAACGTTGACTTGTGGTGAGTTGGACAACTGGACCAATAAGGAAGAATCAGAAAGGGACACCATGTCACTTGTCACAGACACATGATGACAAGAGTCAGCTGCCGTCATGAATCATGTTTATCAGTTGGGCATGAAATGTTCATCGATTTATGGACATGACACGAATCAACATGTTTGAAGTCAGCAAAGTGGTATTTCCAAAGCTTCACGGTTCACACACGACTTTGTAATTCATCGCAGCCGTTTTGGCTGAGCTAAAGTCTGACGTGGTGAACTTACGTGACTTACGTTGAAACTTTGCCTGTGAGTTCTTGGCATTGTGGTGGCGACCAACCGTGTGATCTTAGTCTGGTCTTGCACAATGGCTTGCTCGTCTCAGGTTCCGAATGTCAGTGGCAGTGCGATCAAAGTGAAGCCCGGTGTTGACATTTGGAATCCCAATGTGTCAGTGGAGCAGCTTTTTGAAGGAGAAGTCAAAGGCCGACTTCTACTCGACAAGCTGTTTGAGTTGTACCAGGTTCGGCTTACTGTTCAGGGAGGGTTCTGGACCATATGTGAATCATCAATCAATCAACCAGTCAATCCATCTTCATCACTAATCTCTCATCACATCAGCATCACCATCAAACTCTCATGGACAGCCATGGCCATGGGATGGTTCTCAGACTTGTGACAGTGTGACAGTGACATACATAAGATACATTATCGACTTATGCCTCGTCTCGGCCAACAGATGACCCAATAATAATCCATACCAATCCATATCCATGATCATGCATTGTATGAACTCCCTGGCCATGATTCCCAAGCCTAGCAAATTGTTTTATCTATGTTTTTAAAGTTTGTTTTCTGAGAAACATTTGTGAGCAGTGTACAGAACATGAACATGTATATACACGCGCGCACCAGCATTCAGAATTCATACGCATTTAACATATTCTACTTGATCACTCATATGGTCCAAAGCCAGAAGGCCATCATAGCCAGAAACGGTCTGATGCAGGTTGGTGAAGGAAGGAAAACATTGCGCTTCTTCAAGGACGGCACTGAAAACAATCACAACATCCCATTCAGTGAGAAGCCCAAAAACTTGGCTCGCCATATGGAGTACAATCCCAGACACCAAGCAGGGGTCAAGATGCAGTACGTGAAAAGTGTGAAAGCTCGGGGAATTGTGGAATCAGTTCGTGGTGAATGCTGGGCCATTGCTCCTGCCGAAAACGATGGTCGACCCGCTCCATACCTCCTACTATCATGTGCGTCCCTGGTGGAAGCATACTACACGGCGATCGCTGAGGAGCCCAACAACGAGAACCTGATTGCGACTGCCAAAAAAGGCATGGAAGCGAGGGTGCTGTCGATTCGCACGCCAGCATCGGTCTGTCGTTATCTGACGACTCTCCACAATCAGTTCCACCACGGCGCCAGCACAAATTTCTTGGAGCTCATTCGCATCGCGCCGCAATTGCATAGTGTGGGAAGATATGAAAAACACATCATCATATTAATAGCTGTTTTATATAGGTGTGTGTGTGTGTTTGTGAGTGTGACAGACAGTTGACCGGGTAGGGTATATGCTATGACTCATTCTCTGAGTCTGAGTTCTGAATAGTCTAAGTAACGGCGATGCTTCCGTTGATCATCATGCTGTTGTTGCTGACAAATCGACACTGGTGATTGACTGATGATGATGATGATGATGATGATTGATGGTTGATAAGTTGATGGTTGATGGTGATGGTCGGTGATGGTGATGATGACTGACACTGACAATAACAACGATGGTGATGATGATATGTTGATGGTTTGTGTTTAGTTGTTTGTCCTCGCCGCCTTCAGGTTGACACGGCACTTGCAGTCTGGAAGCACAACCAGGGGCTCACATGGAAGGTGGAGAACTATGAGTCCAAATGCAACTGAGCTGAGCTGAGCTAAATCAACTAAATGCAATTCTTTCAACATACCCAAATATGAAACATACCCACAGCACAAACCAATCCACCAGACCAAAAGAGAGAACACTATTGTATTATATTATTGAATATACTCTATATATAATATATATTTTATATATATATTATACTTTACAGACTTTTTGCACTGTATATTTTTGTGCATCAATCTTCCTGGTTGCATCATATCAAAATGGTCAACCCTATACACATCATCGCATCATCCTGCGAAGTATCAAATGCTCAACACTTGAATCTTGTGAACAAGTCACGTTACGCCCAGGTGCAAACTATGTGAAGACCCACCCTGAGTTTGGGGAGGTTTTTCCTGATTGGAGGCTTTTTGAAGGTGCACGTGGGTGTCACCAAGTCCTTGTTACGAAACGTGGTCAAAGCTTCTTCGACAACATGTGGGACGAGTTTGGACAGACTGTTGACTTCATGCATGGTCGACTGGCCAACACGGTGGTGCTTCAGTGCATGCAACATGTAGCAACGTCGATCATTCAGACGATCTATGACGGCATGTCTGAGTCCGACGTGAATCTACTACTCATGGAATGCTTGCGGCTGTGTGTTTCTCGGATGTATAGGGTTAGGTTTGTGTGTAGTGTTTTCTTTTCCTTTTCTGAATTAAGACCTTATGCCAGTTACAACAACGACTACTACTAGCTGCTACCACACACTGACAGGACATTTATTTTACGTTTTCTGAAGGAGCAATCCAAACTGAACCACATGCAGGTTCCACAACTGGGGGATGATGATGACAGGGCTTGGGTGTTTGACTCTGTGCCGAAGAAACAATTGGTTCACCGATTGTTTACAGCAATGAATGGATCCGTGACAGCTGTTGGGGGCAAGACCGATGGAGCCACCAACACCCGAAAGCGAAAGGCTTCTGGTAATGCACCCAAGGCCAAGGCCAAAGCCAGGAGAACCCCTGCAGGATCAGCTGCACAGGGCGCTGGGGCAAATGAGCCCGACGTGAACATTCCAAGCGATCCCCGGTTGAATGTTACTACCATTGACTGCCAATACGGTGTGCGCAACAAACTCTGGCTCGATGACCTCATGCAGTGCGCGTCACACACTGTCAGCAGCCTCCAGTCGCAGTTTGGCAACTTTCTTGATGCAGAGACACTCGACAAGACCAAGGTCGGCATCATTCGTTTGGGGTTACGTTTTGCCTTCTGTGGAGACGTCACCGTGACAACCAAGAAGGGCACCAAGAAGTATTCCAAGTGGTCACTCCTTCGACCTGCTTTGCAAGCTCATGGCGTATATCTTGTGACACAGGCTGATCAGAGTTTGAAATTAAACCATTCATGAATACACAATTGGTGTGAGGTGTGTCTATGTCATGAGTCATCAGGATGATATGTGATACTGGTGATGATGAATGATGATGATTCTGATTGATGATGATGATGATGATGATGTTGATGATGTTGATGATGATGATATTGGTGATGATGATTTTGATGGATGCATGATGAATGATGGATGAGTGATGATGGATGGATGATGATGATATATGGTGATGATTCGATGATCATGATGATGTTGATGTGCTTGTTAGGCAGGTATTCGGTATACATTTTGTTTACGAGACCTTGCCTTGACAACTTGACTCATTGACATGTGAACATGTGAACCATGTTAGGTATGTCAGGCAGATCCAAATAGGGAAAACAGATCATGTTTCCATCCAGTCATCCATTCATTCCATCCATACATTTATCCATGCACCCATCCATCCATTGACCGATCAGGTGCTGAAGCAGCACATGGCCGAAATCATCCAAACGGGTGCAAGCGACTCTCATCAAGACCATGCTCAGTTACAAGAGTTGACTTCTGACCCGGCAGTCATGTTCAGCGACAAGACGGTGTCCATGAACGACAAGCTCATCAGGTTTGCGGCTGCCTTGGACGGTTGGTTCAGAAATGAGCCAACAAAGATCTTGTCAACACCACAGCCTTTGAGGGTTTCAGATCATGCTTCCTTTGGCCAGCTGAAGGCAACACTGCTGACTTCTTGCACATGTAGTGCGACCACAGGTGCTGCAACATCACAAGCGCAGTCAGCTTGCATGTTTCATTGCTCTGACCCGGACCTCAAGGATGTGCTGTATCAAGTGTGTCGATGTGTGCATTCTACCTTCTCTGATTCGTGGGCATGCTTTGTGAACATATTCCTCGAATCTTGTATTTCAGGCAAGGGGTGGACTTGGACTTGGACTGGACTATTGTACAGCTCAATCTTCTTCTTCCACATGTTTCTTTTTCATAAACATCAACTTCAACATGTTCTTGTTGTCAAAGGATTAGACTCAGGTTCAAATAGACATGCATGCTATCAGTCACATAACGGACAGTCACGTACACAAGTTGTTGTGCGCTCTTTTCTGTTCTCACCGTTTGACTTTTCACAAGTTGACTATTCACAGAACAGTCATTTTATTCGTCCTTCAACTAGGCCAAGTCAAGCTAATCAAGTTGTCAATCAAGCACATGCCATGCCAACCATCAGTCCACCATGACATCAACCGTTCCACAACTTCAGTAGCCAGCTTTCAACATAGAAATTGATTGGGTCATTTGCCGGCTTGCCGGTTTGCAGGTTGGGCTGCTCCAACAGGACTTGAGCAATACCAGCTTGAGGCCAAGCATGCAAGGCCTCTTTCATCTATGCGAGCAACATACATGATCCAGCTGCTGGTGGACCTGTGTGCAAAGACCGCCAAAAGCACAACGTGGGCAAACCTGTTCGCTCGTCTTGATGAAAGAGAGACACAGTCATCCTTGGTGACTCTGGACTCATGCTCCATCAACGGATTGCAAGAGTTCTGCTCTATGTGGAGTGAAGCTCTTGAATGTCTAGCCCGATCATCAGCAGCAAACCCCGTGGACCTGCCAGCAATCCTCGCCAAAGCAGAAGTGAAACCAATGACAAAGGAGGCAATCAAACTTTCCGGCAAGACAAGTTCCACCAATCCTGATGATGCGGCGGCAGAAGACAACGCGGAATCTCCAAGTGTGTTTTCTGTGAAGGAGCTTGCTGAATTTGGCCAGAGTGATCTAGTACCGGCCGCAGATCAACTGTTTCAACTTCGCTGGATGATTTCAGCAAAGCTCATTGAAGCAGCAAGGACACCAAACCAAACGACCAAACGCTTCCAAACAACAAGTACTAGGTTTAGTTGATTGGGAAATCATCAATTCATCAAACTTCATTCAATTATTTTTAAGACCCCCATCCAGATATACAGTTTATGCTACATTGAATTTCGAATCAACAAACTCACATGGATCAAACGGTGTCCACTGTCCACATGTTCTCGGAACACTTGATGTTCTATGCGCAAAGCTTCCTCACGCTGCACGCTGCACACACACAGTACAAAAAAACATTGTGATAGAAGTTGTTACTGACTACAGTATAGTGACTGCAGTCAGCACTCAGCACTTTCTACTGACTCTATCAATTGTTCTGGTGCCAGGACAACCACCGATGCAAACTGGGACAAGCTGTCACTGAACATCACGACGAGTGAATCCAAGGGAAAATCAACTGATGCGGCGAGCCTTGATGTTGAGATTCTCTACCAGCTCACAGCTGCTGATGAAATCATGGTCAGTCCGGTCGACGAGAATGTGCGATACTGGAAAGCCACCAACTTGACTTTGGTCTTCTTTGGTGACATCGGCAACTTGCCTTTGATTCAGAATTGGATTCTAACATATTTCATTAACAAATTCAACATAAGACTAAGACAAGAATTAAGACAAGACACCCAGTGGGCCCATCACCAAAACAGCTCTGATGTCTGAGATGTTATGGTATGTTATGACTGGTATGGTCCCTGGTATGATTACCGTATAGTTGATTCAACTATGCATGTGATCAGGGTTAGGTTAGAGTTCATATTCCATATCATTATCATTTCAAGCCCAAGTTCAAAAACCCACATTGGTCCATTTACCACAGCAGTCCTGATCCACCGGTCCACCGGTTGAAGGTGAGTACATTGATGAGAATGCGAGCGGACCTGCGGGAAAGGCGGTTGCGCCACGATGCCCGCAGAAACCGGTCACCAACATCCCATTGGAACTTCATTGCCTATCCCAAACGAATGGTGAAAATGTTTCCTACGGTGGGGGGGGTGTGACCAAACTGGTCAAATGTAGCATTGAAATTGGAAACGTTCGGAATCAAAAATTGTTCGATGAAGTTTGGGGTTTCATTTTTTCAAAACTTATAGTGCCTTACAATGTAAAGTAATAGGCTGTAAGTGTAACATGCATTATATATATATATACGTATTAGTCATATTAGTTTACTGGACATATGCTTCACCATGACCCTATGTTTTGTAACCCCATGATATATGATATGATATAAATTTATGTTTGGAATGTTTGGTCATCGATACACCTTGGATCCCCATTGGGGTTCATTGATTGTTGATCCTTTATCATGTCCCTACAGGTGGGATGAAGTTTGGGGTGTCTGGAAAGAACTTTTCATCGATTTCATCGCCTATGTTTTGCCCAGCTTGGATGATTCCACCAGTTCTTGATGACAAAGAACAACCAGGCTTGAATTGCGAGACCAGGCACATGCACATTGACTTTGGGGCCCACAAACTTAAGGTCACATACCACGTCCTTGTGCCAAACGAAAGTGGCTTTTGCTATGTGAAGCGTATCGGCGACACAGAGTATGCAATGCTACGTCGAGGTCTCTTGTGCCTAGATCCTAAGTTCAACCAAGACTTGTTTTTTTCCAGCCACACCTGTGAGGTGTAGTGTGATGATCATTTCGATATTGAATGAATTGTAACACATGTATGCCGGAAATTTCAACCACAGGTCCCTCGGCTTGGGGTAGTCTCATCATTCTCAAATTTACTAAGGCCAGGCGAATGCTTCAAGACAAAGAAAAGCAAGGCAGCGGGGTCAGCAGCAGCACCAAAAGCGGAGCCCAAGTTGAACACCATCGGACCCCTGGCCTGCTTCCATCGTAAGAACTCTTCAGACACGACGCAAGGTGAGCATTGCTCACCGCTTTTACTTAAGACCGCCAAAGATTGTAGGCACTTAGTCAAATGATGAATTGATGGAATCATGATATCATGATCATGATGATGGCTTTTACGTTGAAGCTGCACGTAATTAAATAACATCAGTCATGCCTTAGGCTGCTTAGGCTTTGATGTCAGCTATGCAGCTAGCAGCTATGCCCCAAGAAGGGCTGCAACGCATGTGGGCATTGAAAGGTGATTTGACAGAGCCTGGAACTGGTTTTACAATTTACTTATCTACAGTATATGGCTATATACTATTTATAATTCTTCTCAAGCTATACACATTCTGGGGTATCCTGGTATGTGCATTTTTGTCAACACAAGTCGGCCATTTGTTTCCATAGGACATTAGCCAAATCATCTGGCAATGCGGCTTTGCCGGCCAATTTACTAGGGAGGAAGATCTAAGAACTTAGACACTCCGTGAACTCTTTGGTGCCAGAAAATGGCATGAACGATGAAATAGGATGTTGGACGTAGGGGCTTTGGCAGCTGACAGAAAATGTTTGGTGCTTCCAGTTGTTGTTGCGATGTTTATCACTTCACTATGGACCACCACTATCATCACCACCATCACCATCACCATCACCACCACTCAATTACCATGTTACTTTGATTTTGTCAGCCATTCAGGACTATTGACACACAACTTGAGCCACTCTGAGGTCTTGCAAAACATGCAGGACTTCAAAGATATGGAGGCGCCAAAGGTGCTAAAGGCATTGGTGCCAGAAAAAATCATCACTCGTGGATCAGGTGGACATTGGAAACCTTGGGGAGCCTAAGATAGCATCATCTGGGATTAGACATACTTGAATATAGTATCAGGAGCCCCTAGGACACCAAATATGTATGAATATGGGCTCAGGAGCCCCTAGGACACCAAACAGAGATACCAGAGTCTGGCTTCACTTTTGGAAGACGAGTGCACGGGCCTACACATCCCCCATTCAGGAGGTAAGCATAGATGCCAACCCCTTACTGCAGTACTCAGCTGGCCAGGTCATGTATCAATTGGAAACCTCTCCGATTCAGCAGGCTTTGGAGAAAATTCGTCGAAGTTGTTGACGTAGCGTAGTTCAAAGATGTTCAAAGCAAACACCATCAAAATGGGACGATAATGTTTTCGATACTGCCGCTACTGTACAAGGGGTTCTGCCGCACAGTTGGTTGACTCTCAATTCTGTTGTCCTACGTGAAGTCCTCATCTTGTTGGTCAAGTCCCGATGTTCTTTTGTCACGTCACGTCGCGTGACGTGGTTTCAGCCCATCCCAGAAAATGATGCTTGAAACTTGAAACGTGCTCATTATCATCAAAGGATATTAAAGGTAAAGATGGAACATAACATAACAAGAAAACAAGATCAGAAACTACCAGCTAATGCATGTTGCTCATATCCCCTGTCTACATATTGGTCAAAAAATATCCTCAGCCGCGCCATAAGCGCGCCATGCGGGCGTCATTCTTCCTTACAGGATCCTCAAATGTGACTGGTTTATCCCCAATTTTTCTTGGCAAAACCCTTACCATCTGGTTATTTAACATAGCCATGGAAAATCACCATGTTTGATAGGTAAACCATCTAAAAATGGGCCATCTATACCATGGCTATGTTAAATAACCAGAGGACCCAATGGATGGTGCCTCCAGAACTCGCTTCGTCCAGTCATAACTGTGGTTTCACTTCGTGGGCTTCCCCAGTTATGTTGCTTGAGTTTCACCCCATTGGCTATTACTCTCCGGTAATTTAACATAGCTATTGAAAATGCCGTTTATAGTTACCCATCAAAAATTGTGATTTTCCACAGCAAACTGTGCGACGTCGCGCACTCTGCGAGTCCTCTGCGAGTCCCGACCCAGGCGCAATGTAGTCGCAAAGCGGTTGGTTCCATCTGAAAATCCTCCGAAAACTCGACCAATTTCTGCGGGTCACCCGTTGGGCAGTGACCCAAACTGTTCCACTAATGATGGTCATATGGGGATGGATGGCGAAAAAACAGACCAACTTTTGAAAAATCCCAACAAGAGGGTCAGTGCAGTTCCAGCAATGGATGTGGGGAAAAAAAACAGTTCACCATAGTTGTAGGGCTAAACTCTCCCAATTTTTGCAGGCTATTACCATAGTTGAAGCAATTAAAAGCATCCCCAAGTGCACCCCCGAGCTGGCGTACCAGCAAATTTAGGGGTTAATATGTTGATAAATGATGGTTGGTTGGTTGTAGTATCATATTCCATATTAATTACACATCCCCACAATTGCAATGCAGTGAGAAAGTGGTGGTAAAATATAGGAATAAGTCAAAACCAGCTGTGGATGGTTGCGAAATCCTGCACCAGTTGATAGGTGAAAAAACATCCCATCATTTATGGGGTTTCAACCATCCAAAGGTGGTCTATCGGATTTCGCAATCATCCACAGTATGATTACCATATGACTCATGGCCATGTTGGGTCAGCCTACAATCTTCCGTGGATAATCACAGCACTGTGTTTTCAAAAAAAATGACACCCCAAAACCAGATGCAACTGGAGGATACATAGCATATATAGATTGTATATAACTATATATGTGTTGATGATCATGATGATGATGATGATGATGGTGATGATGATGGTGATGGTGATGGTGATGGTGATGGTGATGATGGTGGTGATGATGATGGTGGTGATGATGATGGTGATGATGATATTGATGATGATATTGATGATGACATCGATGATGATATTGATGATGATATTGGTGATGATGATGGTGATGATGATATTGATGATGATATTGATGATGACATCGATGATGATATTGATGATGATATTGGTGATGATATTGATGATGATATTGATGATGATATTGATGATGATATTGATGGTGATATTGATGATGGTATTGATGATGATATTGATGATGATATTGATGATGATATTGACGGTGATATTGATGATGATATTGATGATAATGGTGATGATGATATTGACGATGATAATGATGATGATATTGATGATGATATTGATGATGATATTGATGATGATATTGATGGTGATATTGATGATTATATTGATGATGATATTGATGACGATATTGATGATGATATTGATGATGAGATTGATCATGATATTGATCATGATATTGATGATTATATTGATGATGATATTGATGACGATATTGATGACGATATTGATGATGATATTGATGATGATATTGATCATGATATTGATGATGAGATTGATGATGATATTGATGATGATATTGATGATATTGATGAAATTGATGATATTGATGATATTGATGATATTGATGATATTGATGACATATGTGTGCAGATATGTATATCTCATGATATACAGATGGCTTGTCATTTCCTTATCATCGAAAAAATCGTCCGATGATCGGCCACAATGATCCCCATGGGCGACCCCGCCAGCAAGCTGCGTGGGCAGTATTTGAAGAGCAGATGTTGTTCGCCTGGGATCGGTGCTGTCGGGAGCACTGGGAGAATGGAGATTTTCGGAGATTGATGTCGGAGATTTTCGAGAGATGTCATGATCCTTAAAATCCATGGTCACAACTCGGGGTGAACCAGCAAATACTATATAAGATCACCTCAAAAATGGAGGCTTCAATTCGGAAGAATCAGAAAATAGCCTCTGGGTAATACAACATAGCTATTGGAAATTGGCAAATACCCTCTGGTAAACATACAAAGTTAGCTATTGAAAATGGCCATAGAAATAGTGGATTTACCCATTGAAAATAGTGATTTTCCAGTTCGTTGTGTAAACGTTTATCAGAGGGTAAGTCACTGATCATGTGAATAATGGGCAAATTATGTGATAAGTGTGATAAGTCATGGGTAATGATATGTAATTATTGTTTATCGCGAATAATCATGTGGTAAGCCCAATGTCATAAACAATCCCCACGTCATCACCGTTTTTGATGGAATTCCAACCATCCCCAAATGGTAGGTTGACGGCATTGGGTTGCCAACATTATTGGGAATTGTATCCGTAGAATTTGGAACTTAATCGACTTAACCATATAGTATAGTCAAAAATTGTATTAGGTCAATAACGTGAACAGGATATGATGGGATACGGTATACCGAACAGAATACAGCAATGGGCAGCAATGGGATACAATGGGCACATGGCACATTCATGCACATTCAGTCAGAGTCGGCCTAGGAGGTATCATATCAAATTATCATATGGCAGTGTGTCAAAACCTTGTACCCCTGGTGAACATCAAAATAGCTGGTAAATGGATGTTCATCCCACTAAAAATGTATCTATAGGTATTGACCCATACCCATATTCATAAATTCTGAGAATTGCTCTTTTCGGTCTGATTTCTCTGACCCTTCTGTGACGTGAATTGGACTGCCAACTATTATCCACAAAATCGCTGGGTATCATATAGTCCTTTGCATATTTGAACACTAAACTCTCAAATTTTTTATCGCTGAAATCCCCATTCTTCCGGGTCACAAGGAGGATTTGCAGATGAACAAACTTCCCATTCGTCCTTCACCAGCGCCCCTTCCCCCGTTGTTTCCCTAACGCGCAGGTAGGCCACTATCGTTGATCTGCCGCAGCCAAATCTGCTTCTCGCAACCATGCGTAGCAGTGATCTTGTTCACTGCGATGCTAACCTCCTGGGGGCGCGTAGCTGAAATTGGAGATGGGCTATGAAGAGAATGAGTTCAGAAAATTCACGCCAAAATATCCACAAATTGGGATACTAATATACATATATATATATATATATTATTATATGATTATATATGTATATATGGTTGGTGGTTTCAACCCCTCTGAAAAAAATGAAAGTCAGTTGGGATGATTATTCCCAATATATAGAATAACAAAAAATGTTCCAAACCACCAACCAGTACATGTATATATATATAGAGAGAGAGAGAGTCTATAGACACATGATATCCTCCAACAGAGATCCCTGAAGATTCCGCGATTTACAGCAATATCAAGGGAAGTTGATGGTATAACCAGCAGAAAACATTCTTTAATTCGATCGTTCCTTTTCAAAATGTCAACGTCTAACGTTGGGATTTAAGCTTCTGAACAATCAAGTCTGTACTTAGAAAAATGTCAGCAATTATGTTTTTTTGGAACACCATATCAATAAGTGGGTTTTAACAACCGGTATTGACAGGTTGATCTTTGATGGACATCCCAATCAAAAGGGATGAAAATGATGCCCTACAAATGGCTTCATCAACCGAGCGGTGGGATTTTTGAACGACTCTTTGAAGGAGAACTCTACAATCATCCTCAAAGTTACATCATTGTGTACCATAAATGGGCTGTACAAACATGTATAAACCATCAAAATATGGGCGGTGTACCTTTGCTTTACTGATTGTTGATTGAACCAAATGTGTATGTATATTGAACCCAAAAGAAACATTCGTCAATCATCCAAATGTGTTCTTTGCTGATTGAACCACCCAAGCGCCAAAGACATCATAAAACCACCAAGGGTGCATCATTCCGATGACAAGAAAATGCTGAACAAAAGGTTGGCCTTCAATGATTCAAACACAAGGAGAAATTCTAAGTCAACAACTTGAGAGGGATTCAGTGGTGGCCCAAATTTTAAGAACCACCAATGATCCAACCGATGTTCTTGGTTCGACAACCAGGGAAATCTCGCCTGGAATCCAACAATATAATTTACAGCAACCCCGAAATTTATAGGACAGGTTCAATTTTATCACCGTGTTCGTCGGATTTTACCAAATTCTATCTTTGGGGGTTACCCTTCATATATACATATATATATATATATTAGATTATATATATATATATATTAATATATATATATATATCATAATATGTTATCATGTCTATATTGATATATGCAAGAGATTTCCAATGAATTCTTCTAGAATCTGGCCGTGAACATCTTCAAACCGACCCAGCTTTCTTTTCGTTTCCCGGTTTCCCGCGGTCCCGGCCATTGGGCGTCTCAGATAAAGTGAGGTGCAGGTGGTCCAAACCCAAATGGGCCAGCGCCTTGAGACTTTGCTTGGGAAAATTTCGCAAAAAAAAAAGGGATATGAATGAGGATGAAGCCATGATCATTGATCGAAAATGTGTGAAAACTGTTGATCACATGCGAAAGGTTTGGTCTCATCGTTTGATACCAAACTTGATCATCCGCAAAGGCTTGGTATCAAAGATCTCTTGAGAACTCGGCAAAAACTCACGGGCCCCGTTTAGGTGTGTCGCTGGAGTGGGGTTTCTATAGGGACCCCCAAAAGGAAAACCTGTGAGTCAATCCGATCCATCTTGGGTTTGTCCGAACACCAAATGGGGGAAACCCGTAAACCCCAGTCCATCCACTGGTTGTATAATCAGCATTTCCCTATGTATTAACATATCGGGGGGATTGTTTTTTTCCCCATTCTCAGACACAGCCATTCAGTTCCAGGCCTTGATTGGGGAAAAAAAAAACCGTAGAAATCTAAGGAGACATGCTGGCCATTTTCCACTGGACCTAAGAAATTGATGCAATTTCTGTTGTATACAAAAGAGATGCTCAATCTTTGTCCAAATAGATCCAAGCGGCCAAACGGCTGTTTTTCGGCTGTTTTTCAAGTTTTTTAGTGCGCAACTTAGGCCTAAAATGATTGGCCATGAAATGATGTTCAAATGACCAGCCATCAGTGCATAGATTTCACCATAGTTAGTTCGGGGCTCAAAATATCCCAACAACTTACAGGGGTTACCCTCTGGTAAACTAACATATATAGCTATTGAAAATGACCATAGAAATAGTGGATTTACCCATTAAAAATGGTGATTTTCAATAGTTATGTGACAGTTTACCAGAGGGTATTTCACCAGGATACCATACGCGTAAAAGTATGTAAAAGTAACCTTAACTGCACACTCAAGTTTCGCATCACCTTCCAGTGGCCAAAGTCTTCAGCCAATACCACACTTTTTGCTGGTCAATCTCCTACGTTTGGTTGTGAAAACCCAGTGTTCAACAAGACATATCCCCCAGGAACCACCCAAACAAAAACGTATAAAAACCATCATTTATTGGTGATCCAGTTCCACGCCTTGGCATACACTCCATGACCTTTCAGCGATCTCGGATTAACCACCAAATGGGGACAGTAAAACCCAGTGTATCCTGGCTGAAGCTCACATGTTGGTTGGAGCCTTTGCACCGGGGATGCGTCAAAACCTATGACACCATATTTAGATTTGGACCAGTTTAAGCATACCGGAATCAACTGATATATCTTGATTCATGCCGGTTTAGGCGTCATATTTATGTTGGTCTTATAGTCTTATATTGTAGTTTGTGACCCATACCCATATCAAGCAGAGCAACGATGTCCTGCTAGCAAAGATGAGCAGGTCGTAGCCACCAAGGTGAAAATTGCTTGTTTGCAAACCACTAAGCCATATATCAAGATTGGAATTTCTATGGTTCACAAACTCATCTGAACACAGCAGCTCTGCCTTCAGCAGCCGCTGCCAAGAGTTCCAATGACAATTCCTGGCCGGACGGCCCGGACGGCATCCACGAGGAGGTGACGGCCCGGACGTTCCCAGTTTGGAATATCGGCCAATGTCACGACAAAAGCTTCAGATACCCAGTCTCAATACATCAATTATTTGGATAGTTTTTTCCTAGCTGGTATTCAACAAATATGTCCGACAGCTCCAGATATTCGAATTCCCAGTTTCAACGGCGCCGTGCCGTTGAAATATTTTCACCTCACCTCCAGTCGGATCACCGTCTTGGCGGTGCCGCGCACCACTTCCGGGGCCGGCCTTGGAGTCGCGGCTCTTTTTTTCTGGGAAGATCAGATGATTTTTATGGTTTGTGAATGTTTTATGACTAGACTGACTAGACTAAAAAAATCCTAGATATCAGATGTTTATGGATGTTTATGGATGTTTATGGATGTTTATGGAGAATAGAACTTTATAAGATAGTACTGTAAATAATTTCATGCGAAGCCCCATGACTTTATAGAACTCTTGTGAATGTTTATGACGACAGTATTGTTCATGGGCTGATGTTGGTCCTCCAAAAGTTCACCATGGTTATCCCTGGTCAGTTGGGATGATGACATTCCCAACTGATATGGAACGATAAAGCCATGTTCCAAACCAACCAGTGTCATATATTTTCCCACATATATAAATGTGGTACTGAAACTTCTTTATATCTATCTTTTGGGAACTAATTACTCATTTAAATGGCCAAGGTTTTCCACCTCACCAGTCATCACCAATCACTGCGCTCCCCGGCGTGCAGCGCAACTTCAAGGAGGGACAGCCCGGCAGTTCCGCCAATCGCGCCTCGATGTCTGAGGTGCTGTATATATGTCATATGATGATGTGTATATATATATAGTGATGGTCATGGTTATGGTTATGGCTATAGTTCTGGTGGTCATAGTTATGGTAATGATAATGGTCATATATATAATATTATATATAATATATATATAATGGATTAGAATGGTACACCCCGGGCCCTTGCTCGGATGGTTTTGTGAACTCCGGGGGCCCGAGGGCAGATTGGCAGATTGTCACATTTCGTTGCAATCAAAACCTCTGCTGAAGATATCGAAATGTCAAATTCTGGATGAAATTCCCCTGAATTCCTTGGTGAATTGTGGATGAATTGCCCCCAAATTATATGAATTCCCCAGAACAATCGTCTATTTTCCACAGGTGTTTTTGCGTAGGAGAATTCGTAGCTCAACTCTTGAGCCCGGTTAGAATTTTCCCACCAGGTCTTTGGTCCCTGAAAAGTCAATGGCAAGCATGGCAAGTGATTACTATACACATTGCACATGACTGGAAAAGTTGTGTTGATTTCGGTTATACATCTCAATGTAAACATTGATGTTTGGTAAATGATATCTCAACATTTCGAATTTCTACCAATGGAATTTCTCAATGCAAACATTGCATCGCATCTCTTCATGGACGAAATTCCAGGCCCCGGTGGGTGGCGAAGTCAGCGGGCGAGCCACAAACTGACCAGCTGGACCAACCCCTTTTTTCGCCCAAAGTGGATGGTTCAAGGACTATCCCATTGAACAGAATATTCACCATAATAATAGTGATTCATGAGACATTTCACTATATTCCACTCTATCTATATATAGGACTATCCCATTCCACTATAATAGTGATTATAATGAGAATATTCAGAATATCCCTCATTGAGTTCCATGACTTTCCCATTGAAACTTCCATGAAACTTTTTCAGGACTTTCCCAGCCCGAAAAACGCCTCTACATCAGCACGAAGGAAGAGTTGCCAACGAACCTCCGGAATGGAAAGATAAGGGGAACCTCAGGACCTCAGATATGGGGATTTACTGGGATTTTTCCGGGATTTGCATGGCATGTGCATGATGAGATATGACCAATATTAACCAATCATATCCAATTTCGCAATTCTGGGTGTGTCTGAAAACCCTTTTTTTTCGAGAAAGTGAGGTCTTCATCGATCATCCAGCGCTGACGAGGAACTGAGGCTATGCTGAGTTCCTAAAACCCCTCGCTTGTGCTGAAAAAACCCTCAATCAAACATGGCAATGAAATGTGAAATGTTCCTCCACTTGTTTCCATCGTGGTGCCTTTCTCCTCCACAATGCCAATTGATTTTCGATGCCATGTTTGAGTGGGCTCTGTGACAATTTGACGCTAGGAAATTGCACGTATTTCGGGTAAACATCAGGGATTGTCCATTCCCAGGTTGGATCAAACCAGAGACACTCGTGATGCATCCAGAGAAGTTGGCTGAGTTGGTTCAACTGTGAACACCTACGAAATGACCATGATTTTAAGGATCATGACTTGAGAAATTTCATATCCCATGACATCAATACCCATAGGAAATCCCAATAGTGCATCTAAATAGCTTCTTAAATCCCAATTTCTTCCATTACCCTCTGATAAACCAACATAGCTATACAAAAACACCATTTCGAACAGGTATATAATTCCATCAATTATAAATTAGTGCCATTTTCAATAGCTATGTTTGACATCACCAGAGGTTATGTCAAATCTTGACATCCCCATGTCTGATGATGAATCCTCCGCTGTCTGCTCCAACTCGTGTGAAATCCCAAACAAAAAAGCCATTTCTTGGCGGCTGATCCAAAAAATGATTCCATCATTATAATCAAAATAAGAAGAATCATCATTATAATCTCACGTATAGTTCCCCACCTGACAGGTGAGGGTCTCTATGTAGATTTTAACAAAGGTGCACCTCCTTCCTCCTCACCCGTGCCACCTGCACCGTCTTTCCTCCTCCTCCGCCTCCTCCTTCAGCTCCGAATGCTGTGGCACGCTTGGACCCGAACTCATGCCAGAGAGAATGCCAGAGAGAAGGCCAGGTAGAATGTCAGAAAGAATGTCCGAATGGATGCCAGATAGAATACCAAAAAGAATGTCAGAAAGACTATCAAAACGAATGTCAGAATAGATGCCAGATAGAATGCCAGAAAGAATGTCAGAATATATGCCAGACAGTATGTCAGATAGATTGCCAGAGTATATGCCAGAGAGAATGTCAGATAGAATGTCAGAGTATATATGCTAGAAAGAACGTCCGATAGAATCTCAGTATATATATATATGTGTGTGTGCCATATCTACTTCCAAAAAGTATGTCAGAAACTATGTCGGAATAGTGTGTCAGGGTTTCTGGATCACTCCAAGAAAGTCCTTATTTTTCTGCTGATAAAACCATACGTAAGTAATAACCTGAGCACTATAACTCCATCCTTCGCCTTGCAATATCAGATTATAACATATTATAACCATGATAAGTAACCATTGTCCCAACAATAACCATGATCAGTAATTAATAACCTATGATATTTCCCCATATTACCATTGGAATGACCATATATTACATATGCTATATAACCACGTTAAGTAACCCTTGTCCCAATCCATCCGCAGGTCGATTCCACATCGTTTTCGCCTGTGAAGAGCTCGGAGCACCCTGGCGGAGAAGACTTCTGGTCGGCCAAAAAAATAACCAAGAAACCATTCATAAGTGGTCCTACCCGACATTCATAAGTGATACTAAGCAACATTCCTATGATCTAACTGTCCTACATTCATAAGTGGTACTCGCTCATCACACATCCCACATAATCACCTCAGGGTGAATCCAAAAATCCATGAATCTCATGTGCCAGAGATGTGATCAGAAAATTGCCGCTACATTTAACTAGATGTTTTTTTTAAAGTGATCTTCGAGTTCTTTCCTTATGATTTCAAAAAATATATGCAGTAACCCTCTGGTAATTTAACATAGCTATTGAACATGGCACATTTATAGTGGATTTTCCCATTAAAAATGGTGATTTTCCATAGCTATGTTAGTTAACCAGAGGGTAACCGATGTTCACCCACTATTCACCGGCCATCAACGGGTGGTAAAACGCCCCTTTCTTGTCAGCCGTGCAGTAACGCACCCCGCCTGGTTCCCGTTCATCCCCGGCTTGGGCGTGTCTGCCTGGCAAATTCCCTCAGTTGTAGCTGGGAAAATCGAAAGGGCGGTACCCGGTACCCTCTGTTAAACTAACATAGCTATGGAAAATTGTCATTTATATATTTATATATGATATATGTTTTATGATATACCCATTAAACATTGCGATTTTCAATAGCTATGTTAAATTACCAGAGGTTTTTTTGCTGGATTTTCCAGCAAACCACCTTTGATCACCAGAGGGTTAAGTGGAAAATGTGAATTTTACCCTCTGGTAAACTGTCAAAAAACTATGGAAAATCACCATGCTATTAATGGGTAAATCAACTATTTCTATGGCGATTTCAATAGCTTTTTGTATGTTTACCAGAGGGTAAGTGATTTCATTGGAAACTTCGGTTTGAAGTGGGCATTCTAATTCAAAGCTATGCTACTAGTAATTGGCTTAATCCCTTCCCCTGTTCATATGAAACATCCCTCAGAAACTCTGGTTTGCTAGGTGATTTACGCATATGTTTGGTATCATACAATGGGCGTGTTCAATATTGGGGGTGTTTAATATTGGGGGTGCTTAATATTAGGGGAATGGGATTATTGTTCGAACTAACAATGACCATGCTCTTCTTGCTATTGGTCTACCTATATTGAACAACCACGGTAACAATGACCATTCTTCATGTTACCATGATTCATGTTCTTCTTAGTTGTTCTTTTCTTCATGTTCTTGTTATTATATATTATTCTTGACCGGGCTGTTCAGTCTCATGTATGTGTCTGTCTTGGGTCAACCCTCACGGAAAATGTATATTTTTCATGCTCTCAGCAAATGGTTGATTCAGCTTGCATGCCTCAAAAAAAAAGATATGCACCCCATGAACGTTGAACTAGAGAAATAGCATAATGTCTAATCATAAGGGGAAAGCGCCCGTTTTGCAGGCGGTATATGGATATCTCAAATATTCTCAAATGGATTTGTTCCCTCTCATGCATCAGCTTAAAAACTTGGAGAAACATCGGAGCATTCGAGTGTAGAGGACCTCCTCCTTGGGAAATGCCAGACCGGAGAGTTCTTTCACATCTCGAAGGAGCCTGGCACAGTGGGATCATTTGGGATCATGGGATAAAATTGGATGCACAGCCAACCATATGATACACTTTTCTTTGGGCTGTGTCAAAAAATCATCAAATTACACGCAGAAAAAAATAAGCATGATGATGTGGAGCAGGATCTTCAAAAACCCATATGGAAGTTTCGGGATTCATTCAGAAAGGCCTACCTTTTTCCGGGTATTTCAAGGGTAAAAGAAACACCAGCCGTTTCTAAGGTGGAGAAAACATGAGAAAAACCCTTGGAGATCATCGAAATTTGGTCAATTGGATCGCAGGAATGATCAATCGCCCAAAAAATGGATGATTTCATCTATCATGTGCTTGGGAAACTCTTTTTTTTGTGCGGTGAATTGGGCCAATTTCATAAACCATCTCCAGGTCATCACCATGAAAAAAAAGGGTCCTTTTTCACCCCAAATGATGGTAGGTTGATGGCACTGGCTTTACCACATTAGCTTGGATTTGCTGATTCGGGGTCTCCAAAATAAGTCAAATATTCACTATATCCCTGAAAATAGGGTATATTCTCAATTATAGCCATTTAATAGGGATAATGATCATTAACCATTGGGTTTAGGGCTACACTATTTTCATGGGGAAAATAAGCCAAATCACCGACTAAACAAAGCCCGCCTCAGCACGGGCAAAAGGTCCATCCGCCGCAGCAGCAGCAGGGTGGGAGCCAAGTCCACGCGCAAGACCTACCACGGAAAAAACAAAAACGGCCACGCGCGGGGCGTTGAAATCCTGGAAATCTGATGGAAATCTGATAGCACCAAAAAAAACATCAAATTTGGAATCCAATGAAAAGAATGGTCAATTACTACAAAGATCATAATTATCCGAAGGTGAAAAAACATGTCAGATAAAGGGAAATTGTTCTTCTATCGTTCCTGTACGCCAGCATCAACCACCATTGACAACCATTATCAACCATTAATCTTGGTTACGTCTATTTTGGCCTATTCTTGGGGGGCAATACCTTTGGTGGGCTACGCGTAGATTTCCCGTTTGTTTTCACTGCGTTTTGTCATACCAGCTACAACTGATGTTCCCACCTCCTCTCCCCATGAAATGGTCAATTCCATGTTTGCATTTTCCCGGAGAGCAGAATTGGAAAACCGAACAAAGTGGATGGTAAAATCTAGAGTTATCAAGCCACTATCGGGGAATTGGATGGTGCTTTCACATCAAATAGTTTGGTTTCCAGCCTGCATGGAAGAAAATCCCAATTGACAATGAGTCTTTTCTTACTTATGCTTGGATTGCTATCGGATCTAAAATGGACTTCAACACATGCTTCAAGCCATCAACCCATATCAACCCATCGTTTCCAAATGGAACTTCCGTAGCTTTTCCGCCTGCCGCTCCAAATGGAACTCGACACGACCTGTGAAAAAAGTTGTTGCCCGCAATGGGATGACGAATGATCCCCGGGTTGCTGGGATGGTGAGATATGCCAAAGTAATTTTATTCGTACTTACATATTAGCATATATTTGTTGTGAGACCATACATATACTTATGGTAATATATATAAATATATATAACATATTAACCACTATGGTATTATAATCCCATAATAATGGCTATTTAATATATATATATACATATCGTATGTATATAACTCTGCTGGAACTGATAGGAACCCAGGATTCCAGGATCCCAACGTTCCCTTTGTTTAGGGGCTCACTCTGTGTGCTCTCGATTTGAACTGGCCATGACTAACATGATTAACACCCAAAAAAAAACATGGTGTTGGCTTTCCCACTATATTAAATATATAATATTGTAATATAGACAGACATGAACGTCAAAGTGGCTTTTTCAAATGATAGCGATCAGTTGGTGAACAGAACTCCAATAACTATGGTTTATGATATTTAAAATATATATATATATATAATGTGGCTAAAACAATAATGAACCATCCCCCAGGCATCACCATAAATTTATAGCTGGTTTTTCCACCATTCCCAGTCCTGGGTGGTAAAAATGGCATTGATTTACCCACATGATAGGACATTGGACATTGGACATTCCCCAATCTGAAAAGATTATGGCGCGATCACCGCTAACCGCTAACCCAAGGTTTACCCAGAAAATTCTGGCATTTTTCAGCGTTTCTGCCAACGAAAACAACACCCGGCCTTTGCACAACCCGGATGTCTCCAGGGACCAGGATTGACCATACCTACCAGCTGCAGTGAAGTGGAGGTCAACATGGATGAGCCAAGGCACGCTGATGGCAAAGAATGAACCCATTGCGCCTAGGTTTGCCCAAATTCTCAGTACTTGGCCTTAACCATCCGATATTTTTGGCTAACCAATATATATATATATAATTATGTATTTGTATATACATACCGGCAGTATTCGGCAGTTCCATTTCAACTAATCCCCATGAAGTCCCCCATGCCTCGCCTGGAACACAAGCTCCTGGAGCCAGCTTCCGCTGTGAAGACAGCTGTGCCATCTTCCTGGAAAAAGGTGACCGTTTTCATAGGGAAAAGATGGAAAAAATCTCACCAAATCTGCCAAGTTGAGCAGGAAAATATGGAGAGAATATGGGGGAGTAGCACCACATTGCCACGAATGTGGAATCTTGCGGAAAACATTGGAGAATAAGTTGGCACCTTTTCAGACAAGACTCAGTTGGTGGGTCACTCAGCTATGGCGGTATGGGTCGTCAGAATGGTCATCCTATGAGGAAACTGATCTTCTAAACCACCAGGGGGATGTGGATTCATATGGCCAGATGGGATCGGCACGCTCCGCTCCAGATGGGATTCAACTTGGATCCGACTAAAGGTGCTTCATCAATAAAGGTTTAAAATGATGAATCTTCCATAGGTGCCAACCAGAACTATATGTTTAAGCTGGTGAATGTACATGTCATCATAGCGAAAGATGAAATTGTACTAGTTACTAACAGTTCGTATCCAACCAGTCGGTCGACCTAGATCAATATCTCATCATTAAACCCCATTAAATCCAATTACCCTCTGGTTATTTAACGAAGCTATGGAGAATCACTATGTTTAACATGTAAATCATCAAAAAACATCTATAAATGGGCCATTTTCCATGGCTATGTTAGTCATAACCATAGGGTAAGTCCCAGCAGATCCCATTGAATCCCATCATACAATAGATGATGACACACGGAAGCCATGGCTTTCCCCCCCAGCTGTGACGGATGACTGCACCTTGAGGTGCGGTTCCATGCTGTGAAACGTCTCATTCTGCTTCTCCTTGCACGACATGTTTACCCCCGGAGGTGTCAAAAAAAGTGTCAAAACCTCACCAAAAATGGCCAATCTTAGATCATTTGCTCATTTTTTACAGAACCAAAGCCCATTCTATGGTTCCAACATGTTCCAAATATGTGATCTCGTCCCCCAACCATGGTGACCCTCTGGTGTGTCCTCGTCGCGCCACCACACGCCCTGCCATGAGAGCGACAGGAATGGAGCCTTCTCGGTACCTGGATGATTTCAACGAGAAGCCGCAATTTTTCTGGATTTCACTGGACAAAAGTGGGATGTTGACCAAGGAGGATGGTGAAAAAATTGGCTTTCGCCCAAATGTGGATGACCTGGCCAGTGATTTGGGTAACTGTGATCTGGTTTTCAGCAGCGAAAATGAAGATTTGCTCAATTTTGGAGATGTGGGAGAACTTGAAGCAGCAAAAATTATAAGATTTGAAGCACAATTCAATGGGTGTTCAATGGTTGGTATTAACCTCTGAGGATTCGGTTCGGTCATTTGCGTCCCAGAAAATTGGTGGTGCCTCGTGTTGGGGGCCCTGTTGGGGGTCAGAATCATTTCTCCAATTAATCCCCCAAGAGAAAATGTGTGCTACATATCATACATCTCCCCCATCTGCCAGAGCGACTGGTGAGTGGAGAACAAACAAAAAGGGCAACTCATGTCTAAGGTGGTGCTAGTTATCAGATACAAGTTACTCCAGTTCATAATCCCCCAACCAAAGATATAACATGTTACAACAATCACAAACAGAACAGTTAAGCTATGAGAAACAAACAACTTAGCTGACGAAAAAGGAGCACCAACTTACACCTCTTCGGGAAAAAAGTTGCCGAGGCTGCTCAGTTGACTCAAAGCGAACTTTTCTAGGCACAGAAAAGTTTCAACATGGAAGCTTAGTGGCTCCTTCCCCCATCGGCCCCTATGAAAGGGATTTAATATGGCTTAATAAGCTTATTAAGCCACCCGATTGATCGGGTGCTAGTTCGTATCCACAACATCAACATTTACATCTGGGTTATCAACCATCCCCATGTGAACATACAGGTACAAAAATGGAGCTTAATCAACCAAAGTAGAGTCCTTGTAGGTTAGCATCCCAGTTAGAAAGTGGTTTAGAACCTGATATTCCATCAATCTGTCTTCAAAATATGACTATCACGCATTTACCACATTCTGTAACTGGATCTTCAGTAAATACAAGTCTCATAAAAAATATGTTATGACTCCGTTATGACCATCTCTGTAGGACTTAACCACATTTCTCCATTTTTTTTGGGGGGGGGTGGTGCTATTTGGCTACACCCAGACCACAACGTTCCTTGAAGCTTCCGGACTGTGCCTTGAAGCTTCAGGAGGCGGAAAAAATATGGCTCCTCGTCTCCCATAGGCCTTGAAAAAACCAGACCGCGAAAGTGGCGAAACGGTGAAGCCAACGGGATCAACTTTGGGTTCCAATTTTTTCACCCGGGGAAAAATTCGTCACTTTTTCCAGGGAAAAAAAAAACAAAACAAGTGTTTCGGGGTGATCCCGTGATTTTTGGGAGGTAAATAGGCAACTTTCTCAAGAAAATCAATGGCTGCAATGTTTTCCCTGGTGAAACCCAAGGATTGGCCAAATCGCCATGTTCAACGGATATGTGGTCTACGTTTCTGTGGCAAACTGTTCGATTACCAAGGAGGAGCCAAAAAAACTAACATTGAACCAAGCAAAATGGGTATGTCATGGTATGTCGCGTGTTTCAGCAACCAAACCCCCGGTTTAGTTCGTTTCAAGCCATCACTGTTTTGGGATCATCGCTGTTTTGGGGGGATGGGAAGCCAGCGGCGTTCCAAAGCACTCCCGGAGCAGAACCTCTTGGGGCAAAATCGGATGAGCTCGGACTTCTCGATCAAATTCAGGCGATCCTGCGCCAGGATGGGTTGAAACTGCCTGGTAACCTCTGTAGCCCTTGAGTTGCTGATAGAATCCGATTTACTCTCTGGTAATTTGTTACATAGCTATTGAAAATGACCATAGAAATAGTGGATTTACCATATTTACCCATTAAAAATTGTGATTTTCCATAGTTATGTGACAGTTTACCAGAGGGTAATGTTGCTGGAATCTATGTATACTGTACACATATCTATATATAACAGTCGATGGATTCTTTAAAGTATATGACAGCACCAGTTGTGAAATGTGCGCACCTGTCCTGAAGCTCATGGTTTTGTATCATGGTTCCACAATTCGATGTTTCGGCTAAAAACACTCATCTTTGTGGTAGGAGGAGGCTGCCGAAGACCCACTTGCATCCACCCTGATTAGCTATCTAACTAAATGGCTACAGCAGTCAATGGTTGGTAATATGATTGCCCTCTGGCCTGCTAACATAGCTATTGAAAATGGACCATTTATAGTGAGTTTTCCCATTAAAAATGGTGATTTTCCATAGTTATGTGACAGTTTACCAGAGGGTAATATCCCACTTGCAAAATGCAGAACATCCAATCAACCAGCCAGCTGTCAAATCGGCCTCCTCTTTTCCATCTTCCCGCAGACCAGTGCTGTATACAGAGAGCTTTCCACAGCGGAACGCTGAGCTTCGACACCTGGAGGCGGTAAAACTCAGACAGCCGCTCTCCGAAGACAATCATCTAGGACCAATATAGGAAAGTGTGTATTGAGTCTAAACACTAAAAACCCAGAAAGATCTGGTGTGTTTATAAGTGTTTAGATCTATAATAACACTATCTGGTGTTTTTATAATATAATATATATATAATAACACTAATAAATTCAGGAAGATTCAGAATAAGGTGAATGGATCAACATAGCTACTATTAACCATGATTAACCATTATTAACCATTACTAACCACTAGTGTCAAGGAAGATCTGAAGATTGTGGGAAGTACACAGCTGGACCAGGATCCACATCTGGAATATGATCCTAACCCTAAAACCGATATAAACATTCGTCCTAAACCAGTTATCGATATACCATGACTGGCTGTCCCAAACCCTTATAAACAGATTGTTGTCCTAAACCAACATTGTTGTCTACTTTACTGATGTTGTTTCAAACATTACCATCTGGTTATTTAACATAGCCATGGAAGCCATGGCCCATTTATAGATGGTTTACCTATTAAAAATGGTGATTTTCCATGGCACCTCACCTTGACACGCCACTCTCCTGAGCCGAGGCGAGACGCGTTTGAAATTTCCCGGAGCCCGAGATCAATGGGGACTTCCAAAAAGGGGATGATCATCGGAGTTGTCATGGGAAATCGCCGAGATATGTATGTATGTTTATTATTACTATTATTATTATTTTTGTTGTTATTGTTATTATTATTAATTATCATATATCATGACTTATTATATATCATATATTATATGTATTATATTATATATATATAAATAATATAATATATATGTATATATATATATCATATTATATATATATATATTATTTATATATATATTTATATATATATATATATTATTTATATATATTATTTATATATATATTATTTATATATATATATTATTTATATATATATATATATATATTATTCATATATATATATATATATATTATTTATATATATATTATTCATATATATATATATTATTCATATATATATATTATTCATATATATATATATATTATTTATATATATATATTATTCATATATATATATTATTTATATATATATGAATAATATATATATAAATAATATATATATATATTATTTGTATATATATATATATATTATTTATATATATATTATTTATATATATATATATATTATTTATATATATATATATTATTTATATATATATACAATGGCCGATCTAAAGTCTGGTTGCCGGTTGAGCCACCCTGAAAAACATGCGAAAGTCAGTTGGGATTATCACATTGACCTATGGTTGAGAAGGAATAAAAACGAATCAGGTTGGACGTGTCCCACCTCACTTGAATGCCCCTAGCCTTACTGCCAACAAAGCTGAGTGAAGTCAGTCGACTGTAGCACTGACCAGCAGCGCAAGTCAAAATGGCTATGAGCCAAAGTTTCGCACCCAAGCAAAACCAAAGTTCAATACCCTCTGGTAATTTGTTACATAGCTATTGAAAATGACCCAGTCGAAATAGTGGATTTTCCCATTGAAAATGGTGATTTTCCAGTTCGTTATGTAAACGTTTACCAGAGGGTAATATCCCACTTGCGTTTGGAGAAAAATGTGATCCCATCGGCTATAAGGTGGGGCGAAAAAATGGGACACGAATGTTGAGCCCCTCCTTGTTGTCCAGAATCGCCGCAGCCTGTCGCGGCGACGAATCTTGAACCCAACAAATCATATGCGGAATTATATCTTGTGCATATCATATGCATCATATGTGTATATAAAATGATTCAAATGATAAATATGATAAACTAAACTTTGATTGTTGGTACTAAGTAAGAGATTGGCAGTGTCAAACCATTAACCATTAAGAACAATTTACCTCATTAAAGAATATTAAAGATATATATATATATATTCTAAGTCTGACACTTAGAACATCGTCACATCGTCCCCGGCACAGAAGAAAAAAATAAACCATAACAAACCATAACAAAGCGTAACAAACCATATCAAACCATAACAAACCATTAACCATTCATAACCATAACAAACCATTATTAATCATTATTAACCACTACCACCCCATGGCTTTTATCACAGCCACTACCTTTCACCCATCAATGCCATCCACCTTGACGTCCTGCAAGACGGCAAGCCAGGCGACCCACAAGCCGCTGGCGTGCAGCTCCTGATCAACGGCAGCTGAGATGGGGATTTACTGGGATACCAATGGGGATAAATAACGATCTGTATATGGGAATATATATATATATATCCCCATAGTTGATACTAAAAATAGTATACCAGGAATATCCCATTTTCATACGACTAGTATCATACGACTAGTATCAGTTTATATGTATACCAGGAATATATATATATATATGAAATTTTACTGGGATACTAAGAGTCGATACCAATAGTTGATACTAATAGTTGGTACTAATAGTTGATACGAATAATTGATATGGGATACTAATGGAATAATGTTGACATGGAATTTAAACGTTGATAATGTATATAATTGGTTATTATACTGATGGGGATACTAAATAATGTTGATATGGGAATTTAAATATTTCTGCATCAGGATTTATATAACGAACTGGGGGTAAAGTTCGCATGTACTGTAGAATGTGTTTTTTTCCACCAAAGATATCCAAGTTTGCAGTTTTTGGGGTATGTCTGAATATGGCAATTTTGATGTTGGGAAAACGATGATGATCCATTCGAATTGGGGATACCCTATATTCAAACAAACCCATATAGTTGTTAAAACACGGACCAATTATTCTAATAATAATTCTTAACAATTGTTAACAATATGATTCAATGTAACAACTATATATATATATTTATATATCTCAAGTGTTTGATCAACGGAATAACTGAGCATATCTACATTCGTAAATGATAGGGCCATTCGGGATATACTGATATCAACCATATAGAAGCAGCAAAAATAGGGATTCAACCGACCAACCCATGTGTAGGGGGAGTTTTTGGGGGATACAAGGGGCTGGTAGTTTATGGGGATTTCGCCCTGGTGTGGGGATAAAACAGGAAATTAACAAACAGAAACATGGTGAAGAATTTGGCAATATACAACCAACAACAATATGAGATATGAGCTGGATGGGAGTTGACATGGTCAATAATAGCTTAATAGCTGTGGATGATTGTGGATGTACTAGGTATAGTGGTTTGATATCTTCGCAACGTTGCTTTGGCAAACGATCATCTGGTGGGGAAACTCAAAACACGTAGCTCCTTGGCTGGCTCCCCAGGGCTATGGGATTTTGGGCCGCACCCCATGATTTCGCTCAACTGGCAAGGACCAATTGAAATCAACCTGGTTGGTGGTATACCTAGCCCTCTGAAAAATATGAGTTGGTCAGTTGGGATGATGACATTCCCAACTGCATGGAAAGTCATAATCCAGTCATGTTCCAAACCACCAAGCAGATAATTAACCACTATTAGCCACTATGAACCACGATTAATCACTATTAACTATGATTAATCATCATTAACCATGGTTAATAGTTTGGAACCATTCCCAAACCACCAAGCAGCATTTTTTTGTGAACAGAAAGGTCACAATCTGAGCCGTTGGCTAAGAGGTATTATTACAATGGGTCAGAATCAGCCCCAACAAACCAGGTAGGTAAAATACAAAACTGTAAGTGACCACTTAACTATATTACAGTTTCCTGCTTTAACTATGGTTAACTATACTTAACCTATAGTTGTTCAGTGTTTTATTATCAGTTACTGTAATGTATGGTTAACTACCACTTTGCTGGCCATATCTGATAGTTAAATCCCCATCTTAAATAGCCAATGGAACTGCAAACAATAGTTAACCCATTGACTAACTATAAATATATCCACCATAAACCATAGTTAAACTATGTTAAACTTGTTGTTTCAACTAATTTAACCAAAGGAACTACAATAACCATCAATAACCAACAAAAGCAAGCTATTTCTTGTGCAAACTGCTGCTTCATATCCGGGTGCACCTTCTCACCAGTCGCAGGCACCTGAGGTCAACCATGCGACAAAACCGGAAGCGAGGCTAGTCACTGTTCGTCCAAAAATGGATCGAGAATGATAAATGTTTCTAGATAGTTTATCATTGATGGGACATATATAGATATAGATACAGATATAGATATACAGATATAGATATATAGATATAGATATATAGATATAGATATATGTATATATATATATAGTTGATATTTATAAACCTATTTGATTGATTAAACTATGATAAACTATCTATGTCCCTTAAAATGGCCCATTTTTCGGGAACCCCGGTGGTTTTTGCTGCGGCACCTGTGCAATCGCCAGCGCCAAGCGCTTCAGACACAGCTCGCCCGGGCGCCAATTCATGGGGCCCTCCTGGCGAGGGTCAACATGGTATCAGGTTGGGCCATCCAAACAACGGTAGAAAAATAGTGGTTAATAATTGTTAATAGTGGTTAATAACTGTTTTTAATGGTTAATAATGGTTATTAATGGTTATTAATGCTTAATATAATTAATAATGGTTAATAATGGTTAATAATTGTTAATAATGGTTAATAATAGTTATTAATGGTTAATAGTGGTTAATAATAGTTAATAATGGTTAATAACTGTTTTTAATGGCTATTCATGGTGATTTTCCATCATCATGACCAAGGGGAATGGTTAATACTCTGGTTATATATACATATATATATATACTTATTTAATGGGTATATATGGAAGATGATATGGAGGTTTCCATAAATGGGGGCATCCCCAATGGGATGGTTTGGGGGTACACCCATTTTAGGAAACCTCCATATCCCAAACAGCCAAGATACCTGAGAAAATTCTGAGTTTCTGTTGATATCCTTGATATGTGTTGTGTGTCTGAAAACATGCGTGCCCCAATGAAGCAATGGTTCATCGAAACCCAAAATTTCACCATCTAAAGGGTTTCGGCAAAAATAGATGTTTAGATCATGGAATATGTCAGGTTCGGGCACCTAGAATTAGAGGATCTGAATGAGGCCTATGAAAGAGGTATGTAAGGGAATACACTACCAAATTACGGTCTTGTACAATGCATCCATCTAGGGTCCTGAAATTCCCATTAGAAATTGAACTTAAAGAAGTTCAAAACGCAAGTGCAATCTTTGGGAAGTGTCACCAGTCCCATTTATGTCCCATTGAACTTCAATTGAACTTCCATTCATTAGATTTGAACTTCAAGAAATTCCCATTCGAATCTATTCTAATCTTGGATCTGCTGGGATCCCAAAAAAAATCAGATTCAGTCACATCACTTAAAAAATCGATTCCCCAGTAAAAATCGTGGATTTTCCATTGGGAAAAGCCGAAAAAAATCTGAGGTCCCGAGCAAATGAGGTGGCCTTTGCTGGATCAAGTGACCCGGGGATGTTGGCACTGATGGCATGATGGGACCAACCTTTTGGAGAGAAGATGTTTGGGAAAAAAAACGAACCAAAAAGATGGGAAATAGATAGGAAATAGATAGGAAAGATCATTTTTTAACATCTCACCAAACTTCTGATTTGGGTTTTTTTGAATGATCTTTTGAATGGGAACTCAAGTGGATATTGGGGAATGCGATCACGCCCATGCTGACCCTTTCTGAAGCGGTTTTTTCCTCTTCGGTCCACGGAGCTTATGTCCGAAGTCTTCAGCAGGCCGTCGAAGCACAGGTCACCACAGGTCACCAGTTGCAGTGATCATTGGGTATTTAAAATCCCAACTGTTGCAAGCAAAAGTTAAAACTGTCTGAAATAGTGATGAATTACGTTCTATGTCTCTGGGCCGTTACTTCCATTTTCTTGGTCAAAGTTATGGCTTCAAAGCCCCATTGAACGAAAAAAAAAAAGTTGTCTTTTCTGGCTTGGCTCCAAATTTGGGTACCGATGGTCCACAAGATGCCTGAGAAATTTGCCCCATGTCAGCATAGTCCCATTGATTGGGCGGGAATCCCCCTCAATGGTGGCATCAAAATGCATCAAACACATACCCTCCGGTGTCATCAAACATGGCTGGAAGATCCCTCAGTTCGATCATTGTCCCAGCCATCAACCTCCATTGATAGGAGATGTTCCGGCCGCGATGACACCGGAAGGGCAACTCTCAGAGATCGTGTTTGGAAGGTTTTAGGGTCAGCTGGTAGAAGTCGACAGGGCCATAGGCATCAGCCGCCAGCATGGTCACATTCACCTCATCTCGGACATGGCTGAGATCCATGGGCCCAAGACGAGGAAAATCTTGGGTCTAAGCGTCAGAAATTCGGTTGGATTTTCTCATTGTGGGTAGGAAATTCAAGGATTTTCCCTCCGACTAACATAGACCCCTGCCAATTATGGGTGTTGGAAGAGTACTTTTCGTCAATAGGGTCCATTCAAGGGTCTATGTTAGTTTTTGGGGCTTCTCATTTGAATCTACTATTTCTATTCAGGTATTGACGGTATTGACTGAAGATTAACGATGACCACAAAATAATTTGGTGTTTCATCCACAAGAGATGTCACAAACAAAATCGCACAACATCGCAAATGTTCGGCCCACCTTCCCGCGTGGTGCATTTTGAAAGGGAATCTGCCCTTCAACAGGACATACATTGTTTCTCCTCAAAATCGATTTTCAGGGGAATGGTTCCCCAAAAATTGTTGGGTCTATAAGATCAACAATGCTTTTGCAGGATATAGTTTTGTTGCTTGATCTTAGTTAGACCCAACAAAAACCATTGTTGAATAATGTCAACCCCGGATTAATAAACCATGGTTTATTAATTAGGGGTTACTCCTCCAATATTCATAATCACTTAAATGGTACCCTCCCAATTATACACCCGTTTAGGGTTTCTTAATCCAGGGTTGACATTAGTCAAATTTTATGATATTAATAAACCCAACAATTTATGGATATTAATATGGTATTATACCAGTCAAATCAATCCAATGTTTATTAAAAACCCATTGGGATCCAGTTTTCTCCATCGTTCCTGCAGCAAAGCTTCGACACCGCTTTGCGGTGCCGTCCTGAGATCGGGATTCAGCCGCCAGCGGGCCGTCGACCCGCGGGCTAAGTACGTAAATTAAGGGTTTTTTCACCACCAACAACCATGAATATCCATTAATAATGGTTTATATATTATGGTTTATTATATAATCATGACTTGAGAGGCTTTGAGGAAACATTGATAACATTGAAGACACATTGAATTCTTGAAAATCCGTTTTCGTACATCTACGGCTTCAACAGTGGATACCCGACCATCAAACAACGGCGCCAGGCGTCCAATAGATGCGGCGTTTGGTGTTGGGGATTCCAAAGGCTGCCAACTTGCCGTCGCACTTCACACTGCGGTTGCCGTGTGGGTTTCCAGCAAAAATGAATGGTACACCATTTTTTTGGTAGGTCTTCAGGATGTCATGGGGATAATGATGAGAACATTGGGATTTGAATGGGATCTGGGCTTCTGGAATCCACTGAAAGTGAGGATTTCAGTATCCAATTATGGCCCATGGCAAACATAGGCCATGAGGATGTCAACCAATGACATAATGAATGAATGGCAGTAACGTCAACCAGGCATTTTTCAATGACTCTCCTGTTTTATCCAAAATGTTTGATGGCAGGAAAATCCCCGCATAGTCCAGCTAACGATCTTCACCAGAGGGTATATCTCAAGTAATCGCCATGGATCTGAAAAAGTGAATCCTATGAATTTTCCGATATTCATCATGAATCACCATGAAAAACCCTTGATAAACCAAACCCTTGATAAACCATTGATAAACCAGACTTTATATGAACATCTCATGAATCACCATGAAAAACCCAGGCAAAAAAAAAAAAACAACACGTCCCGTCCAGACCTGGCTTGGTCGTCCTCATCCAAGGTCTCGTCGTTCTGCATGACGCCGCCAGTGATGTGCAGCAAATGTTCCTGGCTATATCTAAATGGGAAACCATACAGGATGGGGCCCCCATGATAGTTCAAAAAAAGCGTTCAGTTGCCTGAAAAATGTGGCTTAACTTTGGTTTATAGATGTTATGGTAGATATAACTATAGATAACTATATATATATATACTCAATGGATCTCAATGGGGTTTATAAACCAACTTATAACTGGGGGGACACCATGCTGAATGGGATGTATAGAACTTGTATAACCCATGTCTGCATTCTTTCTGGATATTTTTCTGGACTTCAGGGATTTTTTCAGGACATTCATGATTTGTTATCATCCGATACAGGGGTTTCCCAAAACCCTCACACGAAATGGCCTGGTGGGTAGGAACTATTGCCACAACTTTGGTGAAGATCCCTGGGTGCTGCGGTAATCCCGAGAGTAATCAGTGATCAATACCACGAGATGGTAAAATGATGTATAGGAATACCATGTTGACAACAATATCAATGCAATATATTTAATGTTTATCATAAACATTAATTATATATAGGAATGATGTATGCTTGGGTTTACCCCATTATGACATTAATCCATGCATTCCTTTCCTGCATGTTGACCAAGGTAAGTGGGCCTTGACCCATACACAAAAATGCAGCTGAGTTATACTAGCCATGCAACGAAAGATGAGGCCTTAAAAATGTGATATATGTTATTTATTAAGCTCCTTTTGTTGGCGGGTTATCTTCTCAGGGGCTATCCTTAGATAGCCATAAGATGTTCCAACGTCCAATCATATTCTTGGTTATGACACAGTAGTAACCATGACTATATCCCTATGAATCCCCATTATATGTGTATATATATAATACCTCCATAGCGTTCAAAGATGTTCAAGACCTATCATAGCATATTTGGAGGGGGGCACATCTAGGAAAAAACACCAGCTATATTTGGAATGTGAAAAGCTATAGGGATTCCATGGGTTTTGACTCTGCTGGCTACCCTCTGGTAATTTGTTACATAGCTATTGAAAATGGCCATAGAAATAGTGAGTTTTCCCATTAAAAATTGTGATTTTCCATAGTTATGTAAACGTTTACCAGAGGGTATATCCATGGGTAAGCTCTGCTGTACCAAACATGCCACATCGTCACATCGTAGTTCTCTGTCAGCAGACGGACATCCAAGGTCTCTCCTCACTGGGCAACACACGGATCTAGAGGAGCAATTCCATGGGGAATCCCCTCTTTGAGGGTAGAATATCAAAGAAATAAATGGGGCCAGTTGTGATAACCCAGGTGCCTAAATAAAGCGTTGCAAACTAGTTGCTATCCTTGGGATGATCCAAATATGTGCCACACTGAGGCATATCATACCCCAGTTAGCCATGGAATATTCCCAATGATGGGCCACTGAAACTCGCTTTTTCCGGGATGTTTTTAAACAAAAAAACTGCTGTGGCGAAAACCGGCGCGGACTCCTGGTTTGTAAAAGCCCTTCCGTGTCCCCAAGATCTTCAGCTCGTTGCTCACCGTCATCACATTGGGCTCGTTGCCCATGACCTGCGGCTATCGCACACCATGGTCGCAGGGTTTTTCTGGGTTACTGAGTTACTGGGAATATCTGGGAATCTTCATTTTGGCATTACTGATGGTTACCCTCTGGTAATTTAACATAGCTATTGAAAATGGCCATTTATAGTGGATTTTCCCATTAAGAATGGTGATTGTCCATTGCTATGTTAGTTTACCAGAGGGTACTTATGGCTACTGATGGAATATGGGTTACTGATGGTTACTGATGGTTAGTTAGTCCCTTTGCGATTCATGGGACGAGCATGAGAATCCCGAAAATTGGGTACAGAGTCTAACTGTCTAACTCTTGAAGACAGCACATGAGTACATCATGATGAATCTAGGTTCCCTATGAGAAAAAACTATTGCTAAGGTGAGATGGCACCCGGAGTTTGGATCATCTTAGAACCCTCCACAAGCCTTCACTTGAGCTGCTTTCGCTGGATAAGAGTTCCCGGAATCTTCCACCATAAAAATGGCAACATGTGTACAAAGCCAGGGTAGACCATGTAGATCCAGTTTCAGAGACTTCATGAGACTTCCGTGTCATGACCTTTTCGCATCGCGCCCTTTGCGTTGGGACATCACCTCCCCGGCTGGGTGTCCCCCACGTTCTTGCTTGGCGTGGGCACGGCATCGCAGCCCATGCGAAAGAACCAGAACCCAGCGTGGCTTACAGCGCCCGGCAGCAGCGACAGCAACAGCAACGCGCTGTCGAAGCGCGTCATGGTGCGGGGGGCAACTTTTCGACGGTGAGTGATGAATTTCGGGAGGATATTCCCATGTTTGGAGGATGGAAACTTCGGTTGGCTTCCAAAATGCGTGGATCTCTGGTACATTCTCGTGTCCTGCATATGTTTCCAAAAATTTAAAGGCTGACTGTGTCTCTATCTGAAGTGAAGTTTTGCCATGTCTGTGTGAGATACAAGCTGCGCCACCTGTGTAACACTGGACATCTCAAAAGCTGCGGTGAATGTGGGTAGGTCGCCCATGAAATGGTTCTATAGCCAGTTTCTGTTTCAAATTTGGGGTGTTAACTGAGAACACTCCGAAAATAAGAACCATTAAGGTGCCAAATATGATCAACCTTCTCTCTTGAAGAAGCAACAAACACGTGAGTGTGGGGTCTCAAGAAATTGGAGGCCTCCAATATCCACTCCTTTAGCGGGGAATCTTGGAGTTTGATTCTCCTACTGCTTCTTACTAGTAAATAAAATGATCAAGTAACCCACCCTTTTCCCAAACCCCAATGTTCCCATCGTTGCATATGTGGAATTATGTGGAGATATTTAAGTTGTCAAATCCCCATGTGTGGCTGAAAATTCCCCATGTTTTTTGATGCTTCTATTCCTCAAGTTGCTCAGAGTCCTTTCCCGCATTCATCTTGTTGCTTGAACTGTTTTTTATCCTATTCATGTTAAGAAAAAAACAGTGCTGGTCGGAATCTCCCATTCGGGGTTGCTTCACATAACTTGGACTTTAGGGGCCAGTGGCCAGCTGAAACATATTACATCATATTACCATGGATTGAAAAATTGGGAACCAAAACAACGGATACTGGTTTTGTCTAGTATTGTTGAAGTCCATTGCTAAAAAAAAATGTTGATGAATTCTCCAAATGTTGGTTAAAATCATATGTTTGGACAATATCTCCAATATATCCCGATGCTGTTCATAATCGGATCCACATCATCATAAAATGCTTGGTATCCAGGATATGGAGGTTTCCAATCCATGGGGGTACCCCAAATCATCATCCATTTTATAATAGGCTTTTCCATGAAAGAAACGGAGGGGCCTCGGCTTCCAACACCGTGAGCCGTGCGCACACGCGCGCAGCGGCCGGCCGCCCGGCACAGGCTTCCTAACGGCTGCGTTTGCAGTGGTCCATGGAGTGTTCCAAGGAAAATCTGTGGGAAAAGCTATGATTTACTATGAAAATCTATGAAATATGGCATGTTCCGTAAGTTGTATCATAAATTCTTGTGTTTTCCTTAGTGTTTGTTCCTAAAACCAATCCTGGGAATTGAGGATTGAGATCAAATATAAGATAGAGTTTGGGAAGGAAGCCCTTTTGAAGGTGGCGAAATCACCCAATTCCATCTAATTCCCCCACTTGGGGTTGTTTCTCAATATCCATTGAATAGATTAATATGATTTAACGGCCTACAATTTCAAGTTCTCGACATCCGTGAAAAAACCGTCCAGAGTCATCACTCTGCCATCGGTCGAAAACGGATCCAGGGCCGCTCCCGGTCGATAACCGTCCTGCAAGCCATCCGACAAGGCTAAAGCAGCACCATATTCCGCAGAACCGAAGTGCAGGTGGAGATCGACCTCGGCTTGTGTTGCCGGCAGATGGCTTGGCTGAAAATGGGTGAAATCTAAAAGCAGCTGGCTGGTGACTGGCTGGTGACTGGCTGGTGACTGGCTGGTGACCAGAACTCCTTAACTTGGTGAACTCAGAAGAATAACCTCAGTAGCTGTTGGGGATTTCACCTTTGATATCCTGTTACCCTCTGGTTATATCAAAATAGCTATTGAAAATGGCCATAGAAATAGTTGATTTACCTATGAAAAATGGTGATTTTCCATAGTTTTGTGAGTTGACCAGAGGGTATCTTGTTGAATATATATAGTTTCCATGTTCTCATCATGTTCTCATCATGTTCAAATCGATGCTGGTTTCCTGGTGTCATTTTTTTATTCCCTGGCTAAAAACTCATTGAAGTTTTGATGCTTCAACCACTTAAATCCCCCAAATTGTTTCCATGCATTCTATTGATTTCCAGCGAAATCCCCCGTATTTTGTGGCTTGCTATTTTTGGGGGTTTCCATAAATGGGGGCACCCTAAATCAGCCCTTTTATTTTCGGATGTTCCCTTTTTTTTACCGTCCAGCTGTTGGGGTACCCCCATTTATGGAAACCCACCAAGTGATGTCTTTATTGCTGCTGCAATCGCGCAGTTCTTCAGCCACGCTGCGTCTTGGATCACCAAGCACACTTGACCTCGAGATCTGATGGGATGTTCATGGGGATAGGGTGGTGTCCTAAAATAAATGGATGGTTTCTTTCATGAAAAATCCTCATCTAAAATGGAGGATGACTAGGGGTACCACCAAGTCAGGAAACCTCCATAGAATGGGATATGTTTCGCCCACTTCATGTGGAATATCCCATCATCTCCCAGACAGCCAACATGTGAAAACTGTGAAAGCCATGAAAAGATGTCTGGAAAAGAACTTGGACATCAGGATAACCTAGTCAATTTCCTGCAGAACCTTCACTAATCGCTCAACCTCATAGGTGAAGTGTGTCCAATGGGTTTTAATCGTTGGGGGACCCATCCTGATACGGAATAGCATGGATCTGAAGAAATAGCTGGCCATTCGAAAGACGATTTCAGGGCAAAATGTGTCAGACTTCTGCCCCCTTCTTTCAGCCGAAACATCATCTTAGAGTTTCATGGTCGCTGGAGTGAAAGAAAGAGAGTGAAACATCCCATCAGAACACAACCCCTTGGGTGGTTTATCTCCAGCATCTGAAGGTGGCGATTAAATCTCCGTGCGACGTTTACCAGCCTCTGGGCTCCGTAGAGCTTTATTATTGGGTATACCCCTATTTGGGATGATGCTAAAAAGTGACCCGGCGCTGGGTTTACCACATACGAATCTTTGCGAATCTCGCAGAAAGCCAAACTGAAACAACTAGCTCTGATATCATGGCTACCGCAAGGTACCCCTTTGACATATGTTCATTTTAAACATAGTTCCACTAAATTGGCAAAAAAATGCATGGACAGTTGCTGTACCATGGTTCATCTTGGACAGAACGATTCATTGTATGAGACATTCCCCCTTCAAATAACTATATATAAACTAGCCTGGTTTCACCTAATTTGGGTGTGCAGTTCCAGTCATTTCTTGTGCGAAAACCATAGAAAAATCACGATTGTATCAGTTGTATCCCAATTTACCCTCTGGTAAACTGTCACAAAACTATGGAAAATGACAATTTTTAATAGGTAAATCAACTATTTCTATGGCCATGTTCAATAGCTTTTTGTATGTTTACCAGAGGCTATCGGGGCTTCAAATCCAACACCCAGGAACTTTGCGCTTTGCAGCTGTCAACGGGCCGCGCATCGCCCTGACACTTGGCGCAGTGCGCTGGGAAAATGTGGGAAAACCTGGTGAAAACTGGAAAAACAAAAAAGTCGGAGGCAACTAATTATAAATGCAAACACATAGTAAAGAACATCTATCCGGTTAAAGCTCGGAAGACTGGAGGGGCTGAAAGTTTCGGCAGGGAAAAGTAACCCATAGGAACAGGTTCCTATAGACATTTGGGTCTGGTGTTCATCATGTTGAAGTGAAAAATACATGGTTAAAACCACCATCATCCTTGTTTGGGGACCTGTTCTCCGCCTGGTTGATGGTCTACACAAATTACATATGAATCTGGTCCACATGCGCTGCTTTTCTCCTGAGATGATTTTGATCGACCCCGAAATGGGACTGCCTACGGCAGCCAAGTACCAATTGTTTCCCCTTTTTATCAGTTCCACTTTGCAAAAAAAAGTTGGTAACACCCAAGTCACATGCATTTTTTGGATCATTTAGGGATAATTTCAGTGGGTTTTTTTCCCGGGTTGATCTTTTCGCCAGTTCCACTGAAAGGGGGGTTCTTAAAGTATGGCTACCCCCAATGTTCCACCATTTTGGGAATGTCCAACAAAAAAACCCTCCATTTTCCATTTTGGGGATCAGCAATTTTAGCAAACCTCCACCTGTTGGAGATCCACCATCTGAAGGTGGTGCGTTTTACGTAGGGAATGGCTGGGTTGCTGGGGCTGGGATTACTATTGATAGTCAGCCAGTGGATCATTCCCGAAAATTCCCTACAGGATGGGGAAAACCAGTTATGTTTGTTGGTGAACATAACCCCTTCTAAATATAGTTATTTAAGCGTATCATACACCAACTTCTTATTGTAGTTATTTGCACCAACTTACCGATTCCGAACTGGGGCCCCATCCTGTACTAAGCACCAGTAAGTAAAATAGTGGATCTCCCTCAGGTCACCATAGCTTCCACTCGGAAAGGGCCCGGGGCCCCCGGGGCCCGCCTTTCGGTACTCCGTGGGCACGGCCTCAGCCTCCTGACCTGGCGACACATGACAAACGACTTACCCAAGGATATGGCAGTAGAATGGTGATATTATAATCTAAGAATGTCTAGTATAGTGATGCAATGAATTAGAAATCATTTTAAGTGGGTATTACTAGTTTTCTTGATGATTTTTATTTGCAAGGGGTCGTTTGGGGGTATGTTGGGGCTGGTGGTTGCTTAAGTTTCTTCAAGCTATGTGTGGGGCAAATTTCCGGCACCCTAAGAAAACCCACCAAAACCCTGAACATACCCAAACATACCCAAAAAAACCTTAAACAAACCCTAAAAGCGCGCCAAGAAAAACCCAAAGCAAACGTTAAAATACCCTTAACAAACCCTTCAACCACCCCCGAGCATACCCTAAACATACCTTTAAAAAATGTCTGTTTTTCAAAAAGTAAACACGCTAAGCAACCTTAAACATACCCTGAGCAAGCCGCAAAAGATGTAAAACCTCTATATAACTTGTGCAGGGGCGTGTGGTACTCATGTCCTGACCACACGCAACGGTCAGCTGTGCGCATGTCCCGCCCTTGGGCGCATTTAAGTCGCAGCTGGCGGAGACCTATATTTTATCGCTGTTGTTTTATATTATCAACCTCTCCTGTGATCTTAATACATATATATGTATATATATATATATATATACATGTATTTATTTATGATTATTTATGTTCATCGTGTTAATTTGTTGTGTTGGTGTTTGCTGCACGTCCCATGCATTCCACCGTCACAATTCGATAAGACCGTTGCGCTGAAATCCTCACATCTTCTGTGGTCTAAGTCCCCGTGTTTTCCGAGTGGAAACCATATTCTTGAAGATAAAATCAGGTCAAAATCCCCATGTAGCTGCCTAAAAAAAAAACACATGTCCTTATAGAAAATCCATGAAATTCTCCAACTTAGACCATTTTTTGGGAATCTAGCAACCATTATCATCTGGTTGGTGGTTTCAACCCCTGTGAAAAATATGAAAGTCAGTTGCGATTATTATTCCCAATATATGGAAAAATAAAAAATGTTCCAAACCACCAGTTTGTCCCAGTTTGCTGCGCGCGTCACGTTAATAGGACGTGACCCGTCTTGGGTGCATCAGAGACCTAGAGTAGTCGAAGCTACCAATGGAAATGCCAACAAGCGGCCAACAACCATAAGGCCACACCGTAAGGAAGAGCCCCCACCGACAGTGGAGAACCTACGATCAATGCAGTGCAACCGGCATCTTGGCCACGAAACCCCGGGGAAGCAGCAACGGGGGGTATTTGTGACCTCCCAAAAATTGCAGAACCCCAATTGTGAAACAGACATAGAGCATCGAGAGGATGCAATACGGCACACGGCCAAACCCCTAAAAATCCACGCTACCCAAGTGACAAGGCTCAGGGCTAGCAATGTGGTCGCCAACCTCTGCACCAGAATACCTCTCCGTTCATGCCCAACCAAAGTCGTAGACCTGTGTAAATCGTGCAGCATGGCGCAACCATAGGCCCAAGGCGCACAGGCAAGCAGGTCCGCGACTAAAAGCTGTCGAACCGCACAAATGTTGCTCAACGTAGGCCACGGTTGCAGATGAACTTTACCACCATCAGGCAAGGAAACAACCCACCATGAGCAGTGCCGTCGGCGAGACCACACATGATCAAATATAAGCTCAGTCAGTGTAGAGTGAAACACGGTGACTTTGCAAAATCTATCGAGGTCAGCGAGGACGAAACTGTCATGTGCGGCAGGTGCAGCGCAGTCCAAAATGACAAAGGCGACAGTCAGGTAAAGCGCAGTATTCGGAGACTGGGTGAGGCAGCAAGCCTTCAAATCAAATTGACCCTTGCAATCACCAAGCCGTGAGAAAGGTTGGCAACAGAAGCCACATGAAACAACTGGAGCACCTCGGGAAGGACTCCAAATTACCTGAATCATGGTACGATCTCCAGTGTCCCCACATAGGCAATGGGCATCAGGCACTAGGCCATGCGGATCAAGCCTCAACCGGTTTTGATCAACAGCTACTGTAATGTAGAACCCTGCAGCTTCGGCCCCTTGTGAAAGGCCCCCAAAACCAGAGCAAAGGTCAATACCAACATGAGAGGAGTCCCATAAAGGCTCATGGAGACCCAAAACCACAGGCTCTTTGTTGGCAACCACCACCGGCACAGGATACGATTTCTCCAAGCAAGCATAGAACAAGGTGAAAACGGTGAAGCCCTCATCCAACATGCCCACATAGAGAAAGGGAACTGAATCCGTTCTGGAAACCACGACTGCTCAGGGTCAAACCTTAACTGGACAAACCAAATCAGTGAAACAACCCAGATCGATCTATGCCAGTTCCATGGGGAGATGCAAGCCATGGCAAGAACATATTAGACAGACCCGCCCACGTTCGGTGAAGTACAGCCGTACTACTGGAAAGCTTGGGCAACGCGGCTGTTCCAAACCACCAACCAGTCATCCACTACTCACTACTCTCCATGATTATCATATTACTGTTGGTTACATAGCTATGCCCCCGTTATTCTGGACATCTGGACAATAATGGATAAAATGGAGAATAATGGATAATCATGGATCATAGTCATAGTCCAAATGGATTATATAATGTGAGTACAGCAATAACAAACCACCCATTTTTTCATGGTTTATGCCATGGCAAGATTCTGGATGGTGGATCCATTTTTGCTTTACTAACATTCTTATAACCCCCTCATTTCTCGATGATTCGCATGATGAAAGTCCAAACTTGGTACCTGCGTCCTTCGAGCTGAGCATGGGCATCAGCAAGTGCCACGCATCTACCAAGCCTGGCAGGTCAATCATGAAAAATCGATGGTGTCATTATGGTTATTTCATTGTTAATAATGGTTATTTTTCATGGTTTATGATAGTTAGTGCTCAATCCTGCTTAATATAATCCTGACACTGGCAATCTATGGTCAATACTGGTTTAAAATGGTTAATAATGCTTAAAAATGTGAATAATGGTGGTATAACCAACAATAATTAGTGGATAATTGGAATACCCGAATACCCGACATGGTGCTAACGGTTTGCTGAGGACGCCATGGCCTATTTGTACATGATTTACCGTAGTTACCGCTCTAAAAAACGGTGCTTTTCCATACCTATTTTAAATTGCCAGAGAGTAGCCATGGATGTTTGTAGGAAACATTGTTGATTGATGTTTTATGAATGGAACTTGATGATTATAATCTAATGTCAATCCTGGATCAATAAACCTGGTTTATTCATTGGAGGAGTACCCCAACATGTGATAATCTGCCATTAAAATGGTACCACCCCAGTTACAGCCCAGGGGGGTGTTAATCCGGGGTTGACATTGCGTTGGAATGTGTTTTTCGACATCAAAGAAATGGTCTGGTTCATTTTTTCAAGCCTGTTGTAGATGATACCTATACCTCATAATTTCTAGGTGTCCAGCTCCTTTATGTATTGTCGGGTTGCTGTAGATTAGTTTAGATAGACCAAAAGAAAACATGTTGTTTTCAAAGATCCCTGTTGGCTATGAATTGGGATTTTTGGGCAGACATGTCACCTAACAACAACTTCGGGATACCCAGCATTCATAGTGAGTTTTTTTTACCCACAATACCCAGCATGAAAGCAACAAGAATGCGAAATTCCGGGCGCAATCCATTTGTAGGTTGGGACATGTCATCTTCAAAACCTCAACTCATGGGGTCTATGTTAATCTGGGGGGTTCTGGTTCTGTATATATAGACATATGCCATTGATAGAGGATGATAGAGAAACAATATATGGAGGTTTCCAATCCATGGTGCTACCCCCAGTTTTCATCCATTTTAGATTGGGTTTTTTTTTACCATGAAATAAACCATCCAGGGGTCCAGGACCATGCAGCTATTGGGGTATCCCCAATTTAGGAAACCCCATATGTGGTTCATCATTTTACCCTCTGGTAATTTGTTACATAGCTATTGAAAATGACCATAGAAATAGTGGATTTTCCCATGAAAAATGGTGGATCTTTCCATAGTTATGTGACAGTTTACCAGAGGGTATACACAAGACATGTAGACATTGGCCATGAAAAAACGCGCCTTGCGTGGGCGAGAAATGCAACTCCATCGTCACTAGGACGATGCGTTTCCTGACCATTTTTGTGGATGGAGATGGAGAGAAAGGATGGCATGACATCAAAATCAATGTATCATGATGGCATTGTATCATATCATATCATATCATATCATATTATTGTATATATAGATACTATAGATATCTATAGATAATCGTGATTTATTGTGATCCAATAATGTAGAATGTCCTGATTATGCATCACACATGATTTTTGAAATCTACCATTTGCATCCATTTGCAGTCGTTCATTCAATTTAAAGGTTCCTTTATCCCATACTTGACATGCAATGCTAAGACAGGTCACCAGAATAGGTTTCTTCGCCAAATCCACATCAAATCCCACAAAGTCCCAAGAAGTAACCTGTTTTCCATTGAGAGTTATATAAAGTATTCTTGAACCCCCAGAAATTAGTTCCGTACTCAAATCCCCTTTTCAGTGAAGTCATTGTTCAGTGAAAGAAGTCAAACTGAACGAAATAAGTTGTTTCGTCACAAGTCACTTCATTATATCCAAGTCAGTTGACTTATGTAACTATGATAGTCAACTAACATGATAGTAACTATAATAGTCACTGAACCCAATTCATCCCCAAAAAAAAGTCCATCCAATCCCAGTGAGGTCACGAAGAAAATCGCCAGAAACTCCCAGCCTCTCTGGCGTCCATGTAGCGGTGAGTTCCAAGGCATTGCGTTGGAAGTCGCCCAGGGCGCCCTGCGATGGCCGATGGCGGATGGCTCAACGGTACCGGCTCGGTGTTTGACCACCGAAACATCTCGGGGAAATGTAGGGTTCCTTTAGTGGATTTTTGTGAAATGATGTGGATTTCCGTGAAATCATGTTAGCAATGGGGTTTTGGAAGAATGAAAATGTGGGGAGATGATTGGGTTAACGATTGATTCTTGCAGAATATGTGTATTATATATATATATATTTATCTATTTAATATATAACTATAGTTAATGGGGTGAAACTAAACCAAGAAACACTGCAGACTCGTTCGAGTCACTTACAGCCGTTGGCCCTGCTGATGATGGGGTGAAACTCATAAACATCACCCCCTATGGGCCTCAATTTGTTTTTCGGCTTTTACCATCAATGATGCTTGGGGGGTATAATATCCTTTATATTTTTGAAGAATCTACTTGGAATATGTGAGAATGGGTCAAAACCATTCAAAACCCACAGATTCCCCTGTAGGTCACACCAAAAATAAATGGGATGTATGTGGGGTTCGATTGGGGTAAAATCATAGGTTATCATCATTCAGAATCATGAATGATTACACTGCCTGACGGGCAAAAGAATTGGTATCATAAAAGCAATAATTCATATTCCAAAGGTGTTCCATTGAAAAAGGGATCCCGTTTTTTTATCATCTTCCAGACCAAATGTCTGGGGTTCAGTGTGAAGTCTAGGCGATGTACCCTCTGGTTATTTTGTGTAGCTATAGAAAATGGTCCATTTATAGTATAGATGATTTATATATGATTTATATATGATGATTTACCTATTAAGAATGGTGATTTTCCATAGCTACGTTAACCAGAGGGTAATCCTTTTCAAACAAGGTGTGATCATTGGTGATCATCATTAAATTAAAGGATGATAATTTGACGAAATGACGGAATTTGATGCTAGGAGCTTGATGTCTTGAAAATCGTCAGCATCATTTACCCTCCCGTCAACGTTTAGACCATGTGGAAAAGCCACATCTTTGTCGATCCATCTGGTGTTGGAACTGTGTCAGGAACCAATGGGGTGACCGTCCCTTTGTTACGATCTTTGGAAAACATGAAGTGTTAAACCTGAATATCATATGATGTCTCATTCATATCTCACATCATATCCCATCATAAAATCGTTTGGGTAGGAGCTTCTCCACTAGTATTAACAGTCATGTTTGCTGCTTCGTAAACCCCATGAATAGTTCGATATATCTACCATAAACCATCAAATTCGCCCCAGCTCTGTGAGTGTGTCAACTTAGCTATAAAATCAGCTAGAAATGCCATAAAATCACCATTTTCTGGGTTAGTTCAATCACCATTTTTCCCATGGTTCCAGAAGAGAATCCCCCATGGTGACCATCTCAAGAAACGCCTCCAGCGCCGAGCAGAGGTACACACTTCGGCCGCCCGCGCGAGCACCGCTGTGGCCGATCAAGCCCTTCAACCTCGATCCATGGAATCTTCACCATGGAATCTTGGGACCCTCTGGTAAACTGTCACATAACTATGGAAAATCACCATTTTTCATGGGAAAATCCACTATTTCTATGGCCATGTTCAATAGCTATGTTAAATTACCAGAGGGTACCTTCAGCCTGACCCAGCCGATATTCCATGTTTGAGGCTTGCAACAACCATGTTTACCAAGCAGATTCATAACTATCCAGGTTAAACATATCATCTACATACATGTTCAATCACATGAAACCACACCAAGGCATCTTCAACTTCTTCAACTTAATATAAACCATTAGTTGTGCTTAAATGATCATAAATCATCTCCATGTTCCCAATATGTGTGATATTCGGAAAATCATACAATGTGGGCCCCCCCCAAGTTCTGTAAGTTGGTTTATAGACTCCATTAACTAATGGTTATAGAGTTATCTCCCCCATAATAACCATACTTTATAGATTCGCAGGGAAACCATAGTCTATAAGTCTATAGTTACAAGATGTTACAAGTATCACAAACCATAGTTTGTTGGTGGCGCGGTCGACCTGAAAACGCGCATTTTTTGGACGCACTTCCCATAGGCACAGCGCGTTTTTGTGCAATTTTTTACTGCGTACGTCAGTGTTTCGCGGGGTTGGGGTGGGGTGGGGTGGGGTGGGGCTAATAACGTTCGTTGGCATTTAACATGTTGCTACGCTAGCACATGTGGTTACGCTACACGAACATGGGTCTAATGTTACGCTGATAGAAGATGTTGTTACGCTTGCACATGTGGCTACGCTATATGCGGGTGGGGTGGGGTTACGACCGACCGTTGTTGGTTTAGTTTCACCCCATTCACTATAGTTGCAAGATGTAACAAGTATCATAAACCACAGTTATTTCACTGGATATCTCAGTAACCTAAATTGGAGGTACCTACCATATATAAGGCCTATGTAAGGCCTATGTAAGGGGATATACCCAGAAAATATGGCCTTATATGGTACAGTACCTCCAATTTAGGATCCTGAAATTCCCATTGATTATTGGAGTTATGAACCAACTGAACGCTATCGAACCGGGGCACCACTTGGTAGCTGGTTGATCTTCCCCTACCTCCGAGCTCCCAGGCTTCAGTCGCACCACGCCTTCAGCATTGGCTCCTCACATGGAATCACATGGAATCACTACTATAGGGGGATGATTTATTGGGTTTACCATGGTTTATGGACAATAGTCAATAGTTTTAAAAAACTATGTACTATCATGTACTATCTGCTATCATCTGATGATCTAGTTTTCTTTTCTACTACCTAGTTGGGACTACGGTAATTCCGTACTGCTTTATCACTAGCTCTTCCTCAAAAGAAGAAAGTTTTTACCAATCTTCCAAGCTCCGAACATCGGATGATGGGATGCTTTTACTCGCCATTCTTAGTGGATCGTGCAGTGTTAATGACTGTTAATGGTTAACAGCTGTAGCCAAAAATAGGTGCTGAAGTTTACCATTGAACCATCACCTACAGTGGCTTCAAGGCTTGAAGATTGACTCTGGCCTCCTTGATCTAGGGGTGACACCATTTTTGTTAGCAATCCGCAACCCCAAAATAGATGGAAAAGTGGTGAAATTGAAAATACTATGGATGGGCCTGCGAAATCCAAATCACCAGTTGATAGATGGTAAACATCCCATGATTTTCTTCGGCTTTTAACCATTCAAAATTGGTGGTTTATCGGATTTCGCCACCATCCCCGGTTGACATTCTCCCCTCAAGCGTGGTTCACCACCAGTGGAACGTTCCACGGCACCTCCAACGACCAAATTCTTCACTGTGGTGAACTCGAGCATGTGCAAATGCAGTTGCATCTTGGCTTCCTACAAGAGGAAAGAAACAGAATCCTGGAGAGCTTTAGGTACATTTTTTCCGATTTTTGGTGATATTTTTTTTGGTAAAAACCTTTGTGGAGATATTTAAAAAAAAAAAAGAACATCACAAGTAGTTTGTGAAGATATGATATTTTTTAGGTACCTACTTATCATCTCTTCTCATAACTTTATAAACCAGTGGCTATTGGATTGTTCCATTGCACACGTCGCCTTGTGCCAGCTAGAGCACCGCCTGTCACGGTTAAGAGAAGACAGTGACTCACAAATGGTGCGATCTACATAACCGCAAACTTTTCGGGAGCTGCCCCGCAATTCTTCAACAAGATTTCAAACCCCCCCATACCAACCAATGGTACTAGAAAGCTTGGTGGTTGAAAATTTTGGGGGGTCCCTCCCTTAGTGATGCCTCGTTGACTTCCGGGGGTGCTCTATCGGGTGGCCAAGATCCCTGAGCCACCGGGCCGCGTCAAACATTTCGGACTGCCACAAGCGAACAGACACCTGTGGCCATCCAGGAGAGGAAAATAAGGGTGTCTCAAAATTTCAGGGAACCCCAAATCATCCCAGACCATGTACAGAAACCGGTGGATAGGTTGCCCCATTTCAAGGGCTATATTATGGACATCCCCTCGATCCCATTCTGAGGTAGATCCCTCCTACTGGCATCGTCGGCATGGTGGCAAAATGTTGCGTCAAAACTGTGAGTTTAATTCGGTCAGAAGTCCGCCTGACTCTGTAGCCGAGTAGCCGATATTCTTGGACCGAAACCATCTTTTAACCACCCTCTTTTCATTAGCCGGGGGGAAAATATGGGTTTGTCTGAAAATAGGGGATACCCACATAGCCATTTTGATGTTGTGAAAATGAGGTCCATTTGTCCATTGGACTTGGGTTTTTCCCTCGACCTGCTGCACCATCACGGACATCTGGGGCAAAGGTCGTGAAGCTTTTGACTCCTGCGAGGCCACTTCAAACAGATGTCAAACATGGGGTTGAAGCAAAATCATGGAGTTTCTTTAGCAGCAAGAATGGGGAATTACAGGGAATTACAACTTCGACCAGCAAGGATGGGGTTTTTCAGCCACCAACGAGTGCTTTTTAAACTTCCCCCTGGCTCCACGGCTCTACGGACTCGGAGCTATTCCGATTTCCAAAGATCGGTCATCCAATCCCACCAGAAATGACTTATGAGTTGTCCATAGCTCATTAAATCCCACTATTTCATCATAGTTCATAGATGTTCATAGTTCATAAATAAATGCATTTTCCAGTTAAACCTCCATTTTTTGTATGGTGATTTTCCATTTCCACCTTTGATTCCCAGTGAGGCGGACATCCCATGAGATCCCCATCATCCCCATCACTTTCCACTAATAAGTGGCTTAGATACCCTCTTGTAAACTAACATAGCTATGGAAAATTGCCTTTTATAGTGAGTTTTCCCATTAAAAATGGTGATTTTCCATAGTTATGTTAAATTACCAGAGGGTAACCAGAATTGGCTATAGATGTTCTAGGGGTAAACTGGTAAACTCTCCCCACTGTTGGAGCTTAGAATCCCACAGTTCTCGGCAGATCTCCATACCACTTTGCGTTGCTGAAAGAGTCACCGGCCGTGACCGGCCGTTTGAAAATCCCATGGGTTGTCCCCCACATGGCGCGGGTCCTTGGAGGAACTGGAAGAGAAGCGAATCTGTGCCAGGTGAGCTGCGAATGGCTTTGGATAACCAGGCGGTCCCCCCAATGGACAACCCAGCTAAAAAAATAAGAACATGGAATTTCCAGACTCAGACTACCCCGAAATTTCAACTGGCTCATTTTTTGTTGAAAGATCTCTTCAGAGTCGAGTTTTTGACCCACCACATGATTTGCCTGACAGAGCAGCTTCTAAAGGCCCATTGGCTATCAAACATGGGGATGAAAACCCACTGATGAATGCCTTGGACTGAAAGAAGAATCCTGCATTTTTAGTGCTGGGACATGGTTCCAATGTTGGGTAGCTATACATCCCAAGCAATGATGGGCGTAGATCAATACTCCGAGGATCTCTGAGAGCATACCCAAATGACAATTCGGATGCTGCACTGCATAGCGTGGGACCCAGAATGCAGGCTACAAAATGGTGATATAAATGGTGGGCGCCGTGGGCAAAACATATAAATTGAGTGCGCCTATCTGACAGCGATACGATTCCCTGACTTGGATAATGGGAAAATCTACAGAAAGCCGCCCAAAATTTAGTGGTAAAAGCCAGGCTTTGTTGTAAGTGTTCCCTTAAATCAATCCATTAATATGACAAAAATCTACAAAAATCACGGACAAAAAGCCTGGCACTGTCTTGATCATGTCCACTCCATTGATCATAAATCATGGTTCCATCCCCCACTCAACTTTAGTGTAAATGATGTCTACATGGCTATGGTGTCAAAATTTGTGGACCCAAAAAAATGAATGGCTTCTGTAAGAAAGGCTCAAGTTTACGCCTGTGGATCGTACATGGACAGGTGCTTCACCAGCAACATCAACCTCAGCAACGGTCCGGTGGCTTTCTCTGAAAATATGAGAAACTCAGTGGTTCATCGTTCATCATGGTCTGGTTGGTGGTATACCTACCCCTCTGAAAAATATGAGTTCGTGAGTTGGGATTATGACATTCCCAATATATGGAAAGTCATGAAATTCATGTTCCAAACCACCAACCAGTAGTATAACCATCAGTTTCCCCAGATTCAAAGACTCAGCAAAAGGGGATCTTTTGTGCCAGCTCAAGGCCTACGGAAGTGCATAGGTAAAATGTAATGGTGACATGTGATTCATGTCTGAAATGCGATCAAAAATTCACTCCGATCCGTTCTCTGCTGGATCTGGTGTCTGCTTCATTCAGAAACATTTCTTACACTTTGCCAGTTTCACTGGCCGCGTGTTTGGGTTCGTCACGCAGGAACAAGCTTCACAATGGAAACAGCCGCCATGTGCCATGACGTACAAATGTTCCGGTACGTGCTCACTGGTCAATTTCGGTGCATCCATGGCTTTCACTCGGTTCTTCAAGATGTCATTCTGTGCTTTGAGATCTCTGTTTTCGTTTCCAAGTCTGGTCAATGATGACGTTTGCTGCCTCATGCGCCACAAATCAGCCTTGTAGTTTTCGGCTTCATACTCCAGTTGGTGAATCTTCGTCTCCAACCTTTTGATCTCTTCATCCTTAGTCACAGGATTTGGTTCTGGAAGAAGCCGTTTCGTTTGATCTGTTTGTATCGCTGCATCATGCAAGGTTGCCATTGCACTCAATGATGAAGATGCCATAGAAGAATGTTGTGACAAAGAACTCTGTTGAGAAATAGTAACATCTGTTTCACTTGTGGCTTCAGAAAAACAATCCCTGAGAAAATCACGAATCTTTCTACCAAAATGCCAAACAATACGTTCCACCACCAAAATCATCAAAGTGAAAATGACAAGCATGTAGAAAAGAAAACTGTCTTGGCTTTTCTGCTCTCCTGTCTCGGCATGAACAATGGGTAAGCTGCTCAAAGTGAGAAGCACTGCAAAAGGGAACATGCCTTTCTTCACCGCCGCCATCATCGGTGTCCACCAAAGATTTTTCGGCTCGCACTTGACCTTGTGGAACTCGTCGATGAGCACCTGGTCATTCATTTCAAGATCGCGCTCCTCAATGTCATATTTCGGAGGGAGCCGCTTCATCTGAACATGGTGCTTTTCCTCATTCACAATGTTGAGTTCACCGGTTGTAAGAAGCATCATCATCTGCTTGGAAATCATAGGTTTCGTAAGGCAGTCTGCAATCATGGACTGTGTTGGAATCAAAGCCATCCAACGGATTCTGCCTGAGAGCCGTGATTTTCGAAGGCTGAGCACATAGATACGTTGGGACTTGTCCTGAGGCAAAGTCTTGCATCCAGTAACCAGCTGAAAAACATCGTTGCAATCACCGTAATCATCAATCGGTAGCTGCATGTTTCCAGCTTCCTGCAATGCTGCCAACTGCTGCAATGAAGGAGTCTTGTCCTTGTGCAACATCTCGCTCAAACGTATGCTCACCAAAATCGCAGACTCATGTCCATTGATAGCTGCCAACGTCTCTGCATGACTGGTAGAGTAGGAAATCCTTTTGGCCTTGCTTCCATGACTCCACAAAATGTGTGCTCGTCCACCATGAAGACGTGCTTCATCATCTGCGCACGAGTGCTCATAGATCTCGCTCTGTGGTTTGACGTGGTCTTCCATGAGCAAAACCAAAACACCTTCATGTGCATATGCTTTCTCCTTGGTGTGTGAGCTCGCGTCGCGAAAACATGCCAATCTCAAACCATGCTTCGGGTTCAGCTTTCTGAAGTAGAGACCAACGCCTCGTGAATCTTTGTCCTGGGCTCGCTTCAAAACTTGATTTGCATAACGAAGGTGGCGAATCTCTGCTGTCGTGACATGTGTCGCCAAGTGTGAAACTTCTGCAACCAAGTCCAGTCGTGTCGCCGTCAACCATAGCAGCGCGCCCAAAATTGATCTGTAGCTGGTGGTCTCCTCCTTCGTCAGCTTGTCATTGTCCTTCCTGTCATTGTGGATGTTCGCACCTGTCATCTTTTCGCAAAAGTCATCCTGGATCATGCGATAGCCATCTGGTATCTTTTCGTACTTTGCACCGCAATGCTCAAATGGCAAAATCTGCCGGGTGACCTTCTTGAACTTGTTGACAAATGCCTGATAGTGCTCATCCAACCATTGTTGTGGTGCTGCAATCGCCATGTCATCGACGTGGCATGTGCAAAGCGCTAGGATGCTGCCATCATCGCGCTTCCATCTCCAGCTGTTTTCATCCATAGCACTGGGAACTCCTTTGATCTCGCGCAAATACTGCTGCAAACAAAGCTGCCATGCAAGTGGTGCATCATTGAGTCCATAGACTGGTTTCAAACATAGAAGTCCCCATTGTTCTGGATCTCGAACGGCAAAGTCTGAGGAGCAGGCTGCAAGGTGTCGCCATGTGTTGAGTGGCGGAATCACTACTACTGTCCTCACAGGACTGTTGATTCCCATTTTCCTCAGCATCTCACGGATCTGATGGAAATTCAAGCCTTTGAGGAAGGCTCCTGCAATATCCCACTGCAGCTGTGCTAAGCAATAGTCTCTGGCTGAGACGAGTCGCGGTAGTGCTGCGAGTAGTCAACAGATCTTTCTGTCGATCCAAGCACCCTCGCGCACAAAGTCTGCTCTTCACTTTGCGCTGACCATGAGGAAGTTTCTTCCATTTTCGGACCCATCTTGCGTCGATCACCACCATGTCATCGGTGAAGGCGTCTTTGTGGATCTTCTTGAATGCTTGCTCTTGCACAAACTGTTCAACTTCTGTTCGGTCTGCTGCATCTACTTGTGGCCAAATCTTGTAAACGTCATCTTCAGTGATGTCATCATGCTCTGTGTCAACCTTCCAAACATCAGATGTTCTGAGGTCCACATGTAGTAGTGCATTCTTGCTGGAGCCAATGTGGAAGAGATATTCACCTCGTCCTTTGACTGCTGTGTGCTGCTGCTGTTCTTGGAAAAACTGCTCAGTGAGGGTGTTGTCAGCCCAGAGTTGTGTTCCTGTCCAGCTTGTTGGTGCATCGGTCTTGATGCGTCGTCGGCGATCCAACAGGTAGTGCAGGGAAGATGCCTTGTAATAAACTGAATGAGAACTCCAGTATGCCGTACGCATCTTCTTCTTCTCTGGCGCAATGACAACGGTTCTTGAGTCTGGACCATCACGTTTCTGTCCATGTTGCTCTGAGCAATCTGTGTCATCTGCATCCATTGGTTGAGGTTGGTCACCTGGTGCTTGTAGATCTGGAAGCTGCTGCTGTTGCTGCTCGCTGTCCATCGGCTGTGAGTGCTTCCATTCTCTGTTGGTGATCTCTTCGTTCTGGAAGACGTGATAGAAGAGGTAGATGGAACAAATCTCTTCCAACTTCTCCATGGTGACTTTCTTCAGCTTGATTGGATCTGATGACCAATGTTCTTGTATGTGATACTTCATGCTTCCCAAACTCCATGTGATGAGATGGCCAGTTGTGTCTTTCGGTGGCTTGATGAACTTCAAGGACTTGCCATAGATGATGCCTGACAAAGGTCGATTGGTGAGAGCCAGAGAAACTGCTTTCGCCTTGTCGAACATCTTGCCGTCGAAATTGTCAGTGGGCACTTGTCTCCAGATCACACCCGTGGCCTTTTGATCAGGTACGTGTCCAAGAAGTCGTTTGCAGGTTGGCGGGACCATCTCTGTGTTCTTCATGATGTCATAGAGTTCATCTTCCGCTTTGTCAGGAAGCTTCATGCTGTTGAGCTCGCCAAGGAAGGTCTGCACGTGGTGTCGGATGTGTCTGATGGAAACCAAATAGGGACGCCCTTGATATTGAATGATTGCAATTCCTTCATCTGGATCAATCCTCAAGAGAAGGGCAGGTCCACGCCATCCAGCATCTCCTTGAACTTCACGATAGAACTCAACCTCCGAAGTGCCAGCGATCAGTGATGTTGTGTCAAGGCGATGTGACCTTGTTCGATTTGCCCTGGCTGTCCTGTCCTCGACAATGGCTTGTTGTACTGCAGCAAGTGACATCTGTCTGATGCGAAGGGCCTTCTCGAACACTGTCAGATCTGTCTGAAGTGCTCCTGCAGCTGCAAGTACGCCAGGGGATTCATCATCATAGAAACCTCGAGGAAGAACACCAAACACTGCCATCGCTGGTATCACACCGTTGTAGTTCAAGGTGCAGTTCTGCGCCATAGCCGCTTCCATGGCAATCTCGTTGGGTTCTGCAACGATGCCTTGACGATCAAGTTCTGCCTTCAACTTCAGCATGGTAAGTTTCATGAGACCTGCATGTCGTTCAATGAGTCCTGTCCCGGTATGTTGGGCTCCTGCAGCGCCAGCTGTCGTGCCTTTCGGCTTGCGTTCAATGCCAAGGCGTTCAAACTCTGCTGCAACTTCATGACTCATCAAAGAGGCTTCTTGATCCATCGTGAGCGCTCCAGGAGGTCCAAAATACCTCATCCAGCTTTCCAAAAACTTCTGTTGTAGTTCTTGTGCATCGCGGCCAAGGGTTGAGACTGCTACCTTGTAGCGAGTGGCCTCATCCACCATGAGCAGGATCCATGTTCCAAAGAGCTTGAAGAGATCTGCTTGGATGACCTGATTGAAGTTGCCAGCATTGTGAACTTTGGTTTGTGGCCTGTTTGGAAGGCGAACATACCTTCTGCAAATCTGACATTTCATGACTGCATCGCTGACAAGGTTCAGAACTTCAACTGGCATACCAACTCTTGCAAGAAGATTCTTCAAGTCACCCGGTGGTGAGTGCCAATACTTCTCATGTAGTCCAAGAAGCAGTCGCACAGCCGTGTCCGGCTTGTCCTTGGCCAACTGTGGAAGTCGTTGGAAAACTTTTCTGAAATCATAGAGAGGCTTCGTAGAAACCATCGGTCGATGCTTGAACTCCTCAACAGGTAGATCTTCGTATGGTGCTTCAGGTTCAATGTCTCCTGCTACTGCTTGTTGTGGGTCAGGTGACGCAGGTGCTGCTTGTTGCTGTTGTTCCTGTGTATCATGTTGATCTGCTCCATGTTGAGGTGTCGCAGGTGGTGAGTCATCAAGAATGTCTTCTGTTGGTTGATCAGGTCCTTGTTGTGGAAGTGGCATTCTAGGAGCTGATGGTGTTGAAGGGCTCGCTCTGGAAGCAGCCGGAGTTCTTGGTGCCGACTTCGCAACTGAGTCGAGACGTTTTCCACCTTCTTCCAACTCCTTGCCAAAAAATGTGATTTGCCATGCTTCTGCCGTAGTTGGTGCTGTCATCTGGCGATGGCTGCAGGTTGCCAAATCTTCTAATGGATCCATGGTCCAAAGCTTGACAGTGCCATGAACTTGAATGCGCAATGGAGCTGTATGCTTGGACAGCTGTGGTTCTGGAGTGGCTTTTGTGTCGGCTTTGAGACACACTTTGACTCCCTTCAGGTACATGACTTTCTCCAGCAACTCTCTGAGCACAGCTAGAAGGACTTGGTCAGTGATCCAATGCTTGTAGTCAATGCCCATGTCGGTGGCTTCGCTGAAGATGGCGAGAGCATCTTGGATCGCTTGCTGAAGAGCTGCCTTCCAGTATGTTCTCTGATGAATTGCCAAAGGAAAGTCCTTGGGGAAGTCAAGGAAGGTTTCATTCAGTGGATGCTTCCGTGCCTCCTTCTTCCACTCCGTCACAGGGTCTGATCCAAGTGATTCATTCTTGTTCGGTCTTCTGCCATCTGCTGTTGGCCATTGACCGTGGCGGCATTCTCCCGGAATCAAAGTGTGTTCTGTTCCTGCTGGTGCATTCTTGCCAAGCTTGCACTTAGGGCATGCATAGTGATGACTATGCCATACATAGTGAAGACTTCTCGGCCATGCTGGAATGTTCAAGTACTGGACGTCTTTGAGATAGCCAACAATGTCTTTGCAAAGTGCTTGACACATTTGACGTGGATACACAGCTGCAAGAGAGGTGCGGTTCAATCCGCCAACTTTGCCTTGTAGATGTGCATGCTGTCGGCCTTTGTGACCTCCACATCGCTTCGTAGTTTTCTTGCACTTGAAGTTGGCCATCAAAGCGGTTGCTTTCTGGATGGGCTGTTGCAGTTCATCTTGAGCTCCAAACATGCATTGATCACATCTCTGTTTTGGGCGACAGCCATCAATGTGTTGTGGTTGAACTGAGCTGTCTTGAAACATGGTGGAGCCCCAAGGTTGTTCTACAACAAAACCTCTGCCAGAATGTGCTTGATGTTGACAAACCTTTTGAAGAAAATGGTTGCCTGGTTCATCTTCCAGACGTCCTTCCAACTTCGTCTCTGGATTCATGGTGTTCGCTGCAGTGCTGTAATACTTGCACTTGGGCGACGCAAAGATCACACCAGGCTTCAGGATGTCGATAGCCGTCCAGAGCTTTCGTTGATGTTCAGGGTCATTGATGTTCCAGCCATATCGAAGATCGACTGGGAACGCCACTGACAAACCAGCCGTAGCCATAGTCAAGCTGAGGCGGCCCGTGCCTGAGTACAACTCCATGAAGTGGCACGCTGGTTCCTTGTGGTTCTGGGTGATCTCTTGAATCCATTGGTCAAAGTTGTCAGGCGTCACAGGTCGCCGTCCAGTTTTGGTGTAGAACTCTTCTGGCATGGCACGGTATTCATGACGAAGATCACGAACTTTCTTGTCGTCGTTGAAAGGAAATTGATCGCCGGTGTACGGCGGCATCCAACCATCAAGTCTTCGCTTGTTGAGCCAGAACTTCTCGAGGTCATCTGGCATCAAAAACCATGTCTTTCCTGTCCATGATCTGCCAAGATCTCGATGCGATCGTTGTGGATCTTGCCATGTGTCTTCAAAGAATTCTGGGCCATGAGGATCATGATCATAGACCACTTCTGTGCGCGGTCTGGAAGAAGCTTGTCCAGCGACACAGGGCAATCTTTGGAACATGCAGGACTGTAGAGTGTCCTTCTGGAGACTCGATGTTCTCTGACGAGCCATTGTCCTGAAACTGTCCAAACATCTTTCTGGTTGTTGATGGGCTTGCTGAGTCGCTGGTCTAAGGCTTCCTGTTGCATCGAAGTGGTCATGTTCTGAAAGTTGTTGACCTCAATGGCTTCCGTCGGCATCTGATCATTCTTGAGGGAATCAACCAATTGATCCAAAGGTGCCACCTGGGGACGGTCAGTGGAGCATGCTTCTTTCTCATTTTTCTTCTCATACATGACTCCCTCTGTCGTCACACCAGCTGGTTGTTCCTGTTGGACCAATGGTTGTTCACTCCGATCCGTCTCCGCTTGGTCTGAGTAGTTGTTCAAGAAGAAGCAATGTCTGACCTGCGGTTCTTCATCTGGCCAAAGTTGCTTGCTCTGTTGGATGATCTGTCGTGTGAGGAATGCCACATTCTTCCCAGTGTTGTTGGGAATCTTCTCCATGGTTTTCTGATCTGTGGGCAAAAGATAGTGGCCAGAGTCTGTGAGAAGAAGTCGTAATAGAATTGGCTTCTGGTCATGGTCAAGGAGTTCTTTCTTGCAAATGGCCAACAATCCGTCACCTCCTGGAAACCAGTCGCTGAAGAGTGCAGCTTGTTGTTGTCGAAGTGTTGGGTTTCCAACCAATGCTGGGCATAGTGAACCTGCTCCGCCAAGAACATCACCTCGGTAGGATATAGCTCGGTCACAAACCTTCAGCTTCAGCAACACTTCACCAAGCGTCTCGTCAGCTTCACCGGAAATGCCGGAGACCGATGTCGTCTTCTTGTTCCAGGAGATTCGATCTGGTTGCTGGTCTTCTGGAATGCAATGCTCCATGATGTCTCTCAATGTCTCTGATCCCACAAGGCCTGACGCTGCTCCAGGATCTATGAGAAGTCCACGACGTTTCTCGCCCTTGACGGTGTGATACGTTGCAATGCCCTTGTTGTCGTTGAGGAACATTGCAAAGCTGAGGACTTTCTCATTCTTCTCCTGATTCATGGATTCATGATTGTCAGAAGATGTTGACGTAGTCTTGGAAGGTCTTGATAGCTTGATGAGATCATCGTCAGCATCCATGCGGTAGTATGTCGCCTTGGTGGGTCTGTTGACACTGGTTGTAGATGATGATGTGGCCGTCTGTGAATCTTGTCGAACATGACTGGTGTTCAGAGGAGCTCGTTCTGCATAGCCACTGTAGTAATGGTCTCCTTCCACATAGTATCGCTTCCCTTTCTTGCCATAACCCTTGTTGCCAAACTTGGACTTGCCTTTGCCGCTGCTCCATGGTCGAAAACCATGTCCTTTGCCTTTGGAGCCATAGCCCTTGTAGGGAGTGCGATACTTGCCAAAGCTCTTGCCCTTGTAGCCTGGATTGTAGTTCTTGCCCTTGTTGTTGTTGGGCACATTGACAGGACAAGCTGTGGAGGAATGCCATTTGCTGCCACAAATTGCGCAGCCAAGAGCCATCGCGTTCTTGCCCTTGCCTTTGTAGTATTCTTCATGAGGTGGATCTGAAGATGGTTCATGCTCTTGGCCCTGTGAGTCGTAGTTGTCTGTGGCAGGCTCTGCAATGTGCTCCTCTTGCCATGAGTCCCACTGTTGGTCGTAGTAGGAGTCGGTTGGAGGCCAGTCATTCCACCATTGGTCATACTGATCTCCAGGGTCAATCCAGCCATCGTCATGTTCTCCATAGTAGTTTCCTGACCTATCAGGCCAGTCTGTCCAGTCTTGCCATTCTTCTTCTCGCCAAGACTGTAGATCGCCATCTGCAGATTGTTCTTCATAGAAGATGTGGTCGGAATCTTCTTGTCCACGTTGGCTCAACCTCAGCGCCAGGGTTCGTGCCTCGTTGAACCTGGCGAGGTCTCCGTGTATCTGCAACTTGATGTCCTCGATGAACTTGGCCGGAAGATTGCTTTGCTTGAAGAAGAGGTAGAACTTCGCTACATGATTCAACTGCAAGTTGCTTCTCGTTTCGCCCTCATCATACCTGAGATCCCATTCCACTGCATACTCCTGCAAAGAAAGCTTTCCTCGCTTGAACTCAAAGAATGCCTCTAATGACCTTGACACCATATCTTGATCGCTCTGGCCAAATGCATCACGTAGAGCGTTGCAGAGGGCTTGAACTCCACTGGGTATGTGATGTTGCAAAATCACTGTGGGATCATTTGGATCCCTGACCTCATCAACACTGAGCCTGACCAAGGCTTCGTCGCCAATGTCAAAACCGCCGTTGGGGCGTGGTAACCTCAAATTGATCGCCAATTTCTGTGCGCGACCAGTCAGCCTGCCGGCCACTAGTGGTCCTACCACTTCGTCTGCTCCATCGAAAACTCTATACCACAGCCGTAATTTTTCAAAATAGGCACGGAGTGGGTAATCCGGCAGACCTGGACCCCAACCTGGTGGCACTTCACGGCGATACTCAGTGAGTGGAATGGATCCGGCTGATCCTGCAGGATGCTGAGCCATGATGTTGACACAGTGACAAGGGTAATCCAACTCTTCAAAGAAGACACCCGCAAAATCGTCAAAAATGTCCTTGGGCTTCTGGGTTCGTAGGACTGATGTAGTGCTAAAGCAAATGACCTGGAAATATTCAGTCTTATAGTGGCCAACAAAGATCTCTGCAATGATCGGGCCAAAGACAAATTCCGGGTTGAAGTGATGAGTGCTAAAGCAATTGCCAATGCAGTCCACAGAGAATGCCCCCTGGTGATACGCAAAAATGTCCTCAGAGAAGACGTCGCTACTGCAAGTCTGAAACACCAAAGAACCTGTTTTCCTGGCAGTTTCCTGGATCGCACAGGGACCACCTAGCAAGTGAGTACAGTTGAACCTGGGCTCTTGGTGCAGCTTGAAGTGCTGGGTGAAAACTTGGGGTGATACCAACACCAGAAAAGCGATGAAGAAATTCGTGATGTCGAAGGGATTGGCGCCCCGTAGGACGCTGCAGTTAGAAACCGCTGTAGCCGCTAAGTGGTGTATGGCTGGGCTAAACACCTATGGATCGGTCGCCCCTGCGGAAAGGCGCCGCTACCAAACTCAGCAAAGGGGGATCTTTTGTGCCAGCTCAAGGCCTACGGAAGTGCATAGGTAAAATGTAATGGTGACATGTGATTCATGTCTGAAATGCGATCAAAAATTCACTCAAAGTTTATCATGTCGGGGAAATGGCTAAAAAAATCTCCTCCGCAGGGACGTGGACTATCCAAAAAACCCTCGTATTTTTGAGGAGTTGACGACTCTCGAGCTGCAAACCAACTGGTAAGTGGCTAATCCCTGTACAACTGGGCTATATCTATACATATCTATACACTAGTTATAGTAAGCGACTGATAGATGGTTATAGTCATAGTTTCAATAGTTCTATACCATTCTATACCACTTACTACCCACCATTCGCAGCGATGTCCAGTGGCTGGAAGGGCTTCACATCTACATCCAAGTTCTGCAACTGAACCTGGCTCCGCTTGACGCAGTCTATCATAGTCTATCCACATGGGTCTTCGAAGACCACCAGTTCTGTTCATTACCAGCAACAGATAGGTGAAATAGTTGTTGCTTAGTATATCTTTCTCACTACCACTAGCATGTGGTTGGCCAACTCAAGTCGTATCTCCAACTGGCACCCCGTACGAAATATGGTAACCAGAGCTCCGCTCTAACTACCTCCCAACCACATAGATTCTTGCCATCTACTCACTATCTGAGATGATACCCCACCATTGGCGCAGCAGCGTGCAGTTTTCCATGGCACAACTCCTCCACGGGATGACGTTTGTTTCGTGACAGCTAAACCTGCCCGCGTGCCACAGCAGTTTGGTCATGTTTTGGAGCTTTCATGCAGTGTTTCAACATGGTTTTGGCTCAAGAATGTTTCTTGGGTTCAAGGAGAATGTGTTAAAACAAAAAAGACATGTAAAATCAAGAAACCTACAAAAGCAAAGATCACGCGCATCAAAAAGGTTAAAAAGAAAAATATATATAATGTCCCAACCAGATCAACCAATAGTACTCAGAGTAGTTTCCTTCACAGACTGGGCACAGAGTTTTTGGGTTGCGGTGCCTTTTTGCAACTCAGCTCTGTTGGTTCAGCTCGAACCATGGTTCAACGTGGAAAATCATCCCCTTGATCTGAGCGAAAAAATCAGAATCCTGACATCCCAGAGTTTGTTTCGGAAAATCTGCAAGAAACCCCTAGTCTGATAGGTGGAAAACGATATTGTTCTGCAGAATTTCCCTCAAACCAATCCATTGAAAGAATGGAAGATGATGTTGATCTGTTGACCAACCAGGAGGTTGGTTGATAGGTCTGATAGGGGGTCACATATTAATTGGAATATGAAAATCCAACAAGCCCTATGGATGAACTGGCTCTTGATGATACAATCACATCTTTCAATGTTTAAATCCATTAAAAAAAAAAAAACCTTATGTGGTGAATCCCAGAAAAGTATATTTGGGATGTAATATTGACTTTTTTTTGACCATATTAAATCTCAATATGGATGTTGAATCCCATGGTTGACAGAATTTAGTGAATGGTGAAATCCATGGCTGACATGTCAACCTCCACAACTCCTACGGCTCCATTGCCCTCACCACAGCACATCGAGCTCGCTACGCTCGCGTCGGACGAAGACTCAACGGCTTCACATCAGCGCGCTGACAATGGCCTGGAGGTTTCCATAGTCGCTGGTGGGATCCCCAAACTCGCTGCATGGTGTATTTCATGGAAAATCCCAAAATAACATGGAGGAAAACTGGGGGTACCATAAATTGGAAACCTCCATGGATGATTTTGGAAGATAATTCATGAATGATTTTCCATGACTTTGGAATGCGTTGATTGGTGAAACATGTTTAAAACCTATGTGCGAGGCCATCTGCACGGGGGCCGGTTTGCCACCTTCATCGGTTGATCCTCTGATGACTATTGTTGTCATGGGTTGAAATCGAGACATGAACCATCGGTGCTTGGATTCAGCACTACATACAGCACTACACCAATACGCAAAGTGGGGACCAGGCATGGCAATTGAATGTTGCTTAGTGGTCAATGGGAAACACCAATGCGGAAGCAGCAGAAGAAGTTAGCCCTGGTTTACTCTTCTTGATTGGCTCAATGGATTTCGGAAAATCGTCACCAGAAACCATGGTCCTTACCATTAAAAATCGGGTTTTCCTATAGATGTTCCGTGAGAAAAAACTGAGACTGGTGAAACCTGAAACCCTTTTTTTTGTTCTGTGGCGAAAGGCTTACCCTTTGGTAATTTCATAGAGCGAATAATGTCATTTATAGTTGATTCACCTTTGAAAAATTGGGATGTTCAATAGCAGACTGTCAGTTTACCAGAGGGTATACACCATTAATATCCCCATTGTTGTTGCTTAAATCCTATTCATCACGATAAAATCTCCATATGTCCATTAAATCCCCATGAAATTAGTGTTGTTATACACCACATTTTCTCCATTAAAAAAAGAACCATGCTCTCCATAGAAAACCATCATGTTCTCCATAACATTTTCCCATAAAAGTCCCATATCATATCATATCATATATATATATATCATATATCATTGTCATTATGCACCATCATATATACCATTGTCATATATCACCATCATTTATACACCATCATATATCATTTTCCCATAAAAAATCCCATATCATGCCACCTCCGCGCGCCTGACACACCTCGTGACTTTTGGCGCGCGCGCTGACGCGCGCCACACAGCCCCGTTCCGCATCCATACCAACCAGAGCCTGGTGTTGTTTCGGTGGCCGGCTAGGAATTTCTCAGTACTTCAACAGGCCTGGGAAATCCCTGGAAATCCATTATAAAATGAGGGTTTCTAGATGGGAAACTCCAGGATCAGGAGATTTTAATCGAAAACCATACGGATCACCAAGGACTTGGGGTAACTCCTGGACCTTCAAACGGCTTCAGGCCGTGGTCATGGCCAAACACGACCATGGCTTGGTTGCTATGGCTGTTATGGTTCATACAGTTTAATATCCCCAGTAATCATATGTTCTACCCCCTTTGCTACCATAATTGGTATATTGATATAGGATATGACCAAAAAATGACGCTATAATAATTCCATCATCATCATATGAATCACATCCTATAATTGGAAATGGGAGTTCACATTTCTAATATATCCCATATGGTAGTTATTGAATATCATTGAATTCATATATAGTATAAATATCGTTATGTACATTAATTTAATCTCATATATTTATATCTTTAAATCCCATGGAATGTGGTTATCCCATGTATTTAATCCACATGGAACATATTAAAATTCTACAGTAACGGAATCGACCAATTGGGGTGTGTTTTCATGTTAAATCTGTACTTATGAATTAATCATTACCAATAATCATCAATAAATATGGAGATTTTTTGTGGATATGTAAAAGAATATTCATAAATGACTCATATTGACTCCAGCAAAATTCTCCCATATGCAAAGGTCCAATCCATGTGGGATTTTCCATGAAAACCATCCGGCGGGGAAGCCCCCAAAATTTCTGGATGACTTGTTTCATGGAAATTCCCAATCTAAAATGGATGATTTAGAATTTAGGGGTACCCCCATGACTTGAAACCTCCATATCACATGGTTAATCCATGATGAATCCATGGCTGGCCTTCACCAGGCAGGTCTGGCCGCCCAAGAAGGTGCCACCTGAGCGGGGGGGAATCCAATCTTTTGGGCTTAAGAGAATAGCATGGCAGCATGACTTTCAAGTCATCTAGAATCTAGAATCTTTTGGAGGTACGGTTATGAAATTTGTACTTTAGCCTGGCCAAATCCTACAGAAGTGGCTGGTCATCCTTCAAAAATCCATCCAATCTTGGAGGATAGCTGGCTGGGTCCTACTGCTGTCCATCCCAGGGCATTCGAATGCCTGTTCTAGCCAGGTCTAAGCGCACTTGACCCCTGGACTTGCTATCTTTTCGTATGTGCAGAACTCCTGAAAAATCACATGTTGCTGGTGGTTCATAGTAAATAAGTAATTAATTCCATCCAAAATTCCATCCAAAATTGTATAGTGCAATCATTGCAATCACCAAAAAAATAGATTCCAAAAGTAATGTGCAACCAGTGGTTGGTCTCAGCCGAGGTGCTCAACAATGCTGTATGTCCACGTCCACCCGGCTCCACTTTCCCGGTGTTGTCACAGGGATGCCTCGGGGAAACGGAGTTCCAAACAGCGATTGGCCACCTGGAAGGTATATCCCAACATGACATAGGGAAACTGCTGGGGAAAATGATAGAAACTTGCAGGAAAACTTGGAGAATCAGTTACTTTACTGGTAGGAATTCACTTGAAGGAATCCACTTGAGGCTCCACTTGGTGTAGGCTTTCCAGCCACCTAATTCTCCCTCTGAGGTTGGCATGTTACCAGCCATGAGCCAAGCAGCATGTTCAGGGTCGCAATGATCCAGTCCACACCTGATTCAAGCCTCAGTTTGATGGTTCAGACTTCGACATTGAAAACTGCTGATTTGTCAATCTGCCAAGCCACGTCTTGAAGTTCAAACTGAGCTTCTGCGTCACTTCGGTGCCTGTTAGGCAGAACATAGCTAGGAAAACACAACCAGAAACACGTTTCCGGAAAAATGTGGTGAGACTCAGGAAACACGTTTAGAACTGAGCCCTTTGTCACCAAAAAAAAAAAAACGACTTGGCTCGGTCCCTCCGGTACCTTGCGCTGTCAACTGTTCCCAGACCGAGCGGAATTGCCCTTGCTGCAGCGACCTGCAACCAGCGACTTCCAACGCAGCAAAAAACGTCACGGTGGAACCAAACTTCCAGGCCGTCGGCTGCCTTGGGAACATGTAGTCACCAGTGCCAATGGTCACATTTTCCACCTTGGCATGGGAGATGGAAAAAGGGTAGCCAGGTGGAGCCGTTTCTTTTTTCGGTGCCATTAGGATGACCACAAAGCTCAACCGGTCGGAAGTCGAGGATTTCTCACCCCAGGTGGAACGATCCACTTGGTGACCTTGATTGAGGAACGTAGTATAGGAGAGAAGGGTGTGAGCATGCGATGTCATAATGAGTCTGGCTGGCATAGGATTCAGGAATTCTAAAAGGGACTTGGACAACGCCGCTTGCTTGTAAATTGTAGTGAATCCCTGACAATGGTCTCAGAAAGGTAATATAAGAAATGTCAACCATGGGTCATTATGGTTGATGTCACATAGATCTCTTATATCACCTTTGAGACACAACCTATGTCTCAATAATCCTATGGTTGGCCTCACCTGGCAGTCCCATCCCATTCAGTCTCCAGACGGGATAGTCATCCTGGCAGGTGGAAAGCAAGCTAACTTGGTGGATACTGGATACCAACCAGGTGAGTTGGTTCATTGGTGACCTGAAGGTAGGGAAAAAAAACATGTTCCAGGCTTGGAATTTGACAAAGAACCCTGCTTCGAAAGCTTTGGGGCCTTAGAAACAGTCCTCTTTACAGACCTCGAAAAATGGGAGGCTTCTAATGGATTTGATGAATGCCCAAATGGAATGGGCAACCAAAATAGGGCTCTCCCATCCCATGATGCATACTGGTTGGTAAGTATCCCGGTGTCCCTATGAAGCGGAATATTTCTAATCCTCAGTGAATTAAATAGTATAAGATACTATACTTCAATTGCAACTTGGGCCTCCAAAAAAAATAATGTAGGTAAAACATGGTAAAACAATGTCATAAACCATCTCCCCAGTCATCACCATGTTTATAGGTGGTATAAACCATTCCCAGTCATGGCCGGAAACCATAGCATTGTTTTACCCCACATTGCTCCCATTGATATCCCATTAAATCACCACATTTAAGTAATCTGACTCCCATTAAATTTTAATCCCCAAATAATTTAGAAATGTTAAGAAAACATATTCCCGACATAGATTCCATATCTCATTATAAATCACCATGACAAAAAAATCCATAGATTCCCAGGAAAACTCAGCGCGCCTCGTAGCCAAGGTCGTCCCCCTCCTCCTGCAGACCAAAGGTCGCCACGGGGTCAACTGAGGTCCCCTTAACCATGGAATCATAGGGGACATCATCCGAGAATCATGGGAAAATCATGGGAAAATCATGGGAAATCCTGGGAAAATCATGGGAAAAACATGGGTGAATAGTGGTTCATCATGGGTTAATCATGGTAAATCATGGTGAATTATGGGATCTTCATGGATATTGAATCCTAAACCTTCTTGCCTTGCCATTCCAAGCATTCAACTTGAGAAGTCAAGACAGAAGTATCGAATATGTTAATGGGATTAGATCTGGCAACTTCAATGTTCATTTGAAGGGGTTTTCGGAGTCCATAATTTAGACCCATACCATACCCACCACTCCCGGAACAAAAGAATCGCACCCTCTGAACCTATCGTAGGTACCTTCAAGGTCACGGAAATCCCAGCAGTTGAGAAACCTTTGAGTCTTTTTTAAAGGTGCATCAAATGCTTATTTCCCCACCCCCCTTTGATCCCCACTAAAGCCTTGAGGATGAAACGCAGCGAGGCTCCGAAGCTTCCCGGCACCACACCGCCGGTGTCCTACATGGGACCATCGGTGTTTCCGCTTGAAACTCGTGGAGGTTTGGAGAGTCTCAACCCCTCAAAAGGGATGTGTTCAAAGTGGAAATGTGGAGATAGCCAGGAAAAATCCCCATGGTGATCTTCCTGCCCCGCATTCTTCCGCAGCAGCACGTGAGCAGAGCCGTTTTGACCTATGGCCGTTTTGAGGTGGTCAGAACGGAAAAGCAACATGAATCAGGAGTATGGACCCAATGCTTGATCAACTTCTCCAATAAATATCACACAATATCACTTATAACTTATAACTCATATAACTCTCCTGATTTTGATGCCTGAATTCGCCGTAGCAAACCCCAATTTCGAAGCCACGAACTTCGGCAGCTGGGCTCCGGGCTATACTCCAAGCGGGTCACTGCGGAGGCACCCAATTCCGTCCAGTTGGGCTCCAAACCTGTCAGGTTCACCTGGCAGACGAAGAAGTCGGAGCTCACCTTTTCTTAAATTGCTACCAAAATGTCAATCTTTCCAGTTTAAGAGAAAGAGCGATAAAGATAATATAAAATCATCCATGGTATTGTTGGCATCGTTTAATGGTATGGTTTCGTGGTCATTCATTGGGGTAAATCCCTATTTTTTTCATACTTCAACCAGTCAAATTTCGTACCCCCGGGTAAACCTTCACATAGATGTGGGAAATCCACCATTTAACATGGTCAATATTTGGTAACCCACAAAAAAAAGTCATCTTCTGCTGGTTCTGGTGATGTTCGATGGTTAAAAAAAACTCAAGGATTCTTTCCTACCCATCCAGTTGGTTGGGATGTTAAAGATCATGTTCTTCATATAAATCATATCTGGTTGGTGGTATACCTACCCCTTTGAAAAATATGAGTTCGTCAAATCTGATTATTGTTCCCACTATATGGGAAAATAAAATTCATGTTCCAAACCACCAACCAGATATGGGTTTTCCACATCTTGTTCCATGTTTACAACACAACATACCAGGGTACCCTGTGGCACCTGGACCTCTTCCAAGGTGATACCTGGCAAAGTGAGGCCCCCGAAGTCGGAAAAATGGATGGATTGACCTGGCAAAGTTTACTTGGTGAATTCTATGCCTTATGGGGGAGAGAATAGAACAACCCTCCGGTACTTTGTTACATTGAAAACGGTTCATTTATAAATGATTTCCCTATCGAAATGGTGAGAACTATAGTTGGTTTATTGATCCCACTCTATTATTCAACCAAGTAGCATATATAGACTATAGTTTAATATAAAGTGGGGTTCTATAATAAACTAACTAACATAACTGGGCCTCACCTTCTAGGGTGGACATGCTTCAACCAACAGAGGATAATTGATCAACGCAATGGGGATTGAGATATCAATGGAGGATAAATGGGACATGTTTCCAGGAATTTTGTAGCCAACTAATAGACTATATCCAATTGTGTCTGAGAAGTTGGCAAATTTACCTCAAAGCATCTGCAATTTTCATAGGGAAAATGATGATTAATCAATGGACAGACTGGGGTAGCCTATGACCAAAAGCACATCCATGGTGAGAAGTCTCATGTCCACCTCAAAGCTAGGCCGCGGCTTGTTTAACGAAGGAAACAAAACGATCTCTGAAAGAATCTGAAAGATGTAATGTGGTTAAAACAATGCCATTTTTACCACCCCATTTGGTTCTCGTCCAAAAACCACCCATTAAAATGGTGATGACTTGGGGATGGTTTATGATTGCTTTAACCACATTACACACATATATATATACTAGATCACTGATCACCCGTTTCCTGAAAGCCACTCCGACCCATCCACCGGCCTTGAACGGTGTTGGACACGTACATTTCCAACACCATATGCTTCAAAAACCTCACACGAAACCAATGACTACGAAATGCTGCGGGATGCCAAATCTTTAGTTGATGGTTGTTGACTTCGTTCGTATGTTTAGGGGCTAGTTGAATTTACCAGAAACATCCAAGAACTAATAAAAGGACCGGATAACCCCACAAGTCCACTTCTTCCAATAATGAGCAAGAAATGTTGTAGCGGGGACGGGGAAGGAAGGAAAGACAAAGGAGGAGGTGGAGGAAAGATGGTGTGTGACAAAGTTGTGTGTGTGTGAAAGATGGTGTGGTGCACCCCCAATCATCACTATGTTTGGATCGGATCTGACTTGATCTGTTTCAACATGTTGTTGCTACAGAAAATCACCCATTTTCTAACAGATAAATCATCCATTTTAACAGGAATGTCCTGGAATTTCCATCCAGCTACCCATTGCAGGAAACCTCCAAATGGGCCATAGCTGCCATAGCTTCACTTCTGCCCAAGGCGCATATGCTTGATGACCTGCACGGTGTATTCCGCCTCACTCTTTGAGAAGAACCACCAGCTGGGTGCAGAATTCACAGGGGGAAGTTGCTGGGTCCTTTAAAAAATAAAAATAAAACAGACATATACTAGGAGTTTTGGATTATTAGGATGGAACTCATATTACAATAACCATAACACTCATATTTGGAATCTTAGGAGTTTTATGGTAATATTCGACGTTGCTAAAAACATGAACCAGCAAGAAAATTAGAAAGATTTAACAACTTGAATAGGAATGCCATGGGATATAACGACTATAACAATCATGGGATTGGTGCAAAGGAAACGTTACGCTTATAAAATACTAAACCCTGGTTTTTACGCTTCAAAGTGGTGGTTTCCTGCAAATGTTCCCTGTATCCAATCCTAGGATTGAAAACGTTGGACACCCTGGAATGATGGGTAAAATAAATCATCTATGGTAAATGGTATTATTCCAGAAATAAAAACATCTCTGGATGACAAAAACATCGGAAATTTATGGGATTCTGGATGTTGTTGTCTATCCTTTTGGGACCCCCGAAAAAGAAAAAAACTTCCTGTAAAGAAGCCATGTGTTTCTTCAAATTAAAGCTGGAGCCGCATGGAAATGCAAGCCATGAACAGCTGACTAGGTCGTGGTTTCAACCCATCCCAGGAATCATGCCAGTTCGATATGAAGTGAAACCTGTTACCTGGGCATTCGAATGCCCTACCTTCCCAGCTACTGCGGCCGACATTGGACCTGGGAACAAAAAACTCCTTGGAACAACCGCAGAACTACAAACCCCAGATGCTACCATGGCTACCTGTACCTTATATAGTTCGGCCGGCCTCGCTCTCTGTGAGGGGCTTGGGTTTGCAGGTGTGTTGCAACCTGATCATCCGCCACAGCTGACAGATTGACAGAAAATCGCGACACTGCACCCATGTTTCTGAACTCAGGAACTTCCTAGTTCACTTCAACACGTTTTTTCTCTAAATCACCATCCCCCATTTTTCATATGTTCCTTTCCCATTTTTTCCCGGTCACCCCAGGGTGAACTCCCCAGGTCGGGCCCCGACGAGCCCAGGTCTGTCGCGCCCAACTCCTGCAGCACTTTGCTGAGCTCCGCGGAGGCGGAGGCACGCTGCTCGGCTTCCTGGCGCGGGAGCCGCGGTGGTGACAAAGCCACTTAGAAACTGCTTGGGAACTCAGGTCTTAATCAAGCTATCCAGTTTTAGATGGGGTAAGTCCCCAAAGTTATTAAGCTAGTGGTTGTTCAATTGAGATCGAAATTGGATATAGTCTAATTTCAATCATATTTTGGTCGTAAAGTAATTGTAAACCCATCCCAATTTTACCATAAATGGTTGGTATAAATTAAATCAACATATGCGCGGTTTATTATTGTTTGCTGACATCATTCCAACTTGCTCACTACATCATCAGTTTCCATAGTCAAACGCTCAGAAATTCACCATCAACTTCATAGCTCAAGCGCCCTTTTTCCCGTTCGTTTCCCATTGAATCCCTATGTTTGGGGTGAAACCACAATTCTTCACCATTTTTCATAGTGAAACCACCATGATTTTAGGGCGTCCTCTCCATGAACCACCCCCACAAACCCTCCCACCTGCGCAGGCGCTTGCGAGCCCGCAGGCGCCTTGGGCGCCGGCGCGCCCGGCTTCTTCGGGGTCGGCTCCAGGGCGGCCTTGGCCTAGCCGCATCGTTCAGGGTGGGGAATTTATTGAATCATCCATTCATCATAGTGGTTAACAGTCATGTTCATGATGACTAATGACTACTGATGATCATAAAGTTAATTTTTGATTATATAGAATAGTGATGATAACAGCGATTAACGGAGTGATGAATTATCCATCATTAGCTAGAATAATGGTTAGTTGGTGAATTATTCGATAGCCGTTAATCATCCATTCACAGTGATTATAGAAGTGATTGATGGCGATTCATGGATTGTAATTATAATAGTGATTAATCAGCCATTAGGTGGTTAGAATAGTGATGGATGATTAATGACTATCAACTGTTGTTAATCATCCAGTAAGAGTGGTTACAATAGTGATTACAATAGTGATTACAATAGTGATGAATAGATACTAATCATAATTAATACTAATGAATAGATATTGTATAATACTGATTAATGGATTATAATAGTTATATAATGTTATATAGCTCATCGTCAATAATAGTGGCTGTAATAAGGATGAACATCTGTATGGATGACTAATCACTATGAACGTTGTTATGAACTAATCCATTTGGTATTCACTGTTAGCGGGTTTAATATACTAGGTACTAGTATCTAAACATCTAGATACTCAAGGTCGTTTATTTTGGAAATGTTAGGAATCATCTTAACCATTAAACAAATCCTAAAAACCTCAACATGTGAAAAACTTCCCATTGGGTTGATCAGCAACCGGCCTTGGCGGTGGCAGCATAGGCCTCGCTGGTAGGCAAACTGCCGAAATCCAAAATCTGGTCCATGCCTCAGTTCGAAAACCGGCGGCACTGCAGGCATATCAGGCGTGGAAAAAAAAAAAAACATGTTTTTTTCATGACATCAGCCAGGAATGCTAGAAGACAAGAGCAAATGGATTGAATGATTGAAGTCACCATGAATCATTTGAATTCATTTGATGTTTACCCAGCCATCTTTGGTGTTTTTATCAGTTCACCCCCTTTATGCCCATCACCTGGGATCATCAGCCCACGTGGTTTCGTGCATCCGTGCCACTGCCATTTTGCATCTGATCCACCAAGCTGTCGTACCTTGGGAGATCCATCTGTCGTACATCACCAGGACAAGGTTTTAAAAAAAAAGTCAGCATCAGCAGCAACATCATCGTCATCATCACCGTTATCATCATTGTGATCATCATCATCATCATCGTCATCATCATCATCATCATCATCATCAAGTCATACCGGAATAAAGTGATGATTGGACCCAAGATGCCGCACTTCCCAGGAGTGATTTCTGTGCGGCACTTTCTCATCGGTATGATGGCTTGCATGTGGCAACTGCCAAGCCAAGTCCATCTGATACTGGATCCCAACGAAGGAAACCAACAAACTGAGTCTCTCTTTAAATGGCAATTTCTAGATAGAATATATGCCCATCTTTGAAGGTTTAAAAGTTAAAATCTCCAAGTACGACCTATCTTCTCCGGCCAATCTATAGTTTATGACATATGTTTTACATAATTTCGAAGCGAATTTTTCATATACCCACCCACCCCATTCTTACTGGACCAATATATCTGCTCAGGATGCGATGGAATTCGTACCTCCCATGGTTTCTAACCTTTCTAACCCCATCTCACCCCATCTTACCTAGTGCTTTCCACGGTTTTAGAACCCCATATCCACAAAAATCTCCCAATATGTTCATGGTTAAAACGCCTATGAAATGACCATCTAATCAATCATCAACCATCATTTATCAATTATATAACTATACATCATATCCCCATCTGTTGATAGTTGGTTAACCCTTATTAATCATGATTCAAATATGGTTGAATCTCCATTCAATGACTATCAAATCATCAACCAACCATCATTTATGAGATTTATCCACTTATATCTCAATAATTTCAAGCCCATTAAACTTATTAAACCCTATTAAACCCTTTTAAACCCTAAAAAATATCACCAGAATTCATCATCAACCCATCAACGCATCAACCCCATCCCGGCTCTGCGTGACCAAAAATTCCAATGGGCGCTTCAGCCGGGCCACAAGGCGTCCACGGAGAAGTTGGTCTCCGAGGACATGAGCATCTCATAGCCCGTTTTGGCCACCTGAAATAGTGGGAATATTGTCTGGCGAAAACTCATGGGAATATCGTAGATATATCATATATATCTATAATGATAATCATAATATATAGTGGTTGTAATAAGTGTACATATATCATATATATATATATCATATATCATCATATATAATCAGAATGTAATCATATTTATAATCATATATCATATATCTACCATTATATCATGTAATCATGTATATAATTATATATCATATAATCATATAGTGGTTGTAATAAGTGTACAAATCGATGTATCACCATGCGAAAAAATGGAGATGTTTCAGTGATATCATCGGAATGAATCCTAACGTTGAAACCCTGAGTGATATTTTTTTTTCGATTTCCCAAGCATGAAACCTTCATTTTGTTCGGGGATTTCGCCGCTAGCCATGTTTGATTACTGGAGGGTTGATATGAATAGATGGTGGGATGGCCACAGGGTTATCTTTATATCTATGGATAGATTGCTAGGGAGGGAGATAGTGGTAAGCAGATAGTGATAGACGTTGTAAAGATATCTATATAGATAGATAGATATATATATATATAGATAGATAGATAGATAGATAGATAGATAGATAGATAGTAGATAGATAGATAGGTAGGATTAGGTAGATAGATTAGATAGATTAAAAGATAGATTAAAAGATAGATTAAAAGATAGATTAAAAGATAGATTAAAAGATAGATTAAAAGATAGATTAAAAGATAGATTAAAAGATAGATTAAAAGATAGATTAAAAGATAGATTAAAAGATAGATTAAAAGATAGATTAAAAGATAGATTAAAAGATAGATTAAAAGATAGATTAAAAGATAGATTAAAAGATAGATTAAAAGATAGATTAAAAGATAGATTAAAAGATAGATTAAAATATAGATAAAAAGATAGATAAAAAGATAGATAAAAAGATAGATAAAAAGATAAATAAAAAGATAAATAATATAAATATATAGATAGATATATAGATATAGATATTGATATTGACATAGATATAAATATAGATATAGATATAGATAGATATAGATAGATACATATATATATATGACACTAGTCTGACAAATTTGGGGGCATGTCTTCCCTTTTGCATATGTTGCGTGGAGAGGATCAAGTAATGGATACCCTTTTTTTGAAGGTGATCTTTTGCAGCTCTTCCAACGGGAAAAACACTGGTGGATTTTTGTTTGGTTTCCCACTTTCGACCTGGAAGTTCCCTGCCTCATTATCGTCCACACACTGTTGCAGGACGGTGCCTCAGTTCCAGGCTCAGGGGTCCACTTGAGATGTACATCCCGGCGGGTGGGAGTCTGCTAGCATTGACTGTTGGAGTTTCGACATTTTCGTACTATGTGAACTAACCTCCATCAGTGGGTGACGTGTTACGACTGCGGAACCCGAGGGGGGAGAGCTGTCAGCCCAAGCTGCTGTAGAGGTTGATGCGATCTCGAACCTCGTCGTCGTTGTCATTGGCGCCGAACCTGAACGCTACACCAGCGACACCGGGGGGACGGATCTTGGAACAGTTGAAGGCGCAAGGAGGGTCCAAAAATCACGAATAAATTTGCTGATTATATAGTCTTGTAATTAAAATTGATGAATATGGTAAACCATGGTAAACCATGGTAAACCATGGTAAACCATGGTAAACCATGGTAAACCATGGTAAACCATGGTAAACCCTATAGTAACGCATCCCCAAAATCGGGGCTACCACATTCATTTCGAGTTGTTTCCAAGTTTCAACAGCTGTGCCATGAGTCGGGTCCATGCGTTAAATCTCCCAACAGCCGGATGTCAGCGCCCAAACTTGGCCATGGCGCTGCAGCAGGAGAAGGACATCCTTTCGCAGGTTGGCGCATTTCCTCAGCCCACTGAAACCAGAAATGGTGAGATGACCAATGGATATCCTCATCATCGACCTATTCATAGGGCAATTCCCAGCCTGCGCAATGTCTACCAGAGTAACATCTTATTCTGTGAAATAGTGTGGTTTCAACCACCACTCAATAGCCTGGATATAGCCTGGAAATATGGTGGATACCATCATGCGATGCTGAGGTTCTACCTCCAACAACGATCAAAGCGCCAGAAAAATACCTGCGAAAGTTGGAAATTCCAGAAATGGTCTGGACCCCCAAACTCTTTGGGATTGTACCAACCCATAGGATTCCTGGTTCAGTGACTCAGAATCCCAGTGCAATCTTCAAGCCACTTGGTGTATGGCAATTAACATCAAATAACCTACTTTCCATGGGATGTTTACAAGTTTACCCCAAGAATGGATGGATTATGAACCACTGTAAGGATTTCGTCACTATACCCCACTGGCTGCACCCCTCTATGAATCCCCAAGCAAAAATAGTAGAGAAAAGAGATCTACGATACCCTTAGAATACAAAAAACATGAAATATTAGTAGAGGTTTTTCCCCCCGCATTAACTCAATTTATGGGGATGATTTGATCCATCGATTTATTTGCCATCCCGACGTTTCACAAACAATGTGTCGTCCCTTCATACTGGTGTGCTGATAGGATATCCCATAATGGATGATGATAATCCCCAATATATCAGGTGTATAGCCCATATAATCATCAACACCATATTGATTGGACCAATTAGACTCACTATATATGTGTTATTGATGGTCATTTCATTGTATGAATATATATATATATATTATATACTGGGCCATATATATATATATATATATGTGTGTGTGTTATTGATGTTTGTTCATGATATATGGGTCATTGATGCTTTTTCTATATCCCCATTACTAAACCAACATAGATGTGGAAAATGGCTCATTTATAGATAAATTAGCTATTCACATCGATGATTTTCAACATCTATGTTACCCCAGGGTTTCTTTGGAGGTTTCCTAAAAAACGTGACTAGCTAATCAACCCTCAAGCGAGCTCGGGGATCCCCCATGACTATGGAAAGCCCCATGAATCTCATCTGGTTGGTGGTTTTTCGCCCTACCCCTCTGAAAAATGATGGACTTGGTCAGTTGGGATGATTTTCCATGACCCCAATATGATGGGAAAATGGGAAAAATAATCCATTCATGTTCCAAACCACCAACCAGTCATCATGTCTCCATGTTTCACGCAACATGCCGCCGAGCTGCATGGCAATCTTGGACAAGGCATCCACTGCAGCGGCCCGGACCAAGGCGTTCTCCAGAATGAGTCCTGGGTTCGGAGGTCAGTTGCAGGTTTTTTCAGCTTCAGGATGCTTCAGGTACCACTGAACTATAGATGTATCTACCATTAATCGTAGTTAACTATAGATAATTCTAGACATCTATCTACCAGAAACCGTTTTCAACTGTAGATGATTATAACATATTATAACAATAATATGTATTATATATGAATATATCATAATACGAAGTTAATCTAGTCATAAGTCAACTTAGCGATCTACATAGGGGGCTCACCTTGTAGATGCTACAACTTCACCAACCAGCCGCTGGGCGCAGCCCTGGATCTGTTGTAGATGAAACGAATGTACTTGGCAGGATGCGATGTGCCCGGCACCTGTGCTGCAAGCCGTCACCCGAAGTCCACTCTGAATACACGAAGAATGGGAAGTTTACCAACCAGAAAATTGGGGTTTACCCAACAAAAAATTGCGTTTGCCAACAAAAAATTGGGGTTTACCCAACAAAAAAAGGCATGTTCAACGTGCGAAAGATGGAACTCCAGCAAAAAACGGCCGCCTCCTCACCCAGAAATCCCAAGATGCGCGTGCAGAGGTTGGGATACTCACAGTCCTGGCGATTTTTTCGGTCAGGTTTGGTTTCTGAAATGGAAATCCACCATTTTTCATAGATAAACCAATGGAAATCTACCATTTTTGGGATACTCTATTACTTTGAATAGTCTGGTGAGTCAAAAATCTTGTTTTTGCCAAACGTTCCTAAAACGAAAAAGATGATGAAATCCACTGAAAAAGTTGTAATTTCACGCCACGTCAGGTGGGTTTCCTTTCAAAAAACACCAGTTGTGAGGAATACAAAGCCCCAGCGAAAAAGCTGGGAAGTCACCTGCTGCTGGAAAGTCACTTAAATGACACTTAAATGTATGGTCATTTTCTCAACAAAAGGGTGAATCTCCCTCCAGATGTCCGACTTAGAGACTTAAAATATCATAAATCTCCTTTCTCTTTGCACTTTATAATTCATATCATTTCATATTCCACTTTAAGTTGGTTCGGCCATTCTACGGACCATCTTCTGTCACCAAAAGCCATTGTTCGGCTGAAATCCCACCTCAATGAACTCGCAAAGGTGAAGCAAACCCACCTCTCTGGCTGCTGGCACCTGACAGTGAAATGATGAAATGATGAACAGCGGTAGACATCACCAGGGTTCACTATGCTTCACCATGTTCCAGTGCTATGTTCGGACATGTTTAGGGCAATTTCAGGGCTTGTTCTTCATATGTGAAGTTGACTCACGCCCGTTATTGTTGCATCATTCATATGATTTGTACTCCTCTGAGATTCTCAACTGGCAGTGGAGAAATTCCCCCATGAGTTCCTTGGTGATTTACGAAGCACTTCAGTATCGATGCACCACAGGCAAAACAACATCTATACAGGTATTGAAATGATTCTGCACATGGTACTTATCACATCATGTGGTAAAGCCAATCATAAACCCAACAATATTATAGTAGGGGTGGTTTATTGTTGGCTTTACCACATATATATATATGCTATACATAGTTCGGTATATTTGTACAATACTAACTATCTATATATATATGTGCATATATAAACACCATATAGTTGGTTTATTGTTGGCTTTTCCATATAATATTGATTTCTACACAGTTCGGTTGTTTCTTCTAACTGCCGTGATTTTCGCAAAAACATGACTTTCTGCCTGGGAGATGATCAAGATCAAGGCATCCACCAGGTCCTGCCGCAGCTTGGATTTGAAAAAAAGGCGCCAAAAACAACTGCAGGGCTTCGGGTTCGGATTTTACCAAGTTCTTAACCATATTCACCATAGAAAAACCATGTTGGTGTCCCATGGTGTCCTTTCTTCCTTTGTGATTTTCCCAAGGTTTCTATGGTGACTCCAATTTTGGATACACCTCACTGGATCCGCATCGGAACAGAATGGCACAGATCGAAGAAAAATGATGTGTTTTTTTAATCAAAATACTCATAAAAAGCACATAAAATATGCAATTTTAATATGCTTATAAAAGCAATGATAAAGCAATGATAAAGCAATGATAAAGCAATGATAAAGCAATGATAAAGCAATGATAAAGCAATGATAAAGCAATGATAGTAATCATAATAATAATCATAATAGTAACTTGAATACACCCAAAAATGGAAATGATTCCGATTCGGCCCTCCCTGATCTTTTCCCGAAAGAGGGTCCGGTCCTTTTTGATCTCAGCGGTGCCATCTTCACGCAGGTTGGACGACAGGAAGGACATCAGCACCTGGAGCCGCAGGTTGGAGCGGCTCAGGTAGAAAAGCTGTGGTTTAGCCGTTTAGAAGATTAAGGGATATATCACTGGATTGGTTTAAGGGAAAATCTACAGGAAACCATGGTTTTTACCATCAAATATAGGGCTTTCCTGTAAATTTTCCCATAATCCAATTCTATGAATATAAACTAGATATAACCTATGGTTTAGTTATAACATATTATGGTAATATACCTGGTAATATTACGTAATATTGGTTTCATGATTAACCATGGGTTTCAATACTAACATCGTCGAATGACTTAGGTGATTTGGGGTAGCCCGATTTTAGGAAACCTCCATTATGTCTATAGTATGTCTTGTTAGATCGTGCTTGATATTATATAGCACATTTATAAATATGTATATATATATATCATAAGTATATATATATGTATACATACATACTGAAACATGATATAACCTCAGCAGGAAATCATCCACGGGGTGTCAGCAGAATGATAAAATATGGTGGTACCAACCACAACGGCAATCTTCCAGTAGATATCCAAAAATGGGAATTTTGCTTTTTTTTTGGTAGATTCCTTGATTTTTGCGGTCAAAAACTTCAGACATGTCCGTGCCTGTCCAACCCCCCGAGGCATCATCGCCTTGTACTTCCCAGGATATAACAAGCAGAGGCCCTTGACAGCCCTCACCACCTGTGGGAGAGCACTGCTAACTGGAAGATCAACGGTTTCTTTCTGTCTATCGAAGAATGCGCTTACGGTCTTAGGTTTTTGACCCAGTTTTCACCCATTGATGTTTATTGATGGACATCAGTGAACATCAATAAACATTCACAATGGCTAAGTGTTCATTCAAATCTGGTGTTTATTGATGTTTATTGGTGTTTGTTGATGTTTCGCCAGTGTGGATAAATCGGATATCAGTGATGTTCAGCCAGACTTCAGGCCTCCACTTTGAAGACTTCCGTGATGTCCTCAGCAGTGAACACCATCTCCAACACTTAGCACATGTACACGCTGTGGGTAAAACAATGCCATAGACCACCCATTTGGAAATGGTAACCATACCACCTATAAAGATGGTGATTTGGGTATTCAAACATTCATTCTGCAGGGCTTAGATACTTTCGACATATACTCAAATGACTGGTCCACCCACTGACCCACAAGTTTATTGTGTCACGTTGAGGTTGGGAAATGTCCCATGAACTAGGTAGGATACTGATTCTAAACACATCACCAAAAGATCTGCTGGTGTCGTTATTTTGTGATTCTGGTTTGGGGATGGTTGGATGTTCAAATGGGACAGCGCACCACCACTGTGTCACTAATTGCGGGTTCATCTCAAAAAATGTTCCATCACCGGACATCACCGCAGATCCAACGACACGTGACCGACATGAAGGAAGAGATTTGCTTCACCAATCTCTCCACATTCGACTCATGACCTGTGGCACAAGGATTTCCCCCAAAATCCCAAAATGGCGCGTTGCGAAGCGTTCGGAGCCGCGTTCGGACCAAAAAGCATAGCTGGGATATGTTGGATCTGTCATCATGGTTCACTTTTGGTTCATACACAGGTGCCTCTATTTTTTGTATGGGTGATAGCAATTTATATCCACCGCTATGAACCGCTCATTATTCATGCTCATTGGCTGTACCACCACTGTTGATGGATCAAGCCAAGACTATATGTAGCCTATATAATGCATTGCAACTGGTCTAGTGTGGTGTTGGAACCTAGATCACTTTTTCCGGCTTGTATAGATATGAGAATACCCGCACCACTGGCTTATAATGTGGTAAATCCAATAAAAGACGTGAAGTCGGAGATGGTTCTCATCCCATTGATGGTAAGACATTCGTGACCGTTCATGGTATATCATGTATGTGTATATATATATATATATTACAGTTATATAATATCAAAATACAATATACAATCTACAGTTATATATGTGTAGATATATCCCATATATCAACCTAAGCCACATGTTCATAGCTCATATGTCTTATTCAGAGATACCCATTGCCGCCATCCCTCGAACTTCGCCTGTCTTCAGCAGCGTGGTGAGCGCCAACGTGGCGGTGTTGCGGTTCTGGTCCGACAGCAACGGCTCCATGTCGCAGTTGCACCTTGGGGATGACATCTATGGTGATTTCCCCAAGAAGAAACTGCTGATTCCAGTGGTGAAATCTACCAGTAATTACTGTTTATCCCCACAAGTTATCACCAAACATGGCTGGTTAGTGGTGACATCACCAAACATGGCTGGAAAATCCGCCATATTTACGGCGATGCTGTCCATGGATGATGATGAAAATCATGCTGTAATTGTGAAATCCCAAAGAAATTCCAAAAAAAAAAACTGAAAATCCTATTCCTTGAAAATCTCCCAGAAAATCCCATTGGAATATTCCCTCATCGAAAAATGCTGAGCTTGCACAGTGTCATCGTCACCCACTCCGCAGCGCACCTCGATGCAGTCTGCGGCCTGGTCTGTGCCAACCTCATCGGATCTGAAGCGGTCCCACATATTGTTTTATGGTAGATATATCATAAGAATTCATAAGATATGTCTGGTAAAACCCATTAGTTATCATAATATATCGAACATTATCGAACTAGATATCTAAATATAGTATTCATGGGCTTTATAAAGCAACAAACATAACTATCATAACTAGGCCCACATTGTGAATGGCTATCCTCATATCATTCTATGTGTTTTGTGAATCCATCGGCAAAAGATGCCACGGATGTAGCCACGGCACGTGTTGAGGGTGCGGATGGCACCAAAACGCACCACCGGTTTGGGGGACGTCAAGAAGATTTGCAGGATGGTAGTGGCGTGGGTCATGTCGTAGCCTCAAAGATCTGTGGAGATAGTGTGGTGAAAATTGTTTTTATCTTTATCTTATGGGGATAGATACATACATATATATATATATGGATATATATCATATATCATATGGAGATAAATATGCTGTGCAATATTTTATATGATAATATGTCACCAACATTTTGATCTTTGGGTGTGATCGAAATGGGATATACAGTATATGTATATATACCTCAAAATGACCATGTTGAGAGGGAAAATGATGTGAATGTCGATGATGATTGTCATGACCATCAATACCAAGTAGGAGAACCACAAACTGAAGCATCATTTCTGTTCATGTCTTGAGCTACATCGCTGCCTTTGCTGCATCCCCCATGAAATGGTGAGTACTCTCTTCCGCCTCCAAAATTCTGGTGAAATCAGCATCATGCGTGCTGAAACCCCTTTTGGATGCTTCAATTCCGACATCGAAAACTGTCACCTTCGGTTCTGTTGCTTCTATCCCTATCTTGCTTTAAACCGGGTCGGAATGGGGCTGAAAATGATGATCATTCTGCGGTCAGGCTATGACCATTGACAGTTTCTCCATTTCTCCAAGTTGCCCAGCACAGTATGACCACTGGCGCCCTCAGTATCCAGAGCTGCCAGCTGGCAAAACGCCCGCGCTGCCTGGCCGATGGTTCAATGCTTCAATGCTTCAATGGTTCAACCCGAAAAATGCGAGTTTCGGCATCAAAATCGGCAAAAAAAGATGAAGAAAGGCCTCGTACGTGACCATTTCACTCTTGTGACGGAGGCAACTGTCCTCAGTTGCTGGGGCAAATGCAACAATAATTGGGAATCAACAACAATACTGGGGGGGGTTGTGACGTAACCAGTAAGAATACCTTCAGCACGTGCGCTACGCCCCACAGGTACTTCACTATATACACTTTCATAGGTTTTTCAGGGTTTCTTTTGGGTTCATTTAGGGTTAATTGAGGTTTTATCTGAGTTGTTCTGGGTTTTTCAAGGGTTTATGTCAAAAGTGACGAAAACCAGCTTTGGGGGACAGCAGATTCACTGCAGAGGGTCATCAACGCCAGAGCCATCTAGTTATTAGATACTCAAATGCTAGAAAGACACAAAGTACTGTAAGGGTCACCAAAAATGAGGAGGGTTCTGACAATAATCGTCCCGAAAGACTTTGGGGCATAGCACAAGTGCTGGCCATAAGAATAGTAGTGATGGAAGTAGATATGATATATAACATTATAAAACTATTTTGGGACCTTTTCATACCTTGTCCATCTCCCGAACATCATCCCCTTCAGCATCACTTGCTGCCATGGAACCAGGTAGGACATCAGGGTCCTCTCCACCGTGGCATCACGCTCCGACATCAACGTCTGTGTGGCGTATCCTCAGTAGCTTGGGGCGGCCCAACCCAAGCGGTGCGATGCGGTGCGTATCGGAGAATCCCAGGGACTGGGTTACTGGATGATGCCGAAAAAAACCTGGTTATTACTGGGTTATTACTGGGTTATTACTGGATGATAACTAACTCAACTATCCAAGTGGTCCAAGCCATCCAAGTGGTCCATTTGGTCCAAGGGACTCACCAAGAGGCACTCGGCCATGGGACTTTTGAGGCTGTTCCTGGCCATGGAGGTCACAACTTTGTGCAGCGCCAGGCGATCGCCTTTCTTCAACTCGTACAGCAGCGCCAGCGCATGAAACTGCACCTGACGCAGCTGGGAAAACGGCAGCCGTCAACGTCACCGGGAAGTGCTTATGACGAAGACAAAGGGGTGAGCCCAAGAATTGAATCCCTCACTGACTGGGAAATCCGGCCATGCTATGCTTGGAGTTCACCGTCTCCTGCATCAGGGTCGTTCACCGACATCGATTGACTGAAAGTCATTCAACTGCCAGGACTGGAGGCTTTCTAGAACACATCAAAATGTTTTTCCTGAAAGTCATTCAACTATACTAACCACCAGGACTGGCAAACATCAAAATGCTGATGACTTGGAGATGGTTATATAATATATATCATAATATATATCATAATATATATCATAATATATATCATAATATATATATACATCATAATGTTATATAATTGGCTTTACCACATGAGCACATGATCCATCTGTAAGCCCCATCTCCTGGATCTCATTGACCCAGCGCTTCACGACATCCGGCACAGTGGCGTGCCTCCGAAACATCGGCAGCAGAAATCGGGTGAGATTTGCCATCGATGGATACATATGATCTATTTGAATCTATTTGATGGATATATTTGATATACTTTTGATAGATATATTGTAACGAAAATCCTCACAGAAATTGGAGATATAATATTGATTATATATATATATATATATATATATATACATATATATATATATGTGTGTATGGTTAGCATCAGAAACCGAACTCTGAATGTGATATCTTGGGCGAAAAACTCACTGAAACATAGTTGCCAGGCTAAAAGCTCATCTTATGGAGGTTATTACATGTTATTACCCTAGTTATACCGTTATAGCAAATATATCTCATAACCCCAACTGCATTCCCAAGTAGGTCCACAATCATGTACTGTACATCCTGCCCACTGCGGCCCCAGTGGCAAGGTCATTCCACAGACCAACGCCGATGACGACACGAAGGGGTTCTTGTCGACCTTGCAGCGACGCAATGCTGTGCCAATATGACAAGGATCTCACGAGGATATGATCATTGAAAAAAAAAACAAATTATAATAGAATCATACACTTCGATAAATCCCCAACTTTCATATTCTAACTGCTGGTCCCAGCTAGTAATATCATGAAAATAAAGTAGACTAACCAGCTAGATTTACAATAGATTTCATCAGCCCCTAACTTTGGGAGACGCAGCATGCTGGGTATTCCCTCGGGCAAATCATGGGTCGCATCCCCATGGTTCAGCCAAGGCTCAATTGCTGTCTTGAGGTATCTGTCGATTTGCGCAGCCATGGCCTTGGTGTGTTGTAAAATCTCCGAGAATAGAGCAGGGTAAACTGGGTAAACCATGTCATTTCTGATTTGGTGACGATTTCAATTAGCCATTTAGAAGTATGTCAAATCTGAAAAAATCCATTTGGTGATCATTTCAATCCCATTTAAAATAAGTATCAAGTGGTCAATTTGCCAGAGAATCTCAATCAAAATGAAGCAATTTCTTCATTGCTTCCCCCTGAACTCCACCAAGTGGCTGGATCCAAAACGCGGCTAAGAACCCGGATGGAGTTGGCTCGGAAGCAATCGTTCTTGCCTCGGCTCCAGGATCGGAATCCCATGATATCCTGTTACCCTCTGGTTATGTCAAACATAGCCATTGAAAATGGCCATAGAAATAGTGAGTTTTCCCATGAAAAGCATGGTGATTTTCCATAGTTATGTTAAATTACCAGAGGGTAGATCTGTATCAAACTTTCCCAAATCGATGTTTGAGGAAGGTTCACCTGGATCCTTGAAGCAGAATATCACCAATTCTCCCCTGGCAATTGCCAAACATCACCTTTCAGGGGTCTCAAAATCTGGAAGAGGCTGAGGGCTACAGTCATCAACAAGAGCATGGCAATTGGATATCATTCTTTTCCTCTTCCCCAGACATGGTGGGATTTCTGGAAAGGTTGGTCCACCCCTTGCAACTCCGGCCCGCATTTTAACGCCCCAGCGGCTATTCATGTCTTTGATGAGGCAAGACATGCAAATGAAGACCTTCCCACAGGGCGATGATTGAAGATGGAATCATTCGGAGGACCGGAAGGCATGGAAAAAATCGACCTAGATTGACCTCAGGCACATCCGCCAGACCACTCCTCATTTGGAGTTTCCATGCCGGTGATCGGATGGAAAGACTGGACCATATAGATTTAAAATGATTTAAGTATTACAGCCGGTGATAACGTTGACTTACCTATGAAGGTTTCCTTTCATTTAGGGCTACCCCCAGTTTTCATCCATTTTAGATTGGGTGTTTTTTAATGAAATGAACCAACCATAAATTTTGGGGGTATCCCCAACTCGCAGCAACTCGCATCACCGCCTCCGTTTCCGAAGGCTCCAGTTCCTTGATCACAAGGTACACCATTCTTCTCAGCCGTGTGCATTGAGCCTACGCGTTTCACGCTTATCTTTTTGCAGAAATCAATGGGATCAATCCCTAGAGCAACTTCAAAAACGATCAAAAAAGTCATACAAAAGTCAATTCTGTCACTATCTTAGTTGGATTTTACTCTTCAATCGGGAGAAAACCCAACGGAACATCAACATGGCGACCGTCGATTTTTGCACCTGAAAGAGTTTGGTCACTCCAAAAAAGAGATTCGTCAGCTCCTGAAACAGCGATCCCATGGCCCGGAGGGTCTTCACCCAGTGAACCTGGTCAGTCTCCCAACCGTTGCCCCAAAATTCCTCAACCAACTGGCGAATTCCAAGGGAATTAGAAAAGGCGAATTCCGATTGGATGGCCGACACTCCGAGCTCTCAGATGCCATTTTTGCCCCACCTGGATCTAACTTTACTGCTGAATTGCCAAGTGGGAAGTCCATCCAGCTCCAAAAATCTAGATATAGCATGATCACATAGATATAGAATGATATAGAATGATATAAAATGATATAGATATGGATTAAATAGACTAAATAGATATGATAAAAGATATGGATGGTCATGGGCATGAGATATCATTGATATCATTATCCATTGCTAAGCTCAGACGCTCTCCTGCGCTGTGAACTTTTCGCCTTGCCTTAGTCGTAGTCGTCAGATGGATCCAGTGAGGCCGGGTTGGATCCCGCTTGGGTTTTACTTTGACCAAGCGGCTGTATCAAGTAGATGATCCGCGTCAGCAAGTTCAGGCACCTCGGAACGAGGAAAATTGGAACGAACGATGAAAAATGATAAAATAGGCAGCCTGATATCTCCACATATTGATGGCGTCTGGCTACATCTTGGTGCGTATTCGTATGCTTATGGCCTATGTATATATACATAAATATATATATATACATAATATGTATATATATATGTATATACATATACATATATATATATATATATACGCAAATATACACAAATAATATGTACATACAAGATGATAGAAAGAGCGAGATCAGTCCATCGGAGTGCCCAAAAATCAAAAAACCATCGCATCGCCACCGAGCCCGGCGGCTTCACCGAATCGATGGGCGCATCGCTGAAGCACCGGGACTCTTGGAGAACCGACGCCTTGTCCTCGCCCAAAAGGCCACAAAAAGATACAAAAAGAGCCATGGCATCCATGTAATATGGATATCATACCATATAATATCATATAATATCATACAATATCATATAATGTATGATATGTTCTTAAATGATATGGCCATCCTAGTTAAAAATGGTTGATATGTTATTAAATGACACAATCTTTTGAATGGTTAATAAATTCGTGCAAGGGTGCTTGATTACTATACCAAATCTTTTTTGGATGGTTGCTGTACAGTTCTGGCCCGAAATACCAGTTATACGTCAGTAAGTCACCCCATTTGTGGAATGATAAGCCAATTTATGACCATACAAATATATATATATATAAATCACTGGTAAATGGCTTTGACTGTAGTTAAATGACTCAATCTTTGGATGGTTTTCCAGCTTGAAACTCTGGTGACGGAATCCTGCGTGCTCCAGGGGTTGGTGAACTCCCGTTCATCCATCTTCAAGTTCTCCTGCGAGGTGTTTCCATAGGAACCAAGCTGAGAATTGGATCATGATAAATCTATGCACACTATGTAAAACTATGCATATCTATTTATCTACATTGGTATATATATATACTCAATATCATATAATATCATATAATATCATATAATATCATATAACATCATATAACATCATATAATATCATATAATACCATATAATACCATATAATATCATATAATATGATATAACATCATATAATACCATATAATATCATATAATATCATATAATATCATATAATATCATATAATATCATATGATACCATATAATGTCATATTATACCATATTATATCATATGATATCATATAATACCATATCATGTCATATGATATCATATTAATACCATATAATATCATATTAATATCATAAAATATATAATATCATACAATATCATATAATATTATATAATACTATTATATAATAGTCTATAATATTATATATAATATTGTATTTCATATATACGTATAATATTTTATGCATACACAGGAAAGGCCAGCATTCGTAGGGGTCGGGGATTTACCATTTTCCAGGTTTGCCTACTGGACGGTATCTAACGGCAATATACAGCAATACTGTATAATTACCAATGAACCGCCACAGTTGTCAATGTTGGGATTAAACATGGTTAAACAAATTGTCATTTTCCTGTAGGTTTAAAAATTGACCCATACTCGTTTCTTGGACGCATACTGTTCGAACAATTCACATAGACATTGTCCTTGGATTTCCCCATTGGCTTCCATATCATTCTACTAATTTACTGGGTACCCACATCCCTAACTCACCACTATGACATAATGTTAACTACAAAAAGTTACAGTATAACAGTATACATGGTAACTACTGTTTTAGTAAATCTTTACTACTATGACATTTTTCTTAGTGGTTACAGTAACAGTAACATTAGTTTACTACTAAAATTACAGTAGCCATGTTTGACCAGTCCAATCTCCCATTGGTCCCACCAGTTTCTCCATCAGTTTTCCGCACCTTCAAAGCCGTCGCGATCTTTTCTTTGATCGTATCCTGCCCCGCCAGAGATACCGGAGATGGCAAGGCCCCCCGATGATATTTTGTTGCGTGAAAAGCTTGATGACTTGACACCTACAAAAGGATGTGCATCCCACTGAGCTGTAAAGTAGCTAATAACAATATATGTAAAATACATCTGTAGAAAATAGCTGTATGAATAGTTTTTTGCATGTTTTTACTCGGTATGTATCCCATGAACCGCTCTTGATATCCAACGCCCGACAGCACACAGCACAACTTCCACGCCCGACAGCGCACCCTAAGCGACTGTGCCGCCATGGTTGCGAGGTGGCCCCTTAGTCCAAGTGAACAGTCCGCGACATGAAGAGTGAAGCTGTCGTCCCCAATAGGTTGTTCACGATAATCTCATTTGTGTAACTAATAAGTGTATAATAGTTGTTTTGCAAGTTATATTACATACATCATATCTATATAATATATATATATGATCATATCCCCAGTTTTGAAATGCTTGAAGGTTCCCATCTCGGAATACAAGCAATTGCATATCGTATAATACCATATCATGATGCAATCATCCTCAAGTGGCAACGAAAATGCAACTAGTCCAGGCAATGTCTCGGTGGCAATGGCTATATCTCCAGTGAGAATGCCAATGTGGGCCACAATGATGGTGGGGTAAAATTACATGGATCCGCAATGTTACGACAACCACATGAGAATATGTTTCTCTTTTGTCACAACTTGTATGTGCATCCAAAGTTGCTAAGACGCTAAGAAAAAAAACACATATGTCACATAAATATCCCATTTGTAATACCACCTAGGATGCACATCCAACTAGGCAAAATGCTCATGGAATTCTGCGCTTCCATCGTTTGGGGGACCAGTATCACTACGATGTCCGCTAGGAGGGAGTCACTGCGGCATGGCTTCGCAGCCGACATTTCTCATGAAATGTTGGGATTGATTTTGGGACCCACAATGGTTATAATGATTTATATGGGGGATGGGTCAAAACCTTGCACCCCTGTAGTTCACATCAAAATAGCTGGGATTTATGGCTGTTCATCCCCCTAAAAATGGTATTTATAGGTATTGATCCATAGCCATATTACTCATTCCGTGAAGTGTTCATTGTTGCATCCACTGGTTTCGGCGGTTCCATCGCCATTTAATTCCAGAGTAATGACCTAAAATCATCCCATGCTTCGTTGCGCCAATCTCATCCATAATTGACATTTGGAGGTGTCCAATCCATGTACCCCCAAATCATCCATTTTAATGGGATGATCCAAAATCCAAATTGGGGGGTTCCTGTAACACTAAGTGACTTATACCTAAAAACACCCCTGACGGTTGAGGCCCCAACCGCCGGGCAGGCCGGCGATCAGCCCCGTTGGAAACCCCGCAGCCCCGGCGGACCGGCTGAGGCGCACCAATTTTTCGGCGGGCGATGTGTCAGTGGAAAACCACCAAATATCATGAGATACCCTCTGGTAATTTAACATAGCTATGGAAAATCATCATATTTAATGGGTAAATCCACATAAATCCACTATGAATGGCCATTTTCAATAGCTATGTTAGTTTACCAGAGGGTAATCTGATATGAAGAATGGGTATAATTTGAGATAATCTAATATGAATCAATGGGGATATGATCAGTTAGAGATTGTGTTGGCAAATGAATAATATACAATGAGATCATATGAGATATGACTCCAATATGAATTGATATACTGTCAGTGCCATAATTATAGAACGGGGAAAATTAATTATAGAACGGATCCGAATCCGCGCGGAATCGGGATCCGGAGGAGTACGAAGGTACGGTATTTTACCGTACTTTTGTACTCCTGGCTCCGTTCTATAATTCTGGCACTGACTGTAAGCAAGAATGTGTACAATACCAGCTATGAGTCAATCTTATGAACCACCAAGAATGGATGGGTTATGACTGGGACCGGCCAATGTTGCAGTTTCGACCCCCATGGCCCCATGGTTGAAGGATGTTTGAGGTCAATTCTCTGTCAATCATCGCAGTTCCCAACATCTGTTGGGCAAATCCCCTCACCCATTTCCCTTCGTTGAAATCCACATAGATCCATGGATTTTCATGGTTTTGGAGCTGAAATCCATCATTTTTGGCAAGCCATCCATCTCCCAACACCCCTCCCAAGCTGTACCCTAAAAACGGCCTGCGCCCAGTTGCGACTCAAATCGCCCAGGCGATTCACCTCCAAATCCTTCAGCAACAGCACTGACCTGGCTCTGCAGAAAATGTGGTTGAAACATCCAAACTTTTTTCTGCAGATGTTTCATGTGGTTGATCTTACAGAAAATGTGGTTGATCTTACAGAAAACTTGGAGATGTCTCAAAAAAGTCATGTAAGAAAAGGCTTAAAAATCGCAAACTTCAAAAAAGTTTGCGAAATTCTCCGTTCAGTATTCTGGAAGAGCAATAGAAATTCGACAAAATTGATGGAATTTGGAGGAATAGTGAAGACTTGGCGGAAGTTGCACATCTTTTTGGAGGAATAGGAATCTTTCAACAAAGGCTGTTGCCCCCCCCAGTTTTTCTTTGGTTTGCTAATCCATCTAACCAATTATAGATAATATATCCACCCTGAACCAGTGATTCCAAATCATAGCCCCAAAAAAAACGGCAGCCAACATCCTTCGCCCTAGGCAAGGGGCGCACCTCTGGTTGTTCTCTGCTGCTCTGTTTCCATGAAAAAAGACTTGCGCCTGTGTGGTGGCGGCCATGATGTCAACTCGGACTTCTTATCAAGCCTTGAAAATACCGGCGATTTTTTGTTTCTGGTATATCATCATAATAATCAATAATAATCATATCTCTCAAGTATACTAAAGTTCGTGGCTTTTCAAGTATGTCATTAAGAAAGCTCATCATTTTTCAGGACCCAGCAATCAATCACCAGTTTTTTTCCATGGTCCAGCTCCACACCTCTGGCAACAAAAAGGAATGCACGCCGTACAAGGAACCTGGGAGGTAAGACGGTGATCCAGAATCAGCTCCCCCCAGTCGATGGCTGAAAATTGATCCATTTTCACCTCCATCAGTGGGTTCATCCAAGGTCCCACTTCTGGTTTGGTTAATGTCGCAGTGTTCAGAATGTGTTTACCCAATCATAACCCACTGATACTTGGTGTTTATCGTATTTATTGCCCATTCATAAATGGCTATTGGTCAAAACCCTATCCCCCTAGTGAACATCAAAATAGCTGGGATTCATGGATGTTCATCCCCCTAAAAATGGTATCTATAGGTTTTGACCCATCCCCAAACGGTAAGAAACCACGGGTTTCACTGAGCCAAGAGACTGTAAGCCAGCTTAGCATTGCCAAAGATCAATTCCATGACTGGCATTCCCTCTGGCCCTGGATCGAAGCCACACAGTGGAGGATCAACAAAAAGGGATGTTTCTCAGCCAAAATGGGGATTTTACATATACATATAATATATATATATGGAATATAACATAATTCAATACCTATGATTGAACATGATTTGACATCATTTAATATGATTTAACATGACTTAACAAGAGTTCTGAGAAATGGTGGTTGTGTTTCAAAGATTGGGTACGGGACCCAAATCATAAACCCACCATCAAACTGCAAATAGGGAGTGATCAACCCAAAAAATCGGGTTGGGCATTGAGAGATAAACCTATTGGGAAACGATCTACAGTGGAGAACCAATCTCGAAAGGAATCTATTGAAGTCTCGATTGGAGTCGGACGGACTTACCTGCCAGTTCCGGCAGGTTCACGATGAGACCATCAACACGGTGCCTAGTGGAAGTCGCAGTAGGGGTACATCCACCATCCAAGTCGTTTGCCTGGAAGTGGCAAGGGTCCATGACATAGGGTAAAGGCGTGAAGGTGCAATGCTACTTTCTCTATTCCAATGGAAATATGGCTTATATATAATTATATATATATATACATATATATATACATATACATATACATATATATATATATACACTTGTATAATCTGGTATATTTCCCCAACAAATTGGACACACAATGCTTGGTGAATTCTGCTACTTCAAGGCCAAGTAGAAAAAAAATCCCCAGCTCAATGGAGGAAGTTTTGTCCAGCCACGTGACCGGGATCCGAAGGCTATATCACTTATATCACTTATATCCCAAGATTTTCCACTGATCAAGGGATTTAAATACCATTTGGATATAAGTCACTGATACCATTTATATCACTTATATCCCATTTGGATAGTTTTTTTTCATCTAACCCAGTCACTAACCGACTAACCCAAAAAAAAACCATTGTAATGTGTTTTTCGCCGCTGAGGAAAAAAAATATCCCCATCAGAAACCCTCCCAAAACAAGAATATCCCATAGCTAGTCCATCAGCCACCCTGGAGTATTGAACACGGAGTCACAGAGTCACAGAGTTTGTTTTAGTGCCTCAATATCTAATGGTTTGTCAGCAGTTTCGCCATGGCAAACTGCCATTAGTTGGCTTTGTTCACCATCTTCAGACACACCTATAGTTTCATATTCTGAGTGATGTAAAAGTGATGTATCTGATTTGCAAGAAAAGAACAAGACAAAATATCCCCAATGAACCAAGCCCCCTAGGTCATCATTTCTATATATAATCATCAACCAGCCATCGTTTCTCAACTAGATCCCTGTATGTTTGATTCGTCAAAGCCTAGGAATGACAGATAGATAAATATATATATATACATACATACAGGATCAACTAAGGTCAACCGATGATGACTAACCATACTTTCTGATAAACCTATGGTTAACAATATTTGATAATGATGATTTTATCCCTTGCTAGCTAGAAACCATAGTCATCCATAATCTATCATCAGTTAGTTTATAAATCATCACATGATGTTTTAAATAGAGATTGCCTAAAATAGGGGTACCCCCAGTCATAATCCACTTGATTTTCGGATTTTCCATGAAATAGACCATCTAGCTATTGGGGTAGCCCCATTTTAGGAAGCCCAGCCGCCTGCTGGCACCCACCACGGACAGGCAAGCTGAGAGCTCGTCGGGGATGTTCCTTGGAACCGCCATGGGAAGATCTTCAGGATTTTGGGTGATTTTGTGGTGACACTAACAAGAATCCCATCACCCCACAAAAAAAAAAAATAAAGCATGGTCCCAATGGAATGTGGAAATTCCCAACAAAAAAGAAAACATCAGTTCGTTGGTGTTTTTTTTATTGAACGGGTGAAGGAATTCAGACTTAACCAATTTAAAAATGGAGATTTCACTCAAAAACAAAGATGTCGGCAACTAGAGCTGGGCTTTGACCAACATTAACCAACAAAAGGGCTGAAAAATGGGAAGAACCTCCAGTGAACATGGTGAAGGCGTGCTGAGTACCGGAGAGTGTACCCCCAAAACTTGGATCAAAGCCATGAACATCGGGGAAAATAACATAAATCACCAGCTAGAACAGCGTTCAACGTTGGATGTGCGAAATGATCAGCCACTGGGGAATTCTCAGCTGGGGATTCAGAGCGACTTCGACTGGGCTTCCACACTGATCTGGAAACCAGCTGCGAATGGCTTCCAGATAGGGATCGTTGTCGCGCAGCCCTGGAAAATGCCTGTGTCGTTGTCGACATCACAGATATGGCTGATGATCAAAGGTCCCCCCAAACTTGATTTCGGAAAAACATCCCCATGACCTGTTGATTGGCTATTGAACATTCCCCTTGAACAGGGGCTCCAGTCACAATTCCTCCATAAACAGTCATAAGCACAACTTTTTGGTGTGTCAAATGATCTTTCATCCCGCACTTACCAATTTGCTGAGCTCAGAATCAAATTATATACAATTCATGGTCAATAATCAATATGACTGAAAGCAAATGATTTTTCGCAAGATATTGAAAGCATATTGTCACAATACAAATCCCAACCTTTTTTCCTCCAGACTTACCTGTTTTTAATCCCCCAGGCATCTCCAAGATCTCCATCCCCGCCTGAGATAAAGCCACAAGCGCCGTAGGTCGACATTGAGCTTTGGGTTGCTGCTGATGCGCACCTGGACGATTTGTGATGGGATGACTCGGAGTTTTGGTGAGGGTCTCCGGTGACAGCCTAAGAACAGCATTTTTGAACAGGGGATAAGTGCTACAAATATGCAAATCATATACAAATCATTGCATGTTTGCCCAGACCGAGTATACTTTTGTGTCGGTTAACATACCAATGAGTCAAAGGCCAATTGAAAATACCCGAGACAAGTTGGGTGTGGCGCACAAATAGGATCAAATAGGATGCACAAAGGAACCAACTTTTTGTCATTGTTGGGACCTCTACATACGCAGGTATGTGAATTGATTTTGAGGCTGCCATGTGAGTCTTGTCTTCAACAGAACATTTTTTAATGGCAATTTTTAAACAGCAACGATAGCTGAACTGGGGACTCAACTGACAACAGATGAGATTTGACCAACATCAACGGGAGTCATCCTGAGATTTCACCGGCACCTGTCGTTTCATCTCACCAAAGTTGGTGGATTCGATGCGCATCCGTTCCCAGTGCAGAGCTGCAGCTCCTGGCGAGGGCTGTTGAGGCTTGAAGCCAGAAATTTTGATGTCAGTGATAGCATCTTTGGTGTGAAGTGTAGATGAATTATGATGAATTTGAATATCAAACACTGATGCTATTGATATATGAGAGGTGATATCGACACTTGAAGTCGCTGTTGTCCCAACATCCCAAGGCCCTGTGGCCTCTGAAGGCTTCATTATGACTTTGGCTGCCAAAATGCGATTCACTGAAGGTACCACAGCTGCTGCTCACCGACAGGAACCTGTCAGGGGACCCCAAAAAAAACCGTGGTATAGTGAGGTCACTAGGTCAACAATACTATCTATATTCAACGATTTATCTATCAATATCCAGAAGGTACATAAATAATATTTATGTCATATATATATAATTGATTATATATACATAATTGTATATTAGTATGCGTTTGACATTTATAAAATTCACGTCAAAAATGGGTAGGTCCTCTTTAACCAGTGTCCATTTTTGCCAATCCCCCTTCCGAAAAACCGAAACGCGGAAAGCCTGCAATCCAAATGACTGGAATACACAATTTCCAAGTCCGGCAGATCTCCTTCCAGGCTGGCCGTTTCTCCTGAGAGGTCCAAGCACGGTCAAGGCATAGAAATCATCATAGATTTTGAATGTAACTTAGTAGGGAAAAAAACAACTAGAGTATCCCCAAACAGGGATTTATAATGATTTATATAATATTTATATAGATCATTTTAGATCGGTTCCTAGTACTCCATCTAGAATTTCTAGATCAATCCAAGAATCCAAGCGGATTTCTCCAAGTTATCCCTGTCATGTGTCTGACCTGAGAACTGAACTCTCCAAATTATGGCCCCACTACCTTTCTTGCCACCTGAAACCTGGTCGTTGTTCTATTCCACTTTATCCCCACAGAATACTACTGCTGTGTTTTTGTTCGTTCCCCAAGTTTCAGTTGGACAATCCACGTCACTTAGTCTTTTGGATGCTGCCGTGGACTATGTCAATGTCCACGTCAGATATACCCATCATTGTTCATGAAATCCTCATTAACAAAATCCATGAATAATGAAATCCCATTCTTGTTGATTTAAATCCTGATGGATACCCCGAGCACCCCAAACGTAATAATTGTGCTTCTTGGAGCAAATTACAAATAAAGTTCATCTCGTTGAATAGTTATTATCTTTTGGGATGCTCCAGGTAGTTATTGTTGGTGAAACTAAATTCTAATTAACAGTGTATTAATTAACAGTGTATGAATTCTCAAGTGTACCTGACAACAGTGGGATTCTAAATTTCATATTCCCAGATCCAGGATTACTTCGTTAAATTCCCAATACAATCCATAAACTCAACTGCCTTCCAGCTCAGTGAAGTCCAGGACCGCCCGAAAACATGGCAGCTCCTGAGTCCCACAGATGCAGTGGAAACGAATACATGGCCATAGGTTTGTAGCGACCAAGAGGTTCTTTGACCACTTGATTTTTTTTAAGTTTTTGGAAACAGTGTGGAAACAATATATGTGTTTGATGTTTTTTTTCAATTTGGTAAATTGAAATTGTTACTCCTCAAAGTGACCAGTTGATCCTTTCGTAAAATAAGTACCTTTTGGCAATTTTCACCACTCTAATGGTCGATTTCCTTTGACGCCGCTCCAGTCATGAATGTCACTGACCCTGCCCATCCTGCAGTCCAAGGTGCAATTTTGTACACAGAGTCCAACAAGAATTCCCGCGCAGCACAGACCGGCGACTCCTGGAAAAAAACACTAGACTTTGAGCAAAAAGTGTATCCTCTGGTGAACTAACATAGCAATGGAAAATGGCTATTTATAGTGGATTTTCCCATTAAGAATGGTGGTTTTCCATTGCTATGTTAGTTCACCAGAGGGTATCCCAAAAGAAGATCCAGCAACAAATGGCTTAGGGCCAATGATTCGGGATGGTTTGGGCCAAAATGGTGAACCCGGATGCCTCTGCTCCAGCTTCTGCTTCGGGTTCATCCTCAACACCTCGAAAAAAAACCCGTGCCATGGAGGTTTTTTGCTGGGAAAAGCATCGAAGTAATGAGCGATTTTCCAGCACGCCAGGTTTGATGAACGGGTTGGGTATCAGAGTATGATCCGACTCTAGAAACTGTGCACAAGATTTTCTCGGACTGATCTGTCTTTGAAAAATGGTAATGGAAATTCTGTACTTCTGGAATTGGATAGGTTTCCAGTTTGGATCCCATTTGTGCTGGCTACTTCCCCACCTTTGCTGGTCAAAATCGCCATGGTCTGGTCACTCTCGTCCGCATTGTCGGTGTTTTCTGCATCAAGTCCCTCTGGTCAATCGGTGTTCATGTCTTGTTGCTCAAAAGCTACTTGTTTCTTTGCCTGTTGGATTTCCGTAGTTCAATCCTTGGTGATTCATCATGTGCTGGGGAAACTCCACTCCTCGCTAATGACTAGATAGATATCTACTTCATTCCTTTCTCGAGGAACATCAACGATGACTAAGGGAATATATCCTCATAGAATATCCCACAGAATATCCCCATAAACTGATAACCATAGCTCCGAATCGCTTCCCCCGAACCACTGGATGAGAGAACCCAAGCCCGCCATGCCTGTACCATCGAGGCTTAAGCATCTGAGCACCTGCGCCTCACGCATGTCACTGGGACGCGACACATAGGGGGCCTACAACCAGGGTATAAGCCACGACAACTGCGATATCAATCATTATTAATCTTCCAGAAATCTCAAGTGGCAACTAATAGAATCTCTATGTTCTACAAGTGCGAGATTTTACATGGGATCGTTGGAATGCTGGAGGGATTAGACATTGGCCAAAGCGTGAAATAGTGACCAACTTCCCCGGCCGTTTCACGGAGGCCTTCGTTATCTATCCATTTTGGGGACCACTTCAACCCGTAGACTTCATTGATTTCAGGCAAAAAAAATGGAAAATCAGGTTCACCACAATCTGATTGCTTTAAGTTTGAGACATCCTTAAGTTTTTGGGATCGGAGCTATCGAAACCCGGTCCACCTCTGGGATCTGCGGAGAGAGCTTGGGCAGAGTACTGCGGTGCAATTCCTCCTGGCACAGGGGCTGGATCAAAATCTATATTTACCAGCTGGTTATTTAACATAGCCATGGAAAATCACCATTTTTAATAGGTAAAATAAATGGGCCATTTTCCATGGCTATGTTAAATAACCGGAGGGTATATGAATAAGTTAAGTCCCTAGATCACCTAGATCCAATCTATTCGAATCTATTTCGGGCTTTCCCAGGATACCACGCCTTTGACCCATAGCCATTGCCAGTTGATAAGCCCAGTGCTGAAGGACTCTGAAAACACAGCGTTTCGGCACGTCCTCAAAGTATGGGGCCTCCTGAGCCAAAAAGGGGATGGGTCAACCTGGGGATCAGTTACGCAACTGGCTCATATGGGGGTGTCCATAAATGGGATTACCCCCAAAATGGATAGTTTATAAGGGGAAATCCATCTATAAATGGATGATTTGGAGGTACCCCTATTTTATGGAAACCCTCATATGATTCATGAGCCATGCTACTATAGTATGATATAGTATCTTAGTATGTCAACCTGTCCATTTCAGAATCAGTCAGTCTCTTCAAGTTGTCGTCTTGTGACTCGTCCTGCAGTATGTCACGGTCACCATGTAAGCCTTGTAAGCCTTGTAAGACCTTTGAGATGTCTGGCTGTGTGCTCGGCCACTAGCGCTGTCTGTCGCGCTGTCCATGATATACTAAACCGAAAACTGGAACTGAAATCAAAAGGCATGGTTCAAAACTGCCCGAAATCGCATGGGCGCAATAATGACGCGGCACCCAATGAAACTCAACCGCCCCAAAACTGCCAGGTCGCATCCAAACCAACATTTTGGTCTGAACATTTACGAGAAAACCCCTCAAAAAACCCTTGGTTTATCATCATGTTCCCTATTATTTCATAGCCTTTCACTGGGGTTTCATAAACCAGTTTCAGGAGACCTGCGATTGGGTCCCATCGGTCTCGATGCATGGCCTGGCAGGGTTGTATTTTGAAGATGAGATACTTCTATCTTTGAAAAAATGGGTTTCCCGTGCGATTGAAGTGTCAAAGTTTGGGCCCCCAAAACAGATGAGCATATGCATCATGTACACATATTATATACACATATTAGTACATATGCTGCTGCGTGGTTTTTGGCCGATGGTGACTCTCCAAGTCGACGCAGCGGTCAAGTTGTGATGTAAGGACCCCATGGTTTGGTACCCCATGGTGCATCAAGACATGGTGGATGTTACCATCCAAAAAAAATGCTCACGAAAATGGATGGTTAATCCAACTTAATCCATAAAAAATTGTGAAATCCATTGAACAAATCCCGAAAAAATGCAGCATTTCTTGAGCCATGTTTCTTCTCACCGGCGGTCCTGGGCTCCTCCCCTTCCTCACCTGGAGGTACTACACCGATGCTCGGGCGATTGGCAGAAGCGGCCGCTGCCGGTTCCTGGCTTCAAGACCGGAATGAAAACCCCTCCAATGGGAATGAAAACCAGCAAGAATTAGGGATTTTCATGGGATTTGAATGTACTCCAATGGGATCCAATTGGGTTTAATGATGGTTTCATTGATATGATTTTCGACGAAGCTGGCCCAGAAAATCCTAGTTACTAGTTGGGATGGAAAAAAAAAAAACATCTATACACATGGGTTTGTTTGAACAGTTAAACATATGATTTTCCAGCCGCAGCCTGAAGATTGCCAGGAGGTACAGCAGACTGGTGGTGATACACCGTCAAATATGACTCGCTTCACTTCAATATCTTTTGCCTTCAACTGTAAGAGTACATTCATACATAATATAAATATCAATAGATATGACGATGTATCATGGCAATCCCATCCGCTGGTTTTTCACAAAATTGCGAGAAAAGATTGGCGTCTTTAGATGTCGGTTTTCGTGTATCAATGTGTGTCCCAAGGTTTGAGTATAGAACTCGTCATCCAGGTGGGCGTTCTATGTCCAAGTCTTCCACATAGAATGACCTACCATGACCATCGTATGTCCAATGCGGCCATCGGCTTCCCTTCAACATCAAATCCAGCCAGGAAACCTCAAAAATAGGTTTCTATCTCATGAGCTATCTCTTTAAAAAATCGGGAGGTTACATCAAGATATCAGTGTTTTATCTCCCTTTCATCCAACAAAAAACACGTTTTTTTTACATCCAGGGGAGCGACCTCCTCCATTGCAGCAGGATGGGAATGGGGGCGGCTCCGTGCGTCCAGAAAGCATCTCCTGGCAGTTTTTCGAAGAAGCGGAAAGCCATGGATTTCATAGGCAGAAACATGGAAAACCATTGAATTTTCAGGGGAAAAAACCAAGAAATTCTGGGGGTAGAAGCTAACAGCTAACAAATGTCCCGTTTTTTAGCCGTAAACCAATTCTGGAAAAGGATTGGAAAAAATGGAAATTATCTTTGAACAAATGATGCTATGAAAACATGCAAACCTGGTACGAGTTAAAACTGGAAAAACAAATGGTACACAATCTCAACTCCCAGCAAAAACTGTGAAGATGACCGGAAAACATATGAAACACCAATAAATTTAAGCTGAAAAAATAGATAAATCAAAATAACTCAAACAACAAACAAAAATCAAGCCTCTTGAGGATGTTCATCTATTTTTGTTCCAGTTTGTTGATATTTCCATCCCCTCAACATTGAAATATATTAAACAACTTCATTGTATGGTCCCAATGTGTGATTTCATGCTCGATTGATCCACCATTGTTTCTGGGTTTTTTTCTGAAAATATGAAGGGGAAAGGAATTTGATCCCAATTAACCCCAAGTATATCCCAATCATCATTTAGTATTCGTTCCAATAAATCCCAATAAATGCACATCCCAATTAATCCCAAGAATCCCACAATAACATCCCAATTCATCACATAAAAATATCCCAATAACAATAAAGAAAAAAAAACATACGACAACTCAATTCATCCCAATCATCATTGAGTATTCATCCCGATTCATCCACCATGATTCTGGGGGAGATTCATCCTCAACGAAAATCTTCTGCCTCCTCGGCCAGGCGTCGCAGGCGTTGGCAGAAGCCCCACAGCAACTCCTCTTCCAACCTGCGGAGCTGCGCCGCGGCTGGAAAGATCCAAAGAAAGAAAGATAGATAGATAGATAGATATCATAAACTCATTGGATTAGATAGATCTAGTAGATTGCAACTGATTGGATTAGAGTAGATTTAATAATTAAATAGATTTGATTGGAGTGGATTGGATTGGATTAGATTAGAATGGATGGATGGATGGATACAAGCATTGCCATGTGTAAATCCGCCGACCCCGGCCTTCGCCAAGGCCGGGGCGGCGCCTGGGACCACCGGAGGTGTGGATCCTGTCTTTCTTGAACCCTTGCCACGCCCAACGCTGCAGGCAAAAGCCACCACACGGCCACAGCAATGGCTCAAGGGCACCCCCGGCCGCAGCAATGGCTTCTTATAGGCGTTCAAGGCTGCCGTTTGCCAGGCCTCAAACCCTCCAAGCCTTCCAACTCCTCCAAAAGTTTGCCCAACTCCGCAGGGAAACGGTACCCCAACAAGCCCAACACGCGCCACGCCCGCAGGCAAAAGCCACCACAAGGCCACAGCAATGGCTCAAGGGCACCCCCCGGCCGCAGCACTGGCTTCTTATAGGCGTTCAAGGCTGCCGTTTGCCAGGCCTCAAGCGCTCCAAACCCTCCAACAGTCCGCCCAGCTCCGCAGGGACAAGGTACCCCAACAAGCCCAACACGCGCCACTCCCGCACGCACAAGCCACCACAAGGCCACAGCAATGGCTGAAGGGCACCCCTCGGCCGCAGCAATGGCTTCTTATAGGCGTTCAAGGCTGCCGTTTGCCAGGCCTCAAACCCTCCAAACGCTCCAAAAGTCCGCCCAGCTCCGCAGGGAAAAGGTACCCCAACAAGCCCAACAGCGCCACTCCTTGCCACGCCCAACGCTGCAGGCAAAAGCCACCACAAGGCCACAGCAATGGCTCAAGAGCACCCCACGGCCGCAGCAATGGCTATAAGGGCCTCTTATAGGCGTTCAAGGCTGCCGTTTTAGGCCACAGCAATGGTGAAGGGCACCCCCCGGCCGCAGCAATGGCTAAGGGCCTCTTCTAGGCGTTCAAGGCTGCCGTTTGCCAGGCCTCAAGCACTCCAAACCCTCCAAACGTCCGCCCAGCTTCGCAGGGACAAGGTACCCCAACAAGCCCAACACGCGCCACTCCCGCACGCACAAGCCACCACAAGGCCACAGCAATGGCTGAAGGGCACCCCCCGGCCGCAGCAATGGCTTCTTATAGGCGTTCAAGGCTGCCGTTTGCCAGGCCTCAAACCCTCCAAACGCTCCAAAAGTCCGCCCAGCTCCGCAGGGAAAAGGTACCCCAACAAGCCCAACACGCGCCACTGCCACGCAACGCTGCAGGCAAAAGCCACCACAAGGCCACAGCAATGGCTCAAGGCACCCCACGGCCGCAGCAATGGCTATTCTTATAGGCGTTCAAGGCTGCCGTTTGCCCGCACGCAAAAGCCACCACAAGGCCACAGCAATGGCTGAAGGGCACCCCCCGGCCGCAGCAATGGCTTCTCTATAGGCGTTCAAGGCTGCCGTTTGCCAGGCCTCAAGCGCTCCAAACCCTCCAAAAGTCCGCCCAGCTCCGCAGGGACAAGGTACCCCAACAAGCCCAACACGCGCCACTCCCGCACGCACAAGCCACCACAAGGCCACAGCAATGGCTGAAGGGCACCCCCCGGCCGCAGCAATGGCTTCTTATAGGCGTTCAAGGCTGCCGTTTGCCAGGCCTCAAACCCTCCAAACGCTCCAAAAGTCCGCCCAGCTCCGCAGGGAAAAGGTACCCCAACAAGCCCAACACTCGCCACTCCTTGCCACGCCCAACGCTGCAGGCAAAAGCCACCACAAGGCCACAGCAATGGCTCAAGAGCACCCCACGGCCGCAGCAATGGCTATAAGGGCCTCTTATAGGCGTTCAAGGCTGCCGTTTGCCAGGCCTCAAGCGCTCCACACCCTCCAAAAGTCCGCCCAGCTTCGCAGAGCAAAGGTACCCCAACAAGCCCCACAAGGCCACAGCAATGGGTGAAGGGCACCCCCCGGCCGCAGCAATGGCTAAGGGCCTCTTATAGGCGTTCAAGGCTGCCGTTTGCCAGGCCTCAAGCGCTCCACACCCTCCAAACGTCCGCCCAGCTTCGCAGGGACAAGGTACCCCAACAAGCCCAACACGCGCCACTCCCGCACGCACAAGCCACCACAAGGCCACAGCAATGGCTGCAGGGCACCCCCCGGCCGCAGCAATGGCTTCTCCTAGGCGTTCAAGGCTGCCGTTTGCCAGGCCTCAAACCCTCCCGCAGCACTGGCTTCTTATAGGCGTTCAAGTCTGCCGTTTGCCAGGCCTCAAACCCTCCAAAAGTCTGCCCAGCTCCGCAGGGAAAAGGTACCCCAACAATCCCAACACGCGCCACTCCCGCACGCAAAAGCCACCACAAGGCCACAGCAATGGCTGAAGGGCACCCCCCGGCCGCAGCAATGGCTTCTTATAGGCGTTCAAGGCCACGTTTGCCAGGCCTCAAACGCTCCAAACCCTCCAAAAGTCCGCCCAGCTCCAGGCACCGGCCACAGGCGCTGCAAACCCTCCAAACCCTCCAAACGTCCGCCCAGCTCCGCAGGGAAAAGGTACCCCAACAAGCCCAACACGCGCCACTCCCGCACGCACAAGCCACCACAAGGCCACAGCAATGGCTGAAGGGCACCCCTCGGCCGCAGCAATGGCTTCTTATAGGCGTTCAAGGCTGCCGTTTGCCAGGCCTCAAACCCTCCAAACGCTCCAAAAGTCCGCCCAGCTCCGCAGGGAAAAGGTACCCCAACAAGCCCAACACGCGCCACTCCTTGCCACGCCAAGTACCTGTTTGGTTCCCTGGTTGGTTTGCTTCCCTGCCTGCCAACTAATTATTTTGTAGCTACTGGCCTGCCTGTGAATGTTTTCACTTTTTTTATGAATTCAACTTTGCTTGCAGGACAAGAGATGAAGGATGAAGAGGTTGCAGTGCAGAGATGAGCTCTACAGATTGGGAAAAAGAACTGGTTTCAGTGCATTCCATGTTTGCTGCTGGATACCTGAAATCTACCATATTTACCAGAGACACCAAAAGACTATTTCGTTCAAGGGGGAAATAGTCCTTCCATAAACGACCATTGTTTTTATAGTCTTTGGAACCCTAGGGTATATATATATATGTGGGATCATGTGCTACATCATACTCCCCAGGTTGATTGCTTTGACCATATCTTATTGTATGTGGATATATCATTACCCTTGATGACCCCTCATCATAAAATGATTAATCATCCACAAGCTGTCAGGTAGCCAACACAGCCACTGCCTCACCCTTGCGCGCCTGGCGGAGTTCGAGCTGATCCGTGTCCATTTGGCCGCAGGGTGCAATTTCTCGCTGCTTGAGAAGCAAACGGCCATATGTCTGTCTTGCTGTCCGTCTCCCTCTCTCTCTCTGCAGTACCCCCCCTCCAATTAGGGGGGTCGGCGGCACCTGGGCGCTAGCCCATTCTATAACAATAAAATGTATATCACTCACCTCACACGGAGAGGAGTGGATGGAACCCTCTAATACTCGTTCCTCTCTTTTCCAACGTCGCTGTGGCCAAACAGCAGAAATTAGCGTTGGCGCTTACATATCCAACTAGCTTACAGTAACAATAAACCACCATAAACCACCCATTTCAACATCGGACATTTGGACATTCCCAACTCATGGGAAACTCCCACAGGTCCCACCTCCAGAGTTCCGAGCCGCGCCCCATCAGACTGGACCCAGAGAGGTACTGCTTCCAGAGCGAGATGTAGCGCCTGAAACCGCATGAAACCGCTACGGCTGAAGATTCACCCCATCCGCATGTGAAAATTCACGTTCACCTCCATAAAGCCCAAGGAAGGGTCACTTTTTGGAGGCTGGATGTTGACCCATCTCCGAACGTGGGAAAAACCTTTAGATTCTTCCAATAAGTTGAGAAGTTTACAAATTCAACGGGAAATCATAGGTAATAAATATTCCTCCATTTTGCACAATATTCCTCCATTTACAACCATCAAAAATTATTCAAGCATCATCAAAATCCTCTTTAAAAAATAATCCAAGAGTATCTCTTCACCAACCCTTCAACCACCCAAAAAACGACCTCGTTTTCGCAATGCCAAGCTGCTCTGCTTCCTGCAGACTGGGCTTGCGCCCTGCCACCTTGCAAACGTCTGTGAGGCAGGCGGACCACATGAAGTACAGCGAGTCCTGGGTGTGAAGCAAACAGGGCTTACCCTCTGGTTATGTCAAACATAGCTATGGAAAATCACCATTTTCAATCGGTAAATCCACTATTTCTATGGTCATTTTCAATAGCTATGTTAAATTACCAGAGGGTAGCCCTTTTTGGGGATTTGTTTCACATCAGCAAAACAAGTATCTGTTGGAGATGATGTTCATGGGGATTCAACAATCAGTCCCAAGGTCGTCTGGGCGTCAGGACCATGTTGGCCAGAAAACCAGTGAGGTACTTGTAGCTCTCCGTCTGAGATGCATTGATTCGGCGGATTTTGCGATTAAAACTGATTGCTATGTGCGGCAAACAGCCCACGCTGGCGGCCCTTGCAAATGACCGCTTTGCCGGTGTTGAGTGTCCATTTCAAAGATTCAATGTACTCAAACTTGTGGATTGAAAAAAAAACGCGCTGAATGCAGTGGATGCAATTCAGTCAGTTGAACTGACAAAATCCTTTTGGAAATACATGTTACTGGTTGATTCACTGGCGCAGAAAACAGGCACCCAAGCCGACAGTTTCAGAGTCATAGGATGATGAGCGCCCCAATTCTGACCTTGGCAGGTAGAATCTAGCACCATTGGTGTGGGTAAAGCAATAAAGCGATCTATATATCCACCATCCAATTTTTAATGACTTACCATCTGGCAATAGTCCAGCAATCTATATGGCTGGTTTATTGTTGTTTCACTGACATGAAATTCCTATTGGGTCCGTTTGTTTCACTGGATTACCTTCATGATCCACTGTCCCCATGATGTCAGCCAGACCTGCGGTGCGGCGGTGTGCAACAAACCCAGGACAAATCCCAGTTTACGACAAACCTATCTCATATAGTTGGTATGTAAATTGTGTGATGCCCTATTTCTTGGTTTCCTCACTATTGTTGGTTTGGATACCCATAGGTTTATCCATATCCCTGGTCTTTTAATGCCTCTCGTGTTTGTAAGTCTTAGACAAACCCATCTCATCAAAGGAGTTTGTGTAAAATACATCCGAGCTTCCCGACCGTCTTCAACCACAAAAAATGTGCTACGGACTATGGACGCAGGTTGCTGCTAAGATTGCCCAAGATCTGTTCTAGCTACGGGGGTGGCTTTCTCACACGTGTTGACCAAGCAAAACACGTTGGAGCTTTGCTCTCTGCATCCCTCCATTCATCCCATCCCTTCATTCCATGCATTCGCGAAACCACCCAGTCATCCATTAATTCATCCTTTCACTCAAGCATTCATTCAGTCAGTCAGTCAGTCATTCATTCATTCATGCATGCATGCATGCATGCTTTCTTTCTTTCTTTCTTTCTTTCTTTATTTCTTTCTTTCTTTCTTTCTTTCTTTCTCTTTCTTTCTTTCTTTCTTTCCTTCATTACAGTACTTGATTCATTCACTCATTCAAGCATGTGTTCAGCCATGCATCCAATCACTCATTCTTTCAATCTTGACAACACGTCACGAATTCTCAACTGAACACTGACGCAACTTCCGCTCCACCTCGTGCAGGAATTACTGCTGTGGTTGGCCCGTCCCCCAATACTAAATACCCCATATAAGGGCCCCGAAAAAATGAATAAATCCAATACTGAACCCAGGGTTTCTAGGGTGGTATTTCATATACCATTAGCAAATATTAGCAATATTGTATCCCTGCAAAAATTGATTTAAAAACATCATAATATCCCCATAATGAATAAAATCTGTTCTTATCCCCATCAAAATTGGGCCACCCCATGCCATTGGGCGCCCCAGCACTGCGCCTTGATGGTCAGCACCCGCCGCGCAGAACGCTGGGCCAGAGCAGCCAGCTCCGGAGCCTGAAATCCAAAAAAGTTGGGATTGATTCCCCAACAATACCACCAATGGTTAATAGTGGTTAATCAATAATGGTTAATAATGGTTAATAGTGGTTAATCAATGGTTAGTAATGGTTTATAATGGTTAATAATGGTTAATGAATGGTTATTAACATTGTCAATGGTTAGTAATGGTCAATAGTGGTGAATAGTGGTTAATCATGTTTAATAATAGTAATCAATCTGGTTGGTGGTTGAGCCTACCCCTCTGAAAAATGATGGAGTTCGTCAGTGGGGATGATGACATTCCCATACATCATGGAAAAATAATCCAAATGTTCCAAACCACCAACCAGATGATTTTATCAAATCAAATCTGTGATTTGTTTGAGTTGGGAAAAGCTGATCCAAATTGTTGGGTTCCGAAGATTCGGATACACTGTATGTGGTCAATATCCCAACTATTTGGTGAATGTATCGGCATTTGATGAATGCTCAATGCTCCCCAAATGTGATTTTGTTGGTCGATATGGCTCCCCATTTATTGACAACCCAAGAATTGTAAGGGATTGCTAATCCCTTTCAAATCATCTTGACATATGATTATGGATCAAAACCTTGCTACCCAGATGGTACCCTAAAATAGCTGGTATAGCTGGATGCTTATTCCACCAGTCATATGGCACGTTCATAGGTTTTGATCCATCCCCATATCATCCTTCATGAGGCTGCTGGTTTGAACAGGTTAAACCCGGCTCTCCAGTGAGAAGCACTGACCTGCAAGGCCCCATAGTCGAAATTCCTGCAGCTTCGCTGAATGCTCTCCAGATGGGGTCTACACAACGGTAAACCATTCCCCTGTCATCAAAGATTTGGGATAATCATGGGATAATAATGGGGTTATTATGGATAAATATTGGATAACCCCAGTAGATCCAACTATTATTATCCATTTGATCATGTTGATATTATCCAACTATCACTGTTATTATTATAGTTATATATCAACTACTATTCTTATGGATAACTATCATTGAAACACGGCGGCTGTCATCATCAACCATCAACCATCAGCAACCGGGGAATCAGTGGAGAAAAAGGAAGAAAATTTCCATGGGAAATCCAATGAATAGAAAATATATTTGGGTTTTCCAAAAATGGGGGATCCCATTTTAACCATGGTTGTTGAAAAATACTATGATGACTCTATGAAATGTGAATGTTGAGAAATCTATCGGAAAATGGAAATCGATGAGGAAAATGAAAAAAGAAAGCTGTTCGAATGGGATCATTTTTTAATGGGCGAAACATGTTAAGAATGCATGAGTACATAATGACATAGGGAATAACTATGGGAAATGAATGGAACTATGCAGCTGAAAAAAAGGGAAGAGAGCAAATTAAAAAGAAAGGAAAAATGAAAATCAATCGTCAATAGTATGCAAATAATATAGGGAATTAATTAAATAAATAATAACAAGATAATAATGAGAAATACATGGGGACAGGCAGATGATGTTTTTTAATGTAACACACCAGAATCAAAGTTTCTCGGATTCCCACAGCCAGACCCCATAAGGTCCTATAGCATGCTGCAACTTGGAGTTCGGGACATAGGGCTGCTGACTCCCACTGTGCCTGACGAACTCGGAAACGCAAAAAAAGAGCAGAAAAACGACCTTGGAGCCCTCAAATGTTGATGTGTCTGAAAATGGTGCATACTGTATACCCCAAGTGGGATTTTTTTGGGGGTCAATTATGAATGACAGTGGATTTCAGGATATCCAAAAATCTAAGACAAACCCATGTAATATAGATCGTCCACTGGGGACTCGTTTTCGTCGACAAATCCATGAAAATGCCCAGAATCTTCAGGAAACCCCAAGATTTGTTGGAAAAAAATGTCCCCTGTCAATCTTCCTTTTACTCTCCAGAAAATATAAATGACTGCCTGATAAACAGTAACTGCCTGGAGAATTTCGTCTTGTAGGTGATTTTCCTCTGCAAAAAAGTGGTTATTCATTGCCGTGTGCGTTAAGCCCCAGGACTCAACGATGTATCCAAATGTGGCTCAGGAAAGATCAATCTTTTGTTGTTGAAATGCAATCACTTCCGTATTCTTGGTACACCCGAAAAGGAATGATGGAAGATTTTTCTGGGATTGAATGGATTTACCAACATTTACCCATACTGTTGATGGCTTCAAGGCGCCTTCAATCCTCAAGATCAACTAGATCCACAGGATTGATGAAATTTCACCAAGATGTGATTTGGAATCCTGGATTGGTTAATGGTTTTGCGAGCTCAGGGCCTCCCGCACATCACGCAGAGCTTCCTCAACAGGGACGCTCCAAGCAGCGGGGTACCCTCTGGTAATCTCACAGTTTGCGAACTGGAAAACGGCCCATTTCTAGATGATTTACCATCTGGTTATTTAACATAGCCATGGAAAATCACCATGTTATAGCATGTTATAGCTAGGTAAACCATCTATTTCTATGGGCCATGGCTTCCATGGCTATGTTAAATAACCAGAGGGTACCTTTATTAACCATGGTGACTTTCTATGGCCATGTTAGTTTAGTGGAGGGTGTGTTCAAAGACCATCAGCAACCTGGAGTCTTCACAGAAGTCGTGGCCTGTTTGCGAAACGATGAGTCACTAAAAAACAATGGTTAGTAATGATTAATATTGGTTAATCATGTTTAATAATAGTAATCAATCTGGTTGGTGGTATACCTACCCCTCTGAAAAATGATGGAGTTCGTCAGTTGGGATTATGACATTCTCAATATATGGAAAGTCATAATCCAAATGTTCCAAACCACCAACCAGTTATTATCTTTCACACCAAACGAAATGCGCAGTCCCACCTCCAGTCGTTCCAATTCAGGGCCACTGAGAAAGAACCCTCGAATGCCCGAGATGAGAACGTCCTACAGCCGTGGATACCATTCAAAGAAAGCAGGGTTGCGTCCAACTCCCGGACAAGGGTGTGAGTTGGGTAATAAAGAGGTCAAATTACTCATTTCGCCCCCTTGTGGGTATCATATAGGATAGAGTAGAGCTGCCCGGGATCATTCATCCCAATCATCCCAATTTCCAAGCGGGCGGTTGCCCAGCCACAACAGCAATATGCTCAATACCACTGGCACCATGGCCTATTAACTAGTTGGTTGAAAACGGTTTCCCGTTAACTGTGGGTTATCAGTTATCAATCAGAATCCCCATACAAGCCAGGTAGGTAGTATAACTCCTTATTGTATATCCAACCACCCTTCATTTTTCCGTTATATCATCTTATGTCTCCATTTTTCTTGGTTAAAACAGTTAAAACCCACATAACTTCAGTTTTGTTGGTTCAAACCCATATAAGTTCTCCAGTTTTGCTGGTTGAAAGCCATAGAATTTCAATTCACCAACCATAACTCCAACCATTTCATCACTCCAACCAGGCGATATCTTGATCTCCTTGGCCATCTGCATATGCTCGTCCCGTGCACGCACGTCCCAAGGTGCAGCCGTGCGCACGCCCTGGCGTTGGAGTTGGATACCCAAACTGCCCAAGAAAAATCACCGAAATGTCTGGTGTCCTAAGACACAACATGATGAAAATGCGATAAAATGAGGAAAATCACGAAAAAATGATGAAAAAATGGTGTGTCCTATCTTCAGACCGGTTTTGCCAGCTTTCCTGAAAATTTTCCTGATCTCAAACTGCAACTTCTTTGCGCCTCTGAAGGCACATCGGTCCAAGAAGAATGATCAGGATCAGCCACCTTACTTTTTGGCGCCGAGGCGAGAAGGATTAAGATGAAGAAGGAGAAGAAAATGATGATGAGGAGGATGATCGTGGTGGTGATGATGATGATGATGATGATGATTACTGTTATTATTGCTATTCAAATTATACGTGTAGTATCTTGTAGTCATAATATGTCTTTGTGAAAAGCCCCCAAAACTACGACAGCCCTCGAAAGTCCTCCCATTCTGGAACTCCCATGTTCGGCTCCCAATATCTTGGTTGAAATTTCTCAATAAAGTGCTGCCAGGATTTCCCACTCACCGCAAACCAAAGTGTTTTTCATATTTGCCAAAACAATTGGCCAGATCATACATGAAAGTTGACCAAATATCATATGAAGTTGTGACAGTTGTGACATATATATATATATATTGACGGATATTGACCCATCTCTCACCCATATCTGCTTGTTTTACACCAGAGATGTTCCACGCCACGACACGTGCACTGCATGCAAATAGCCCAGCACTGCACAGGGTCCAAAGTCAGGTTCCTCCAGGACTGCCTCAAGGGAAGGCTGGAGAATCCACCATTTTTCATAAATCATCGAACTAAATGCCAATGTCCAATAGCTATGTTGTATTACCCAGAGGGTATTTTCTGATTCTTCCGAATTGAAGCCTCCATTCTTAGGTGATCTTAGTTGATGTTCTCACTGTAAATCCTCCATAGGATGTGAAAACTTGCCATGTTTGATTACCGGACATGGCTACAGGTGGCTTTTTTTGCGATTTTTTGGAGCAATCTGGCATAGAGGATCACCAATTTTCCTCTGTGGCAATCATTTACCTACAATCGATTGGAGCAGCCTGATCAAAAATTCTAGTTTCCCATGACTTTCCTGTTTCCAGTTTCCCAAAAAAAAACTCATTGATGATCTGATGATCTTGATCTACCCCCTTCCAATTTGTGGAGTTTTTCTAGAAGGGGGCACCCCCAAATCATCCATTTTTTGGTGATTTTCTTTATAAACCATCCGGCCATTGGGGTACATTTTCGGAAATCTCCATATCCCCTGCTACATCCCACTTAATCCAAAAATAACAATAAAAAAATACCACCCAGTACTAGAGAGTCAGTCAATTGGGCAAGTCAGTTGGGTACTGACCACTAAGTATATCACCAAATCCCAATATCTAAATCCCAAGTAATCCATGTATATAATCCATATATAACCCATGCTGTATTTCATCCCATATGGAGGTTTCCTAAAATGTGACTATCCCCGAATCCATTTCCATAGGATGTTCCTTTATGAACCACCCATTTTTGGGTAGCTCCATTTTAGGAAACCCCCATATATCAGTGGAGATATTCCATAACTGGTGGCAGTCAGTCACCAGAGAGTTCTCCAACCTCCCAGCCTTGGCATCCAGTACTGAGACGCTAATCTTGGCTTTGATCCAGCGACGTAACCTGGCCGATCAAGGACTCTAGATATGGATAGATATGAATTCTATATGGATATATATATATATACACACAATATGTGTATGTGTTGCTGCGGCCATGCTATATCTATATATATATACCCACCATAGCATTGGCCCATCTGAAATTCATCGCTCCTGTGGTCAGCCTTGGGTCCAAGGGAATCTCGACACTGCATGGGTGTCCTCAAAATTCAGCCACCCAAAGTCTACTCAGTGGACATGTTCAAGATTAGGCGTCATTTTAGTATCTCATTGTCTCATTTTAGTATCCCAATATTTTTTGCCTCGTTTCCCCAAAAACCAGGTCAGTGCTGCTCGGTCTGCGCCATCGAACCCGAGGCGAACATGTGCTTCTCCTTTAAGAGCCTTCGAGGCGACGCTGCAACCGCTGTTTACAGTGCGTTCAAAAAACCTGCACTCCATCTCCAAAACCTCAAGTGCGTTGAGGGCACCATACGGTTTGTCAGAAAATTCAGTAGACCAAGAATCACATGGAATTTGGCATAATCTTCCATGTTCAAATAGCCTTTTACGGTTGGGCTATCCATCATTTTTAGACAACAGCCCTAGTTCCCATGACCGCAAAATCCACCGGGCCTTTTCTTGTAAGCCTCTGCTTCCGGACACCATTCCTGACAGTAGCAACTTATGTTGACATGAGTAATGTGTATATGGAGGTTTCCTACCCATGGTAAAGGAATTGCCAGAGGGTCTTCCAATTATCCATTATTCATCCATTATTGTTGGCTATACCCCATTACAATCCATTATATGCGCGTTTCCTAAAATGGGCGTACCCCTAAATCATTCATTTTAACAGGATTTTCCATTATAAACTAAACCATCCATTTTGGGGTACCCTCATTTATGGAAATCTCCATATATTGACATTATCAACCATAGATGATCTAGCTGGCCCACAGCTAATCAAGGTCTCCTCCGGTTGTAGCTTGCGCAACTTCACCTGCACCCCAGAAATGTGCACTGAAAGCCTCAGAGGTGGAGGATTTTGGTTCCCGGATTCTGGATGATGTCCGGCTAGAGCAGTTGGGGATAAACCAACTAACAGACATAAACCGACAAAAAAAGGAACCACATTAGGTCAATTGGGCATTCGGTAACTTTGAAAAAGGATGGGTTTCACTAAAACGAACGGGAAGATCAGGGCAAGATATGCAAAATTGAGATTTAATTTATACCATGCAAACCAACTATCTTTTAAATCAAACCCATTGGCCCTCCCAACCAAAGTTTACCAAGTACACCCGTGATTAAAACAAATAAAACACACGTACGATTACTCTTCAACAAACGAAAATGACAAATGACAACCTCAACAGAGGTGAGTTAAAACACCGATGTTTTTTTGAAGATCTACTTACAGCCTTCATAGGACTTCCATGAGGTTTTCATCAATTTCCCCATTTTTTTTTCATGTCAACCCCCCAGTAGTTTTTCGTTGCATGACCAATTGTTGCTACCTCTTATCGTCTCAGGCCGCTGGGAACCACTTGGAAGCCCCAACTTCTCCGGGTTGACCTCCACTTTCACCTGCCGGATCTTTTCAGGCTGACTATCGTGTCTTCCAATGCCCAAACCAAATCTGTGAGGTACCTACTGCATCAAATTATGTATGTATATGTATATGTACATGTACATGTACATATACATATACATGTACATGTACAACATGTACATGTACATGTACATGTAATGTATATGTATATGTATATGTATATGTATATGTATATGTATAATGTATATGTATATGTATATGTATATGTATATGTATATGTATATGTATATGTATATGTATATATATATGTATAATACAGATTTTGTTGCAGAAAGTAACGAGGCAACCCCACTCTCGGCCCTCTCGGCTTACCTGGTCCACCTGCCCTTCTTGCACAGTCAAAGGCAAGATGGGTCCCACCAAAAATCGCCATAGGGCACTGGTGAGAACCACATCTTTCAGCTCGAAGCGCACATGTGAATGACTCACATGTTCGAAGGCATAGTCAGAGTGGTCCAGGTCCAAACCAACCTCAGTGCCGTCATGGTGCCACTGAACATTCACTGGCGTTCAACGCACTCTCCACTGTTGATAAAATTTGCGGACTGGCCAAATTCCAACCAAAAAAACGACCCCAAAAATTCCCTTGGGCCGTCCGGCATAATCTTGCAGCCAACCGCGCAAACTGCGAAGAACTAAAGCTAGGAACATGTTGCCTCGGCGCCATGGGTTTTTGACCAACAGGGATTTCATTTCACCGATGAATAAACAAATTTGTGATTTGCATTTTCGTTTTAATACATTGTGATTTGGGCGTCTATTTTGAAATCCCTGGCTGACACCATTCCAAGCCTGGGCAGGCTCCATGGCCTCCAGTGGAAGGCGATCCATGGTTGACAATCGCCGATCGTGGAACCCAAAAGTTTGGAAGTTCCTGGCAGTTCCTGGTTTCACTTTGCAACTTGAGTAGTTACATCGGAAGGACGTCTCACATGCATGAAGGAATGTTTGCAAAATCTCTTGTGACAAGCCTTTCAAATTGTTATGTATGTTGGGAGACTGGCTGAACAAAAATGGTGCTCCTAGTTTCAATGATTCAGGATCTTGCAAACCAACTCAAACCAGCTGTGAGCACAAATCAATTAACAAGCAGTGAATTTAAGAACAAACATTGATTTGGCGCAAAGCAAATTTGACCGGCGCCACTGAGTGGAGCGGGATGGTGATCAAAATACAATCATTGAAGGCATCATACCAATGCTTCGGAATGAAGCTCTAAAGAGGCAACTGGAAATTCAGAATGTTCAGATCACAAACACTTGTCCACACATTCACGAATGTCTCATATCATCGTGAGCGTTTCGTGGAAGGCAGGACCGATTCACCGTGAAGGGCAAAACTTTGGAAAACGTTTTTTTTGGGCCTCGTTCAATTTCTTTTGGGCCTGGACAATTTTCATGGACTTTACTCTCATTTTTTGGAAATGGTTACCCTTCTTTTGGACTTGCGCACCCCCTGCTAGACCTGCGCGCCCTCCTGCTGGACCTCCTTCCCCAAACCACGCCCCTTTTGGATAGATTCTCCAAGCTGCATCTTGGTCACAATTCTTCAGACAGAGGGGGCTAGAGCTGCGCTATCATGCAACATGGCAGGAAGCATTTTAGTACATTGCGTGGTTCACTGCCTCTTTCCCTTTCTACCCTCTTCTCAATTCCTACTTTTCACACCTCTTCCGGCCTTTTCTGAATTACGCAGGTGCTCAACTTGGTGTCAACCTGGGTGAAAGTGCCTCATTTGGGGACATTCATCTGGTTTCAATATCTAAATTTCCGCCTTTGTGCCTCTCATCAAACATCCTACATTTTTTGCACTCATTGGGTTTTAATATCTATACTTCCCCCCTAGCCTCTCTGCAACTTCTTGCGTTCATCTTCCCCCCCGGTGCCCCTCAACAACTTCCTGCATTCATGTCGTTTCATATGTGGCACCCCCCTGGCCTCCCCGCAATTTCTTGCAAACATCTTGCTTCAATATTTTAAGCTGTCACGCACCTGTGCCTCTCAGCAGTTTCCTGCATTCATGCGGTTTCAATATGTAGGTTTTTCACCCTCGTCTCTCCATAATTTGTTGCATGCATCGTCATTTGGGTTCAATATCTTTGCGCCCATATGGTTTGAATATCTATACTTCCCCCTGGCCCTAGCCTCTCCACAAACTTCTTGCGTTAATTTTGTTTCAATATCTAAGATTCCTCCCCGGGGCCCCTCGACAACTTCCTGCATTCATCTTGTTTCAATATCTAAACTTCCTCCCCGGTGCCCCTCAGCAACTTCCTGAATTCATTTGATTTCATATCTGGTTCCCCCGTTGCCTCGCCACATTTTCTTACATGCATCTAGTTTCAATATCTAGGTTTCCCCCCCTTGTCTCTCCACAACTTCTTGCATGCTTTGTCATTTGGGTGCAATGTCTAGGCTTCACCCCTCATCTCTCAACAACTTATTGCGCTCATGTTGTTTTAGTATCTAACTTTATCTTCCCCCAATGTCCCTCTCAACTTCCTGCCTCCATTTGGTGTCATATGTAAGTTTCCCCGCATTGGCCTCCCCACATTTTTTTTGCGTTTATATATGTTGTTTCAATATGCGAATTTCTCCTGCACCCCTGTGCCTCTCAGCAACTTCCTGCATGCATTTGGTTTCAATATCTCGGCTTCCCCTGCCTCTCAACAACTTCTTGCGCTCATCTGGTCTAACTCCCCCCCCCCGCGCCTCTCATCAAACTTCCTAAACTTCCTGCTTTCATTGGATTTCAATATCTATGGAGCTCTCCAGGGAGTGCAGGGCCCCGCTCCTTGTGACACATTGGGTTTCCCACCTCCTTCCCATTCTCCCTCTTCTTCTCAATTTCTACTCTTCACACTTCTTCTGGCCTTTCAGTTACGCAGGAGCTCAACTTGGTGTCAACCTGTGTGAAAGTGCCCCACGTGGGGGCATGCATCTGGTTTACCCCCCGGGTACATCTCAGCAATTTCCAGCATTCATTCACTTGGTCTCAAGACTTCCCCTCTGGCCTCTTAACAACTTTTTGCATGCATCTCAACTTGGTTTCAATGTCTAGGGAGGGAACCATAAATAAAACCAAATGAATGCAGGAAGTTGCCAAATGAATGCAGGAAGTTGCTGAGGGGCGCCGGGCGCCGGGAATGTTCAGGCAAGATGAATGCAGGAGCTTGTTGAGGGGCACCGGGGAGGAATCTTATATATTAAAACAAGATGAACGTAAGAAGCTGCGGGGAGGCTACAGGGAAGTGTAGATATTGAAACCCAATGAGTCAATGAGTGTAGGAAATTAAGGAGGTTTGATGAGAGGCACGGGGGAAGTTAGGTGCTGAAACCAGATGAACGCAAGAAGTTGTTGAGAAACAGGGGAAGCTTAGGACATTGAAACTGAAATCGAGTTGAGATGCATGCAAAGTTGTTAAGAGACGAGAGGGAAATCGGGAAACAAATGAATGAATGTAGGAAATTGCTGAGAGGCACAAGGGGGAAACTTAGATATGTTTTTTCCTCCAGTCGCCTCTTGGCTTTCGCCAGGTCGATCCACACGCTCTCTTGGCATGCAACATGTTCCATTAATTCAAGCATTGTAATTAATCCATCTTGTTGTGTGATGGGCCGCAAAAGTAGTGCTGAAGGAGGACCAGTACACAGTCCAATAGGCCGTCACGATGCAAAATGAAACGGAAAACCCGACCACACAAGAAAACAAGGGGGAAACTTAGATAAATATCGACATATTCCTCCCGTTTCTCTCAACATCTTCTTGCATGCGTCTTGTCTCAATATCAATGTTCAGGCTTCACCCCTCATCTCGCAATAACTTTTTGCGCTCATCTTGTTTCAACATCGCACTTTCCCTTCGTCTTCAATCCTCTCAATTTCCTGTATTCATTTCGCTTCACATAGACTTCCCCCGTTGGACTCTCCACATCGTCTTACATTTTTGTTGCTTCAATGTCCGAACTTCCCCTGCATCAATTTACATCTTGTGCTTGAGAGAAATGTTGTAGCTGTAGCAGATACGTCGACACTGCAAATACTCAGCAGGTGAAAACGAAGTTGTAGGAATCTCATCCGCTTTCTGGATGGGACAGCGTTACAACTGGACATTTGCTGAATATTCAGTGGGCTTTTTAGCGTGCACCCGAAGTTTCTGAACATGGAAGCATGGGATGACAGTGTTTCTTCTGAGCCGTCGTTAGCTGGATCTTCAGAGCTCGGGTTTGATGATTTACAGACAAGTGTTTCACAGTTAAAACACAAGAGAATCCCCCAGTTTTTGACACCTTTTTTTCCCCTAATCACTGTGTGGGGTTCTTGTTTTTCGCTTGGATCCCGCCGGGGCACCGTCCTCCTCCTCCGCCGCCTCCTCCTCACTCACTCACACTCACTCACACTCACTCACGACTCCCAATCACTCACAACTCCCACTCACTCACAACTCCCACTCACTCACAACTTCCACTCACTCACAACTCCCACTCACTCACAACTCCCACTCACTCACAACTCCCACTCACTCACAACTCCCGCTCACTCACAACTTCCACTCACTCACAACTCCCACTCACTCACAACTCCCGTTCACTCACAACTCCCACTCACTCACAACTCCCACTCACTCACAACTCCCACTCACTCACAACTCCCACTCACTCACACTCACTCTCACTCACTCTCACTCACACTCACTCACTCATTCATTGATTCACTCACTCACTCATTCACCAGGCAGGCGCAGTACAGAAAACTTCCTGGTTGCCTTTTGCGTCCGAGGCGCAGTACACAGAGTCTCCTAGAGTAGCTGCTGTGCGCGTGGCCGCAACTGGCCGCGGCTGCCTTTTGCGTGGCAGGCGCAATGCATAGAGCCTCCTGGCGGAGCTGCGCGCGCGTGGCCGTCGGTGGCCGCGGCTGCCTTTTACATGGTGGGCGCAGTACACAGAGCCTCGCTGGAGTCCTGGCAGAGCTGCGGCACCTTGCCGCCGCTGGCCGCGGCTTCCTTTTACGTGGTAGGCGCAGTACACAGAGCTTCGCTGGAGGAGCTGGCGCGCGTGGCCGCCGCTCGCCCGCGGTTGCCTTTTGCGTGGCAGGCGCGCAGGTGGATTTGAATGATTGTAAAAAATACTTTGCTGCTCCTTGACTCCCACCGAAGTTTTCAGCTCAGAAAGAATTTTGAATCATGATCTTTTAAATCAATTCTGTTATTAATTAATAATATAAATTTTTATTTCTCCACAAAACCAGGATCGATTGAGACTAATCCAACGAAGGTGGTGGAAGTTTCAATTGTCAATTGATATCCATATAATTAGATATTAAATTACACGACGTATAGTCGTGATGTACAGTAAGTAGAATTTATGTAAATATATCATTTACATAAATAAAATTTACTACAAAAAATCGCAGTTGCCGACGCTTCAAAGATGAGAACGCAAGTGCACCACACTCGGACTTATTATTGATTTCCTTTTTGCTTCCAGTAATTCAGTAATTGCACTGTCGGGGGTCTAATCCAAAGCCGGTCGTGGTTCCAGCTGAACTTGTCTTTGGTGCATTGGATGGGCCATGATTCCATCATTGTCAAACGTTGACACAAAGTGATTTGATGCTAAGTGTCAGAGCACCCGATGATTCCCCAATTTTTGGGTGGGAGTGAGAAACGGGGCGGGTGAAAAAATTGCCCTTGTTTAAAAGGGACTCCCGCCCTCCCACCACTTGATTGGGAAAAGGCCACAACATTGCATCTGATGATGTGACGTGTGACGGATGTGGTTGTCTCAATGGAATTGTTTAATGCCACATCGGAAACTTAAAAATCGAAATGGGAAT